GGAACAGGGGAACAAGAAGAAGAATAGTTTTGCGGTTTTACTCGTGGTCTGATCTTGTGATGATGATGATGATGCCCGTGGTTGGTTGGCTGGCTGGTGGAGGTGGCAGGATAAGTGAGTCAGCATGCAGGCAGTGTGTTTGTATTGTATCGCTTTATCTGGTTAGAATAATACGAGGCAAACTAAACAAGGAGTTCTCTTATCTCACACCAACCAACCGCCCACGCACATAGCATCACATCCAGTTAAGGTAGACGGAGAAAGCAGAAGAGGCTTCATAATGGAATCGTGGAAGATGGAATGGAAGATCGAATTGCGTACGTGTGGAGCAAACTCGAGCTGAATATAATTATAATTACCAGAGGAAGGATATGTATGCAGGAAAAATCGCAGAAATATTTACGAAATATGTACGAAAAAATCATAAAGATGATTCGCAGAATTAGTATTTCTGAATTTAATGCTCTGGATTTTAGTGATCGAATTTTTTTCAGCAAACAAATTTCTTCGGGTACCGTTGAAACATTTACAAATTATATAGATTTTTGAAAAAATGTCTAAAAAATGTACGTATTTTTCAAATAATAGCAGACCTATTTATAAATATATCTAAAAACGTATGCGAAAATATTTTGAACTTTTTACGATCTGTAAGACATCGAGACCGAGAAAGTTTGTCCGTCGGTCGTCATCAAGTGAAAAAATCGAGAATAAATACATATCCGCCCTCTGATAATTTCGTAGATAAAACAACCCATGTATGCAATCCACTAGAAATAAGTTAATAAGTAAATATCTCTCCTATTCAAACTCAATTCCACGTATTTCGATTCTAGTAAAAATTCAAAATGATGACTTGAGGCGATTTATTTAAGGTCTCCGTTTCACACCAACTTTCTCTCTCATGATTCAATAATAAATTTCACACTCTTGCTGGCCTTGTTTTACCGTGGTGGTTGGTGGGCAGGCTATTCCATCAGAAAACCACCTCAACCGCAAAACCCGACTCATGCATCTCCTCCTTGGAATTGAAATCTGAGAAGTTGTCTCCTGTCTCGCTTTCTCTGAGAGAGGACGAGAGGTGAGGGTGGATGTGGTCTCTGACTACGTGAGACGGCTGAGGAGAGAAAGCGACTGAGATGATACTTTATGCCCCATGTTGGATCGATGTTGGATCGATCTCGACAAAATGAACAAACTTGTCCGTAGTATAGCCAGCAGATATCTACATATCTACATACGTACGTACCGAGTGAAAACCTACACGCTAGAGTAAAGTTACTAGTTGAGAGTAAAAAAAACGGTATGCAATTTAGATCCTTATTAAATATTTGGTGGTACAAATTCGGAAAATCTCTGGCTATCATTATGCCATCTGAGGACTGATGGTATCATCCATCATCCATCCATCCATCCACCTACATGCTTTCCCATCATATTAACCGTATTTTATTAAATATTTACTCCTCCTAGAGACCCAAACTGGTTATTTTTTTATGCATGCAGGTGGCCGTGCAGAACATTAATATTATCCTTCCATGTAAGTAATTACAATTGTTGATTGTTTCCATCTCTCTGGGGCTCATCATTCTATTTAACATTCGCACTTCCCACGAAGCAGAATTAAGTGCATGGATGTCAATCAGGCAGAATAATGTTTACTTTCACTTACTTTCTCCGACACCATTTTCCCATCCACCCACCCACCCACTCAGGGCTTGAGGAGAAGGAAGGCTCAATCCACTCGAGAAGAAATCTCTCTCCGTGCTTAAGACCCGGTCCAACTGATGCTTTTTCTGGCTCTCCGTCGTCGTCCTCTGTCCGCCCGTCGTCGTCTTGATAGCATATTTTCCTCCAGAAGAAGAACGTAAGTGGCCACGCTTGTCAGTCAGTTTGTAGAGTCGACAGGGAGGAGGAAGTTGGATTAGGTGGTCGTTGGTCTGGCCTTGGCCGTGGCACTTGTGTATGGTGCAAGTCCTTATATGTGCAGAGTGAGTGAGAGAGTTGGTGAGCCCAGTTTATTTGTGTAGGTAGTCGACGAGGTGAAAACTTGCATCAGTCTCTGGCATGCAAATTCCCGCAAAATGTTCATTATGTATGTATACATATCTCGGGAAATATCTGGGATTTCCAGGGCGCACACATCATTTCATTGCGAAATGTACTGATTTCTCTGGATTATTACGAGTATTAATCTTTAGATGGATGTATCCTAAGAGGATTTGCGCATCAAGCAGGCTGGATTTATTTTATTTTATCAGGACTTAGCAGATGTATGCCGTGGTCGTGGTGGTGGTGGGACAGGTTCGCTCGCATCCAACGATTTGATCCTATTTATCTCAAATGTGGCACGACGTTCTCAGTGTCAATGTCAGCATGCCATTCCCTTTTGTTGAAATCATGTTCGTGTTTGGCAAAGTTTGCGAAACGTGTTGCATAAAATTTAACACTGGGATTTCCTCCGAAGGCTTCATGCTCACTATTAAATATCCACTTGACATTTCCGTATCAATTTCAAGTTTGTTGGGGAGAAAAGTGCGAAATGAATATGGCTGGGTGATGGATAAATCACTGCGTATTTATTATTTTTTGTAGGGATGGCCACCTTTGTAACGAAGTTGAAAGGGGTGGCCTGACCTTATCAAATTGATGCATCAAAAGTTTACGTACATAATAAAAAAGTGTGCATATGTAGATGCACCTCTGATAAAAAATGGTGTGGACGGATAGGCATCCGTTAAATGAGTAATTGGTTTGACATTTGTGTATGAAATCATTGCATATTTGGATAGATCAAAACAAATTATTAAATGTATGGTTGACTGATTCTTCATCTCAATTAATGATATTTTTTCCACCTCGCTTGAATTTGTGTCTCACAATTTCTAGGGTATTTGTAATGCAATTTATGCAATAAACCGATGCACGTTTTTACACGGTGTCAAGCTAATGTAATTTTATATGTTAATTTTTGGAATTATTGTATATTTTAAACAATAGGTCAATTTACTTGCAAAAATCTTATAAGGGGCTGAATGGAAATCTCGGATGCCTGTCTGAATCAAGTAGAGACTTCCCAAACTCACCAACATTTTCCTCTACTGCCCAAGCTAATTAACAAAGTAATTGGCAATGTATTTTATATTTTGTCAATTTGTTTCTCTTAATAAAATATTGTTTATCACAAAAAAAAACATAATTTGAAAGTACCTAATTCCCTGCCACAAACATACGTTCCACGTCAGCACGCACAATGCTATACATTTGCTCCCTTCCTTATTTTATTCATAGTGCGGATTGTCTGTATACCAAAAAGCAATAAAAACACTGTAACCTGAATGGTACTTGATGTAGTAAATATGTAGGCGTCATGTTACGCTATGAGCACATTCTTCTGATATTTCCCCTATTTTTCTTACTTATCCCGCAATAAAAGGAAAGAACGAGGGTATAAATTCCCAACTTATAATTCATATTTACGATTGACCTTCAGTCTCGTGAAAGTAATTATTGTAACATGTGCACCATAATGGATTGTCCATTTGGAAAGGTATGTAGCCTTTCTTCCGACCATCCTCCTCCACCGGGACGCGAGGTGCTTAAATACACTATAAGGGCATACAGAAGGTAGGTAACTCCAAGGTTGATACTTGTATGCCCACCTCTTCTCACGTGAACGTACTGCATCCATCCCACGGCTGCCGGGCCATAATAATGCCACACTTTTGAGTCTTATGTACTTTGTTGTACCCTTTTGTTGGTAAGAGAGAGAGAGAGAGAAAGTAAGGCTGAGAACTCAATAAATTTATGAATTCGGCGTAGTTCGGGGTCGTTTCCTCTCTTGCTTTCACTTCTTCTTCTTCTTCTTCTTCTTCTTGTGGGTGAATTGCAGTATGTATGCGAAACCATCCAAGTATTCCTTTCATCTCACGAATTGCAAATTCCAGGCCCGTCCAGGAGGCAAGGAAATTAATGTGGAGAAGGAATTCCGCCGAGAAGTGGTGGTGGTGACATTGAAGATTACAGAATTGCAATAAGAGAAAGTCAACCTTGTATGCATTTCTACACCGTGATGACTTTCTAACAGACTGTCTGTCTTATTGCATGCTATTCTTGTTTTGAAAATATTTCAGCTTCATGCTGAATTCTTTTCTGACTCACTTTCATGTTTCGTTCTGGGCATAAGTACGTACCAACCTCCTTTCGTGATGACTTGATACCTGGAAAAGGGTAGATTTCCAGAGAAGAGGAAATGAATTCGAGAGAAGAAGAAGAGGACTCGTCAGAGATATCTCGGGATGAAATTATTCCGCCTTAGTTTTCCACCCTGGTCTAGACGAAGGCAGCGGAAAAGGCATTAGTACAGAATGCTTGGGAGGGTATAAGGTTGACTGGTTTTGGAGAAAGTGGGCTCGTTGGTGGTAAAATAAAAGTACTTAATATGCATTTTCTTCTCCTCCTCCTTCCCCCATCACATCACCTTGGGCAAGGTTGACTTTGAGGGGAAAACCTCCTCTCAGAAAATCTTGTACGTTTTCTCTCTCATCTTATTTGATTGGGAACAATGTTAATTTCTCTTTGAAATTCTGATACGGCCCGAATTAAAATTTTATTTGTTGCGTAACCAAACTCATCTTCTTCTCTTTCATCACAGCCTTAAACGACGTGCTTCTGGACAACACGAGTCCCTGTAAAAATATTATTACTCGCGAAGAAGTGAAATAGAATTTGCCTCACAAGAAAATCGTTGAGATAGATTTGTTGTTAGTGAACTTGACTGTGGAGAAAGTACATGCACGCGTCCCAACTAATGCTTAGCTTTCCCCAGAGAGCGAAAGAGAAAGCTAGTCACGAGCAAAAGGTGGAATAAAACATGCGAAATCCCAACTCTCCTGCCACCACCACCACCACGACGAGAAGCAGAAGCAGGCAGCAGCAGGAGGCAGGAGGCTACTTACTTTCACGCTCTTCCGTCCCAACTCCCTCACTTTCTCCGCATCCTTCGCCAGAGAAACACACGGCCGCAGCAGTCTCACCTTCACCTCGCTCACTTTTCGGATACAACGTAAGTAAACAATTCCCTATTAATTTATTCATCTCGCTTTTTTTTCTCATAAATTTCTGACAATACAAGGCAGGATTTATTTTTCGAATTTTGAAACTATTTTTTAATTTGCAAAAATTCCCAAAAGCAATCAGCCCAAAATTACTTGTTAAAGTCTGCAAATTAATTGAAAAGGCACCCTGTCGAGGTATGTAAGTAAGTAAACAGATTGTGTGTGTGTGCATAGTTGTTTTTCTCTCAATAATTCATCGAGTCGGGTTCAAGACACTGTTTGTGCATCGAGAGAAATTCATGGCGAAGAACCTGCGACTGAACTGAACTCCCTGTTGCTTTTATTAAATGGAATAGTTTTTGATTGAAAAGGACCACCCGGGAGGAGGCAAGATGGTAATAAAGAGAAAGTTCGGGTTAGTTTAAGACATTATTGCGATACGGCCTGCCCGTCTCATATTCCTCGCAAAGTGGGAGCAGAGCTTGGCAAGGTGTGATCAATTCATACGACGACATGTTTCGGCATCTTATGCAAGCATCGTTCTGCTCCATGCATGGTAAAAAGCACCCAATTTGTCTCATGTTTACTCAAGGTGTTTGTGCCCATGTACACGGCACATTGTAAAATCACACCAATGTTTGTCCTGCATTTGTGAGTTCGTGGTGGAAATAAAGGTCGCGGGATTACGGGTGGGACACACATTTCCTGAAACTGCAGCGGGGGACCGAGGCAGGAAAAAATAATCCAGGAACCTGGCGAGAAAGGAGGAGAGAGATTGCCAAATAAAAGTGGATGATGCATATCAAAACACAATGAGCTGAGAGGATCTTTCACTCTGAAATGCGACCGCTACCAGATCACGTTGTTAGCCTGGCATGTTTTTTATGCCACGGGACGACGAGACGAGGGATGTGGTGACATAAAGAAATTCCTGGAGTGAGACTTCGGTATATGTAAAATGGGATGGTTGAACGGTATACGTATGTGTGTACCTACTCTCCGTTCCAGATAGCAAGGCACGATTTTTGCGTAAAAAAGTTGGCTAGTCGTTTAAATTTTTTACACGGTGAGACATGTAGCCATACGGTATCAATTGACCCCTCTTAAAAGACTATGTGCTGTACAAAAATCATCTGCCTTGCTATATGGATCGGAGAGTACGTGTGGATGAAGATGCAGTGGCATACTCTCTGTTCCAAATAGCAAGACACGATTTTTGTGCGGCATAAGGTTTTTTCAGGGTATTTCGCGTGGGGTCAATTGATACCGTATGACTGCAACATGTTTCTCGGTGCAAGTAATTTAAATTAGTAGCCTTTTTGTGCTAAACAAAAACCGTGTGTCTTGCTACACTGGACGGAGAGTACGAGTTTTTTTCACATTCTTCTTCGGTCCCCAGTTGGTTGGTTGGTTGGATGGTGTGACACCCGGCTTGGCTCCTGTCATAATCCACTTTCTCAATTTGGGGCGACTTTGCAAAGTAAACAAACCGTTTCCGGAAGGGAGAGTTTTGTTGTTTCTCAACTCCTTAATCTTGGGCTTAGAATGTTGTGATAGCAGCAGGAGTTCCGTCCGCGCGTGGGTATCTGGACGTGTATGTATGCATATGACCATGAAATGTGTTTTCATCCCGTACTAATTAATTTATTCTCCTCTTCATGCTTGACAGAGCGGATGGGCAGTAATTATCAGGGTGGTATGCATACATAAATATGTACACAGTTGCAGTTATGGGAAGGAGTAAATACACCAGGTTACGACACGTGAGCTAAGCAAATAAGTCGCATTTTTACCCCGAACCAGAGCTTATGTAAGCTTAACCCTGGTTAAACTTATCCGATCGACTTGAAACTAGGGACACATTTAGTACGAAGAAAATGCGAAATCTGTCATATTATCTGTCAAATTTGTCAGTCAATCAGAGTGAGCGTGTGAATATGCTACCCGTGTAGGTGATTTTGGGATGACACTTAAATTATAATAGATTTACAGGCAATTTTACCCAAGGTAAATTTAATTGAAAGTCACAAGATTCCAATTAGCACATACTCACGTGTAGCTGACCACGCATTACTGCATATCCAATTAAAACCGTCTCCTGACTACAATTCATTCCCATCTTAGCCTTCATTCCCTTAATCCCTGACCCAGAGAACGTCACAATTCATTACAAAGTAAATAACAAGGTCACGACGCACAACCCTCTCGAAAACTAAGACAATTCAATTATTATCCAAACCTTAACGAACTCAGACATCGATCCAAATCAGCCTCAAAACAGGAAGAAAGCAGTACAGAGCGGAATGTAAATATTAGACTAGCACCGCCTCCAGCAGGACACTAAAGAAACATATTTGTGACAAATGATAAACAGTTTCACAAGAGACAAGAGACAACATTTTCGTTTCCGGTTAAGAGGCGCAGCAGTTTCACCAGAAAAACTGCCAAAATTGAGAATTAATCTAATTTATTACATTTTCTTTTGAGTTCCTCCTCTCTCTCTCTCTCATGACTGGGCATGATGATTACATAATAATACGACCTAACGAGGAGCAGATCATATTAGGGAGAAAGATAGGAGTGAAAGCACTTGACGCCGTCAATCCGCCGAGCCAAACTCGTTGCGAAAGTAAATTAGTGGGAGAGAGAGAGCGAGTGCTTACCTCTCAAAATTACTGGGGGTGAATAATAAACTAGTGAACCCAAGACAATAAGTAATGAACGTGAGGCAAATAAGTGGGTTGCAACATCCCAAAATGTGCATTCACTTCTACTTTCTCCATCTCTCACTCTCACTTTTGGAGAACTCTGCCTCGCACCACTTTACCCAGCTCTTCAAGAGCATCTCGAGAGTTGAAAAAGGCTGCCCGAGAATTGACTAGCACCAGGCGGGCAGACGGGAGGAGAAAGTGGCGGCGGTGAAAGTGAAGTGGAACAAAGCGAAGAAGACGAGAAGGATGTCAAGAGAAGGAGAGAGGCCATAGGCACAAATGGGAAATTATGCAAACACATCATCATTACACAGGCTTCCATGTCGTCCTCCTCCTCCTCCTGCTGCTACTAATCCGTTTCATAAATATTTCAAAGAGAAATTTCAAATTCTGGAAAATGGGCAAGTTGCATAAAATGAGAATGAATTGTGCATGAAAGTTTTACACTCGTTGGGTAACAATTTTCTTAATGTAATTTGATAATGGGGATGACATTATCATTTGAGGTTGAGTGAAATAAAGACTTTCTCTTAAATCGCGGCGCATCTTTTGGAGGAGAAAGTATTGGTGATTTGAGAAGAAAAAAGTTAAGGTTGAAAGGATTTTCTTTCCTTTTCTTCTCTTGTCTATTTACTCGTGTCATCCACATAAAAATTGACGTCTTATGACAATGGCCACTTTCTCCCTGGAGAAGACAGGGCTAAGCTTTCTCTGGAAAAAGTAAAGAAGGATTCATACCATTGGTTTGACGTGTAGTAGGCCAAGCAGTGGGTGACGTTAAGGGGGCTGGCTGGCTACCGACTTTGACAGTAATGTCGGCGTAGAGTAGACCAATATCGGCATCAGCAAAAGAAAAGAAATCTTTCCATCATTCGGAGAAAGCTTATTTCCCTTCTGCTGACTTTTGCAAATTGTGGTGGGTGAATATTACATTAACGACCTTGTGTTCTAGTGGAGGAGATAATTTCACATCCAAGACCCCTGCTGATGCTTCGTCTCTGTGTGTGTCATGTATGTCGTGACATATCGCGGCACCCTTCATCACTCGAAAAGTTGGAGAGTGGAAGTAGAAAGAAAAGTGTTGGATTTTGACGTGTAAAATCAAAAATGTTTCTTGGAGGGGATAAAATGACGAATATTTTGGCGTCTTTCGTTCCGATTTGAGACATAAGATTCATGAATATTTCATCCATCACGGGAGCACAATATGTTCGTATGTGTGGAGATCTGTATGATAGGCAGAGGGCGGCTATGTATTTATTTTCAACTTTTTCATTGGATGACGGTCCAACAGTTAAACTCTGTGGGTGTGTTCCTATAGATCACAAAAAATTCGAAATATTTTTGCATATTGTTACAGATTTCTTGGTTTTAAGACATATAAATATATTTACAAATATTTTCACAATTATTTGAAATGCGTCCTCGTAAATATTTTGTAAATATTTCAACGATGTGAGATAATTGTTTTGCTCAAAGAAATTCGACCACAAAAAATTCATACATTTAGAAATCAAATTTTGAGAAAATTTTAGTTTGTATGTTGCCTTCAAAAATATTTCAGCGATTTTTCGTAAATACATATCCGCCCTCTGACGATGGCTGCTCCGATGTTCGATAAGATGAATCTTGTCACGGGAATATAATTTCCAATTTGCACACGTGATTTCAATATGATTTGAAACTAATAAGAGCATATGCTTACATTATGGATTGACTAGAGCAGATAACTGACTTTGTTATCAATTTGGGCATGGAGCGTGTAGGAAATTTGATTTTGTCGTGATGCTAATGGCTGCTGTGACGGGTTTGTTGGTACGAAGACGGGTCGTATTCATGTCGATCTCGAGGGAGAGATGACATCTCATCTTTGTCCACCCACTGGATGAAATTAGAAACTTTCTCCACAACCAGCACTGAGAAAGAGAGACTAACTGTCAAGCGTGTGATGGATAGATCTGGGTCGAAGTAATGTGCTTAAATATTTTTTGAAGCAAAAAGAGCAATCTCCTTATTGTCCTCGGAACACAATGATTTGATTGATGGAATATTTTTCCGAATTATTCGTCCAGAACGACAAGATCTATCTAAAGTGGTACTGAGAAAATATTCTGTTTAAATTCGTTAAAATGTTGTCAGACATTTTTTTACCTTTATTTTGCATTATTTTGCATCATTACATAAACAAGGTATTTCAGTGAAATGAAATAAATCTATTTCATTACAATTCTTGACTAGGATTATAGTTTCTCAACCCTTTCATTACTGATAATGGAGGTCTCCGAGCGCATGCTCTCCGATTTTGAGCAAAATAGTGTCAATCGATCTCAAATTTAATTTATATGCAATTTGCAGAAGACATTATCTGCCAATGCTCAGGTTTGACGAAGATATTTGCATCTGAAGAGGAGAAAATGCGTCAAATAGTTGACAAATTTTAATTATCCTAACTTACTGTGTGTTTTCTCCTCTTTGGATGCAAATATATGTCTCGAAATCTTCGATTGGGAGCTCGTGTCTTTTGCAAATTGCATATTAAATAAATTTGCGGTTATACTAGTTTGGCCAAAATCTGAGAGCATACGCTGCGAGACCTCCCTTGTTAGTCGATGGAAATTATATTTGCGAAATAAATCCCACAATCGGATCATCAACTTATTATTATCATTATTATTTCTCCTTTTGTAGAGAGACTCCTTTTTGCTAAAACTTAATTTGTGAACTTGTATGTTTCGCGAAAGACTTGCAAAATCCTCTGCTCTCGAGCAGTTCAAAGTATCCTTCAGAAAGCAACGTAGCCCGTCTTTGTCCTATTACGTATAATGTAATAAGCTTTTCGAGACTTGCATGCACAAGAGGAGCGGATTGCGATCCAATATCATTGGAAATTCGTAACTTTTCATTACAGTAACAAATACGGCTTCATTAGTTCGATGGCATTATTTCCTTCGCGATTTCTCATTTCTTTTCTTGCTCTGCTTCCCCACAGCACAATGAAGATTGGATTTCAACCCAATAATCTTCACAACTGAGGGAAAAATCTCTTTGTAAAAATTGAATCTAAATCAAATTAAATCAAATCCAACCCATCCAATTTATTTCTCCTCGATCCTCTCGCTCTCTCTCAAAAAAAGGATGGAATGTTCCAAAGAAAACAAGAAACATTTCTTTCGAAAGGGAGGACACAGCCAGCCCTGTCCCCCAGGTCAAGGTCAGGGTCAAGGTCACCCGCAGCACCAGCAGTCAATCAGCTATGGCAGCTCTCGAAGCCATCAACAACCACATCAACGCTCCTTCGACATGATCTCAGCTGCACCTTCGATCACATCGTCGTCTTCTTCCACGAGTCGGGCTGGCGGAGGAACGCGCAATCTGCAACATGCAAACATTGAATTTGACGCGAAGCAGTTGCAAGCACTGCAAAATCTTCAGAATTTACAAGCTCTCCAAAATCTGCAAAACCTTCAGATTTCTGGGAGAATTGCGCAACAGCAGTTACTCCAGCAGCAACAATTGCATCAGAAACAGCAACAATTACTGCAACAACAGCAGCTTTCGAAACATGGCGTTGTTCAGCATGGAAATAAGAGCGCAATTTCCCGCGTGGGTGCGACCTCTGGAGCGTCGGGAAGTCTGGATGAGGCAGAAATCAACATGAATGCGCATCGCCGCTACATGCTCGCCCCTCGCCGGGCGAGAAGCGCGGAACGATTTGACGGGATGCGAGTCCAGTTGCAGCACCAGCAGTCCGGAAGTGGGAGTGGTTCTGGTAAGCAGCACTAATTTTTTTATTGGTACAATTTGTTGAAAGAAATGAGATAAATGAGATCCCACGAACAAAAAGTACGCCTTTTAAATCAGCCTTGAACTTGAATACGTTTCCAGTCATTTGATTTTTATGTGACTCATTTCACTTTCACTCCCAAAGTGCAAATTACTTATCCTCTCGTGGCGGAGGAGGCCTGGTGATTTGATGGTGTGTAGAGTAAGCTAATGTCGTAAAGCATCGAGATATAATGCGCCATTATGAGTTGAGAGTTATGGAGTCGTTCAAGTGAAAGCTGAGCATTGAACCCATGGGAGCTTGCATCTCGGTGAAAGTGCCACTTACACACTCATTCAGTTTTAGGGCAAACTTTCCCCAACCACCGCGACGACGAATGTTCAATCCTCCCAATTTACCTGATCGTGTTGCGAGCCTTCTGACTCATTCCTGATTCTGAGAAGGGCCAATTTATGAAACAAACTTATTCCACCACAACCCGCACCCGCACCACTGTTGAAAAGCAGATGGTACTGGTACGCGTGCAGCTGAAGGAACTGATTGTTACGTACTACGTATCACGAGAGATGGACTTTTATCTCTCTCTCTCTCGTCTGTCGGGATTGGAATTTAAGCCAAAATTCCTGGAATCATTTTCCAACTGGGGTTCTCACTGTTCACTCTTCAGTCGGATCGACCGACCTCGACAAAGACAACAATAACCAGTGAGGGAGAGAGAGAGAGGACAATGCATTTGAGCATTCAACCTTTTGTCTTCCATCCCAATGCGTAAATCCTTTGGTTGGAGGATGGTTGGTTTTAGGACTTTGTGCAGGACGACCGCAGCGAACGGGAGACATCACCAATTTGAAAAGAATTTCGGCCGTGTCTGCATTCCAATTGGAATCAAATCATTTCTGAAAATGGTCATTAGATTCCTATTCATTCGGACGCAGAAGAACTTGGCCCTGCATAGTTCCACTTCATTTTATGAATGATGGAATTTGCACCAGTTAGAATTTACGCCTAATCTAAATGAAATTTAGACAAAATATTGGGTAGAATAGAGTCAGATAAATACTGAAATTGTAAAAAATATCAAATTTAAGTTAAAAATTTGAAGCGGATGCAGTTTTAAAAGTTCAAAGTTTAAATTTCTCCCCTCCTCCAAGAGAAGAAGGTTATTGGGTTGCATTCATTTCTAGCTGAAGAAACTCCTTGTGAAAGCAATCTGGCGGAATTCAACCTTAACCGAATGCCCTTGCCCTTACTTTCTCCTTTGTAAACTTTCCTTTCTTGGTGGTTTGGTTGGTTAGTTGTTGGTTGGTTGGCTATAGGCGCGTATATAGGGCCTGAAGGTCTGCTTCACCACCACTTTCTCTCCATTTCCTCCTTTCTCCGACGACCGACTGACTCACGGTTTGATTGATACCTTTGATTTGGAAGGACGAAGGAACGTGGATTACTTCTCCATTTTTTACACGAACCATGAATCCACACGTGCCACCTTTGTCGAGGAAATATCTGAATATCTGGCTTGACAGATGAAAAATGAGAGGGAAACATCATTAAGGAGAAACCTCTTTTTGATTGAAGGAAAACTTGGTGATTGGATTCATTCGGAGTGTGTCCGCGGAATAGAAAATATTCATTTGGATTCATTCACGGGTGAAATTGCAATTCATTTTTCCACGAATTTCTCAAGGATTCACTTTATAAATGAATTAACTGTCATCGAACCTGCGTCTGAATTTTATCATGGTCATTAAATTTTGAAAGTTTTGCCCTTTTGCGTAGCATTGATAATCTGCACTGTTAAAAATGTGGTAGAGTCCCGGTACTGGTACTGATTTGGTAATAACTATTTGCCGGATTGGTAGTAGTTTCTTTCCGAGTGGTAAATTTTTAATTATAACACAAAATTCCTAAATATCTAATAATGCCCATTATTACCAGTGTCGGTAGAGACATATCCTCCAGTCAGTACTGATTTAATACCAGTTTTCTAAGACTACGCATCTCTACGTTAAATCGCAATATAGCGATTTCCAATGAGGATCAACACTTGACTCTATAATTTTCTTGGTGGCTACATTTTCCTGGAAATTTCCTCCTCCCTGGCGAGGACATGCCCGGCATAAATAGTGACGGAGGAATGAGCAGGCAGCGTGATTTTTGGCAAGGTTCCTCCTCTTGTGCAACATTTGGACTTTAATCGTATCGTAATCCAAGAAAAAGGATTTCCATCAAGCGAGCAGCTCGAGGCTGACAAGACAGAGCGACCCGACTGCTTTCTCCCACTTGCTGACTGGGGTTTCCCACCAGCCGACCAGCCAGGCACCATGGCAGGACGGAATCTCTTGACTTCTTGATGATGAGGATATCGATTTCAAAATTCGATAGAAACAGCAAATAAAGAGAGTGGGAGAGAGGGACCCAGACTAAATCGTGACTTGACTTGCACTCACTTTTTCTCCCTCCAACAAGAAGAAGAACCCACAACGGCGAGAAAGGAACCAGCCAAAAAAAAAAGAGAGGAGAAGACCTATTTACTAGAAATTGGATCCTGAGCGGTTTCGGATATCGGGTGAAGTAAATGGCGAAAAAGAGAAAGCGACTCAATTCCATTATCTCGAGAATAATGATCATCTCATCATTTCAGTATAATTACAGGAATTGTATCGGCGATGGTGGGTGGATAGGGGAGCGAATGTATTTTGGGCAGGTTCAGTTTAGTAAAAAAAATCTAGTGGGGCATGCCACTTTCGTGAGTCAGTCAGTTTTACACGTAGAGATCATAATAGGTCCACAGGAGATACCCGAACCACTGAAAAAGCGGTGATGATTTGGGTCTAATTTTGGTATTTGACATTGTTGTCCCACTTTTTGAGCTGGCAGGAGCCGGATTTAGGATTTGGTTTCACTCAAAAGATTTGCCAAGTTCGACACAGATAACGATCTCTTCAAATCTATTCAGTCCTGAATAGGTTTGGGATCGTTATCTATGATAATTACGTATCTATTTATGGTAGAGATGCACACACAATTATTTGCAAGCAACCGATACATATGCATGCAGAGCAGCGTGACATAATGGATTCTAAATCTGTGGTTTCATACAAAGCCTCGGGGATAAAATACGACATGTCCTTGGATCACTTTCCCCATCTCCGTGCATTGTTTAATCTTTGTCAAATTATGCAATTCCACATTTCTCACTCACTATGCTCCCCTCGTTTCATAACTTTTTACAACCTTGGTTCCTACTGCTGTTAAAAGAGCTCAGCCAGCAGCAGCAGCAGCCAGTCTCTCGTCATCATTACACGTCCTGATCTGAGCATAAGATAGGGGGAATGGCGTCTATTCATCAGTGTAGTCTTGCAAAATCAACATCTTCCTTTATCCCGTTTATCCTCTCCCTTCATGAAAGGGAAACTATATAGATTTTTCTATTTTTCTTATTACAACATTCTTTTTTCTCTTAATTTTGACTAAAAAGACCGGATCCACCCGCAAAAAAGGAGTAGTGCTGCTTTATTCCTTTACTCGTCCTCTTCTTGTACATATATTTCCTTCTTCTTCTTGTTCGAGATGTTTGGTTTAACCCAAATTCAGCTCGGCCGAATCGATTCTCAAGTCTTTCCTTTCATACGTAAAGTTTGCTACTTGTGTATCCACGTAAAAGTCGTGTGTCTAAGGACCGTCCTCGTCGAGTTTGAAGAAGAAGGAGGACGAGGAGGTAAAGAATTGAAGAGAGTGAGAAGTTGCCACTTTACTTGGGCCTCTGTCTGGCTTACAAGGGAACCTTAAGTACTGTCACCTCTCGATTTCCTTCGGAATAGCCTTAATCGACAGATAATTTAGTGAAACAAAAACTTTGTCATAGAACATGCGGTGCAAAATCGCGTTTTCGCGAAATATTTGGCGAGAGCTGCACCAAAACCTGCCATTTGCCCAATGCTTTTAACATAGCCACCAGCCTTTCGAATGATGAAATGAACTTTATAGAATCTCAATAAATTATATTTGTACCCGTCCGCGTAATTTCAGCCAGATCACGAATATGCAAAAAATGATGCAAAGATTCGCAAATTTTTTGCAAATTGCGAAAATATAAAAATATCCGCAAATTTGAATTTCTTCGTTTTTTTAATTCAACAAATTGATCAGTTTAACTGATATAAAATATACTTTTGTCATTGCAAAAAATTTGCACACATTTTCAAAAAATTGAACTTCGCAATTTTTCATGAAAATAAATTAAATAATCTATTTTTACGTGGTTTTCGTAATTATTTGTGGTATTTATTTTTACAAGTTGCAAAAACTTGGTGCAATTTTATAGTTCAATATGTAGAATTTTTTGCAATGTTAGCATGTTTTAATTGTTCAACAAATTAGCTTTTTTTATTCGCTCATACCAGCATATATGATAATTCTTAAGTTTCTATAAAAAGCAGAATTTAAAAATTGTAAACTTCAATTTTTTGCAAATTTTTGTAATTTTTTGGCAATCAGAAAAGTATACTTTATATCAGTTAAACTGATAAATTTGTTGAATTTAAAAAAACGAAGAAATTCAAATTTGCGGATATTTGCATTTTTGCAATGTGCAAAAAATTTGCGAATCTTTGCATCATTTTTTGCATATTCGTGATCGGGTTGAAATTACGCGGACAGGTACAAATATAATTTATTGAGATTCTATAAAGTTCATTTCATCATTCGAAAGGCTGGTGGCTATGTTAAAAGCATTGGGCAAATGGCAGGTTTTGGTGCAGCTCTCGCCAAATATTTCGCGAAAACGCGATTTTGCACCGCATGTTCTATGACAAAGTTTTTGTTTCACTAAATTATCTGTCGATTAAGGCTATTCCGAAGGAAATCGAGAGGTGACAGTACTTAAGGTTCCCTTGTTAGCTGAGCCTGGTGGGTGGGTTGGTTGGTCGGTGGTGGACGGGTTATTGGATGTTTTATTATGTGTGAGGGAGGCGAAGGAGGGGGTGAGGCAATCACGAGGAGAAAGTTGGACAAGAAAAGGACCACGTTTCTTGAATCATTCTGCAGTAACGAGCCCTTTGCATCCTCCTCAGAAGAAGAATGGGTCCTTGTAATATAGTGTAATTCGTTGCGGAGCAATTTCCTTGGACAAACACCCACTTTTTTTTCACATTACACAAGATCTATCGCCCAATCCCAACTGTTCACACTGTAGTAGTGCTCACTGTGTACAACGTATGTACACACGTATGGATGGAAGTATGGAAGTATGTACACAGAGAGAGAGGCATTCGGCCTGAATGGAGAAGATCTCACACACGAGAACAAACTTTCTCCCCATTTTCACCACTTTTTTCTCTGTTTGCTTCTTCCCAGGAAAGTGGGGAGTCTATTCCATAACAATAAAATAACCGGGGATGGGCATGTCGTAAGTTAGGCAGAGTAAATCTTGCCCTCTTTATCCCCTCCGATAACCTTGAGCTTGACACGTTGCTCATTTCATAAATTTGGAAAAAAGGAATAACAACAAGAGAGAACTAAAGTTTTCGAGTGTGTGTCCTATATGCATCTAAATGGCTGGGCTTCTCATGTAAATACGTACGGATACATGACACGAATCGGATTACGTACTTATCTACGATGCATTTTTATTACGACACACGTAACATGTCGTAAGAGTGGATTACCATGTACATACAACTGTGGGTTATGAAAGTGTGAAAATGACACGAACGAACAAAGTCTCGACTTACAATTAGTCTCTTGTCATCCTCTCACAAAGACTGAACTTGAATCGAAATCGGACTTTTCGCATGGGGGCAGAGGAGACATGATGATGAGCAAAGAGTGAATTTATCCGGACAAAGGGAGCACTTGAACTTTCACTAATTGGACTTGGACGACTATACAAACTTTACTTTAGCACCGTGTACGTATTTACTACGTACAACGACGGTATCCTGCAGAGTGAAATTTAATATGAACATCTACCCAGGAACAAGTATTCTCCCGGGTTTATAGTTTACATTATTTAGAATCCTTTCTCCAAAGGAGAACTTGTTCCGAGAATGGATCCAATACCTAACCGTTTGTGTAGCACGTATCCATCCAGCAGCAGATGGACGGACTTCTTGATGGCACTCGTACTATTTTGACGTGAGGTTGGAGGAATTTTGACATCGAGTTAAGGAACACTTTTCGAGTTTCGTTCCTTAGTTGAGCAACTTTGGGCGATAGTTTTGTGTTATGGAAAATTTTTAAGTAAAATAAAACACTGCGGGTTGGATTGGATGGGCAAACTCGTTTCGTTTAAAAATGCATGAGACATTTAAATGATTTCACTTTTTGAGAAACATTTTCTCCAGACAAAGTTACTGATTAATTCAAATTCTTTACCATCTATTAACAAGAAGGAGAGAAATTCTAAGAAATTGTAATTCTTGTTTGGAGATGGAAAAATAAAATGGAATACGTCTCACAGTGGAGAAAGTATGCATGCATAGTGGTAGGAAAGAGTGAGGGAAGGAAGGTCGTCGTATCGCCCTCATGGGAATGCGGACATCCTTCTTTTTAATTATTTCTCCATCCGGAGAGAGATCAGTCTGTCTAAAACTTCAAGTCGTGATGGGCCATAATCATTCTCAGTCCTTTCACTTAGCTCTTCTTCTCGTTTGAGTGTAAAATTAACAAGGAAAGTGAACTCTTTTTCCCCAGGTGAGCTGGCATCCTTTCTCGCCAACCCGAATACGATGGGACGATCCTCCGTTTCCAACAGCAGCCAAGGAGGCGAAGAAATCAGAAGTTATCGTTCCCCAGCTCTTCGGCAATTGGATAACACGTCGCTACCCTCGTCAGCGGCAGGGTCTCCTCTGAACCCGGGAGGGACAAACAATGGGATGAGTGGACCGGTCAACGTGACTCAGCAGCCGCCACCCAGCAATGCACCCGGGGTCCGAAGACCAATCCCCATTGTGGGCGTGCCCGGTGGGATTATTGGCGTCAAGTCTAATCTTGACTCGGGATATCCGTCTCCGCCACCATCTTATACGACGGCAACGGCTTCGTACACTACGGGTGGAAATGAGGTATGTACATATGGCGTTACTAAGATTTGCGTATGCTATCAGATTTGATCAAATTAGTGTCAATTTATCACAAATTTAATTCATATGAAACTTGCTAAAGACGCAATCCTGCAATGGTCAAACTTGGTAGAGATATTTGCATCCGAAGAGGAGAAAATTGGGATAAGTAAAGGCTAGTGTAAAATTTGTCAAATTTTTGTCACGTTTTCTCCTTTTCAAACTTCTCTACCAAACTTGAGAATTGCGAGATTGCGTTTTTAGCAAATTTCATATGAATTAAATTTGTTATCGAATGCAACTAATTTGGCCAAAATCTGAGAGTCTATGTTGAGAGACCTCCATTGTAAGTTTATAAATACGTGTACAAACAGTGCAGTAAGTAGCTAAAATGATACTCATTTAGGCTCGGGATCCTCCCCCGTATCATCAGGCGATTGCATCTGGAGGGATAAAGCATCCCCAAGCCCTGGGCCGCCCAGGAGTTAAGGGATCATCGTCATCTGGACTGGTGGGGAACAATCGGTACGCCACGATGGGTGGGCACGGCCACACCCATTCGTCCGGCAGCCACTCCCTCAGCTCCACTCCGACGGGCAATCAGGGCATCAGAAGCGTCGCTTCGACACCAATCTTCCCAAATATCGACAACTCTTGTGGGTGTCACAAGTGTCAGGTAAAAAAACACGCATATTTACCATATACATCCATTCTAGCGCAAAAGTTTTCCCAGTGTGAAACATTTTTAACACTCGAAATACATCATATTTCCACGTTACACATTTCACGCGGGGGTGTTGCGATATGGTATGCAAATCTCGACACAAATAAAATATGACGCAAACTTTCTCCCGTTTCGGGATCATATCCGTGCAGATCACCCGCTTACTTACATCGCTCCTCCACTCTCGCCCATAAATCCACCCAGACTTGTAAAAGTCTTCTCAATATTTGTGTCAGACTTATGAATGAAGTTTTTCCAAGGAGGCGACGTCGAGAGAAATCCAATAAATAAATCTTAAAGATTTTCCCCGTGATCCGAAAGGTTTGGATGATGTATGACGGCTGTTTTTTAAGCACGGGTTGAATCTCTGGCTTTGAATAAGTAAATGAAGTCAGGTCCTTTACTTAGTTCCCGTCTGGTAACTTGTAACTCCGACACAAGTTGTGAGCCACTGTTGCCACCAAGTCTCCGTCGGAATGATAATCTGGATATATTTATAGAAAACTTTTGAACGTGCACGTGTAGGCGGACATGAAGGAACCTGATTGAATTTTATGAGAACTTGCTGCAGGATTCATATCCATGTCAGAACAGCCAGAAGTGAGCATCCACACTGAATAGAAAAGATACTGGGAATGAAAAACTGCTGAATTTTTCATTTCGTGGGAGGATTAATCAATTATCGTTACGCATCAGCATTACAAGAGAAAAGTTTGTGAACATATTTTGCCAACAGGGCTCAAATTTCGGGGATATTTACGAAAAATTTTACAAGGCTGGGATCCTAATTTATCGCCCAAGCGAGGATATAGGATGAGGATGATGATGATGGTGCAAGTTAATGAATATTATAAATAATATCGCTTCTCATCGGTCCTCCATTTGGTTCAGTTTACAGAGGTGGGCAAAATACATTGGCAAAATATAGTATTTTGAACTCCGTTCTTCCCAGAAAACACAAAAATCTACGTGGAGAAAACAGAAGTCAGTCGAAAATACAGTTGTTTTTTTAATAAATTAACTTTTTATCGCTTCAAAATTTTTTATTCATAAAAAAATGTGAGACCAATATATTTTGACAGCGATACAAAGTTAATTTCTTTAAAAAAAACTGTATTTTTGACTGACTGCTGTCTTCTCCAAGTTGATTTTCGTCTTTTTATGGGTGAAACAGTCCTGGAAATCCAAACGCTGGGAATAACAGACCTCAAACCACTGCATTTTGACCCAGTATTTTGCCCACCCCTGGCTGGCAGTTTGAGTCTATAGGTCTGCGAACTCATCTTTCTCTCGTGTAATGCATGTGACATTTATTTGGTTTTGACACAGGAAATAACTTGACGTATAATTTGACGTGACCACACAGCCCTCTCTTTCACACTAATGACACACACCCTGGACGTGATTTCCATTCAATTGCATTCACACTTCTGAGAAGAAGGGAGTGAAAGTCTGCACCACAATTATGTTTGTTCAGTCATTCATTCACAGTTCACAGCGGCGGTGGTGTTGAGTAACCCACCACTAATTGAAGGAGCGAGCGGAGAAAGTTCGACAAAGCCTCGCGTCCTTATTTATCCTACATAATATTGCTTTTCATGCCAAGAAATAGATTGACTTTAGTGGAGAGGTGTGAGTGAAAGTGGAACCACAGAATTTCCACCTTCTTGATTCGTCCCATTCATAAATAATGATGTCACGTCACCCAAGTGGGTGCGAATCTTGATGCGAATCACATACATTTGTCTACGTCGGACCACCAGGGTTGGCGCTATGAGGCTGGGTGTCACATACTTATTTCTCGTGTAACAAGAGTAACTGTGTATTAATGAGAATGCGAATGACGTCAATTTGTTAATTTATTGAATTTGTGTAAGTCTATCACGTACCCATTTCCAAAAATTGTGCACCTATTCGTGTATGGTGAACTTTATGGCAAATTTGCATGTCACTTCCAAACTTGACCCCCAGTATCAAAAACATGACAATAATTCGTCTTTTCCAAGAATAACAAATTTTTCCTAAATTTATTGCAATAGTTTTTTGTAATTTTTTATTTATTTATTTCTTGTCATGTAGATAGAATTTGAAATGAAAGCAAACTTTCCCCCAGTTTTGACACAGAAACTTGCGTGTAATCCAATTATATAAATATCAATCGTGTCGTGTCATGTGACTTTTATATTTTTAGAAGAGTATTGAATAAACTGGTGTCAAATTCGGTTTAAAGCTGGTCGATTTCATGTAAACGAAAGTGAAATGGTATCTTCTTAAACCTGTAGAAAGCAGGATGTTTTTTGATATCAAATGCAATTTTTGTTGACAAAGAATATCCGGTTGTGACACTTTTTTAGCGAGAGAATAGCACATCAAATATCCTTCCCGTCCCATCCACCCACACGTCTCTGCATTTTTTTTTTGCTTACCACCCGTGACACGCTTTCACCTCGCTTCTCTGTAGCACGTGAAACAGGAAGTTGCTTCAGTTTTTGGCATTTTCACACAATTCCAATCTCATTCGGTCTGATCCATCTCCTTTTCCAGCGCTATTCAATTTCCACTCTCTTCCATTATTATCAAAGTAGATTGGTGTCAATGCCGAAATAAGTGAGGAGTGAGTGGGTGGTCCGGCAGAGGGGGGAAAGCGACAGGCGATGAATTCACAAATTCTTTGTGTCCATGTGAAATCTAGGCTAAACTAAACGAGCCTCGCGGTGGGGGTCGGACTCACAATTCTTTCTTTTCAATTTTTCTCTCTAACAAAAAAAACTAGATGTTCTAGTATTCCATTTCATGCACTCTAATAAGAAGTAAACAACGCAGTAACAAATTTGTCTCCGATGTAGGTTACGATTTGGTATACCGAACGGTTTATGGTTTTCATGATTATCAAAAAGCGGATATGTATTTACGATGAATAGCTGAAATATATACACGTATATTTAATGTTTTCGAAACCGCGTCAAAATATCTATAATATATGTGCGAAAGAAGCATTAAAATAATAATTTTCGTAAAATTTGTATTTTTTAATCGAATGCTCTGGATTTTTGTGGTCCAATTTCTTTGAGCAAAAAAAATTCGTAGTACATCGTTGAAATATATTTTTTAATGTATGTATTTAAAACAAAAAATATATAGGGGAATCCACCCACAAAGTTTGACCATTGGTCATCATCAAATGAAAAACTAGAAAATAAATGCATATCTGCCCTCTGATAATTATCTCAAAACTCATATTTATCATCCTGTTGTGTGCCATTTATTCCAGCGTATTATCAAGTTTGAGTCTCATGGAAAATTAGGTATTATCAACCGGTAGCAAATCGTTAATGGCCACAACGATGAAAATTTCGTTACATAATTTATCATGCACTCTCCACTTTAAAAGGACGATACCTTTTAACCTTGGTCGGGTAGACTGCACGACTGACTACGTGCAAACCTTTGCCATTGGTCATTTCATTGTACAATCATGACAGAATTTATTGAACCAGTGGAACTTGCGAGCCTGTACGTAATTTAATAATCTCAATCCGGAAACCAAAACACTCGTCTGGCTCGTTCAACGCAGCACTAAATTATGAAATCAAGGACAACATCTGGATTTCCTTTCATTTCAGGTTTTCTTTCCAAACTCAACGCTCACTTTCACTCACAGCCAGAGAGAAACATCACAAAGTCGTCGTATCCACCTAGCAGGATGAAAATTCTGTGAAATATGTACGACATTTGGCCGGAACAATGTGTTTGTGACAACATCAAACATGCCCTCTTTGTGTTTAGCTTATTGTGCACACTTGGCTTTTCTCTGCTAACTTTGTTAGACGCACACGAGCAGAAAAGCTGTTTGAATTTAGCATGAGATTGTAACCGTAAATATATCAAAATCAGAAATGTGAATGATCAAAGAGCGACATGATGACGTGAAAAACCGGATGACAGGATGTAAACTAAAAAGGCTTGTTTTTTTATGCTTGGAAAAACTTGTATACATTATTTCGTCGCAGAAAGTGATCTGCGACTTGACAATTTACACGGAATAAACAATTTTGTCATGTTTCCATCAAGTCAGATTTCTTTGCTGACAAGGTTAAGTAATTCCGCAGCATTAATCTGCAAACAAAAAATGTGGCGCGTGTCGTCCTTCAGGTACCCTCAAAATCGAAGTATGCAAATTAAATTAATAAGTATGTAAAAAAATGGTTAGAAAATTGTAGGGTAAAAATTGATTACATATAACGGGACATTGTACATTCTGATAATAATACAAAATTACAGCCAAATTAAGAATAACTTCCTATAATTCAATTCTGGTTTCGGAATTAGTTTGTTTTCTATTTCGCGTATGGCGTGGCTGAGGCAAATTGCGAAATATGGTATGCATAGGGAATTAAGTGGACCGGAAGGTGATCAAATTTGTTTCCACTTCTTCTTTAATAAGGAAGTGGGCAATGAACGAATCGCAGTAAACGCAGGATAAATTGAGCCACGTGTCATCCCAATCAACCTTTACGTGGGTGGCACACATACATAATATGAGAGTTTATGACCTTTACTTAAGTAGTATTAAGCAAGACGATTGATCCTGCGTCCATGAGAAAGAAAGGTTGTTTTTGGGCACAAACGCTAAGAATGGAGGTCTCTCAGCGTATGGTCTTAGATTTTGGCCAACCTAGGATTAATCGATCACAAATCTAATTCATGTGAAATTTGTAAATGACGCAATCTCCCAATGGTCAGGTTTGGTAGAAATTTTTGACTTCAAAGAGAAGAAAATGCGCCATAAAGTTGACAAATTTTACACTTTCCAAATTTACTGGGCGCTTTCTCTTCTTCGGATGCAAATATCTCCACCAAACGTGCCCATTGGGAGATGTGTCTCCTGTAAATTTCATATTAATTAAACTTGCGATCGATTGACACTATTTTGGCCAAAATCTGGGAGCATACGCTGGGAGACATCCTCCATTGTCAGTAGTATTAAATTGGATTCTTTCCATTCATACGAAACGAAATCCATATCTTCGACGAGGCCTTGGGAAGAGAACAAAGGGAAGAAATTAATCCTTATTTGGACGATATTATTACTGTATGGCACAGAAGATGTATACAATAATAAATACACCTGCTACTTAATTAAGAATCAGGAGAGAAAGATTACGTCTTGACACAAATAGAATTTTTGTATTGTCTCAAATAACACTATACACGTGTGTACTTTCACTCTTTGAAAACTGGTATTAAATCATTCCTGACCAGAGTACATATTTTTACTTTACCGACACGGTAATAACGGGCATTACCGTTTAGTAATGTTGTGGTAATGAAAAATTTACCACTCAGAAACAAACTAGTGCCAATCTGGTAGGAAATTATTACCGAATTAATACCAGTACAGATTATATATGCGTTTCTACCAGAGTTTTAGCAGTGTTCTTATCTCGCCTTGAGTGATTATGGATTTCAATTGTTTCCAACTTTCCCACCAGATTTCCTTGAGTATCTACATGCTCGCCCCATTTAAGGAATGAAATGGATTGTATAATCGCCGCTCTTTTTTTATTGGAGAACATTACGTTGTATAATGTCCCCGAATCGTATGTCCCCCACCCGTCCACGGGCAAAATGGGCAAAAAAGAGTAGAGGAATTGAATTAGAGCGAATTCACCAATCAACCTTTTCTCACTGGCTTTCTCTTTACTTTCACTTGTTCCACCCGACTTGGGAAAGATCACGCTAATTTCTAGAAAAGTAGCCTCCAGAAACCTTTACATTCTTGGAAGGTAGATTCTTTTTCTTCCTCCTCGAGTTTTTTTTGTTGGTTGGTGAAAGTAAAACTTTGCTCGTGAATTGCATCAAATGTCCCGTTTCCGAGGGTTAAATGACATTTCTTTACTACTTACTTTCCCTCAATTTACCTCCCATTCAGTTTTCCTCCAGTTTCAGGTGTACTATTTCTTGGGGTGGTGGTAGTAGGCACGTACCTACGTTCATGGGGTTAAAAATCACGTCGCGACAGATTTTATCAGCCCTTATTAATCATTCATTGCCCTCTTGTGAGGGTAGAATATACATAATTTTTATTGCACTTACCTCGCAGGAATCTAACTTAGTTTTTGTGATGATACAGTTTCAAAGAGAAATTTCATCTACTTAATTATGCGTTGTCAGTGGGTATATGTGGATGCCTGCAATCCTTGAATCTGCCTCGTCCGGTGTGTAACTACAGGTTTTTTTTATGGCTTTCTCCGATTTTATTGCTGCCGACAAGCAGCTACCGGTACAGACACTTTCTCCTCAACTATCTCCAAAACCACCACCACCACTTTCTCCGCTTTTCCTTCCTCTGTGCCTCAAAAATAGTCCGGCAGGAGCTACGAGCCTGGCCTTCGACTTTTCTCTTGTAGATTCGACAAGTTTGGCCAAGTTGGCAAAAGAAACCCATTTTATTATTGCATTACTAGCTTCCCAAGAATTTACGTGATCTAAAAGTCCGCCGACGTGGGAGGTAATCTAGCAAAAATGTGGGAACACTTATACTTTCCTTCATTCACAGCCCCCTGTGCATCAGCGGAAGGAGGTAAAAGTTGGCCAGGGAAAGTAGTTCTAGGCAAAGTCAAGTGCACCAAGTTTTACACGGCGGACGTACGAGCGAGGGAAAAACTTTTAATGCAAAAACCAATAAAAATCAAAGAATTTATGCGGACAAACAAACTTGCCGGCATTAATATTATCTTATAATATTATCTTGCAGGTTTTTTTGGGCGAAATTAAAATATTAAGTGACACATTGTCTAATTTTGCATTTCAGTTGCAAGGACGAACTCATGAGGGCGATTATAACGATGCAGTCTACATGGAGAGCCAAGGTTGGTCATTTACAAGGTTTTATAAGCATGACTCGCCAAAATGGTCAAAATGAAAACATTTTTACTCATTTTTTAGCTCGGAGAATTTGTTTTAAAATTATGAAAGACAAATTTGTAGTGAGTGAGTGAGTTGATTAATAGAATGGCGGTGAGGTTTTAATCCTATTTCGATGAGATTAAATTTTTCTGAAGGGTTCTTAACCTTGAGATCTCCTCCGTCAAAATCTTATCAAATCTGGAGTGTACATTTTTTCTAATTGGCAACGACCTGCTCTACAAATTTGTCATCCAGCATTTTTAAGAAATGATTAAAAATGTGCTGATTTGGACACTTTTGGTGATGAGACATCGAGTCCTACATTAAAGCATTAAGTCGTACCAAGGGCATTAAAAAGTGCAAGTTTTTAACTCATTCTCCTCTAATTTCAGCTTTTCTCATGCACGAAATAATGGTAAGTGACAGACAACAGTCCAGGATTATGAACTCCTTTATTTTTTAACCCATTCATTTTTATCTACACAGACGGACGGGATGGCGTTCTGCTCCATCGTTTAAGCAAATTGGATTACCAAGCAAGCAGAAAAAAATGAACGAGTTTCACAAGATTCTCAACTTGTCAACTTATGCACGTAACAAGGGCAAGATTTTTCTCGTAATGATGTATGTACACATTTATGTACATATACTAACAATCAATTAAAGCATGGTTTGCCAGTTTTTCTACAAGAAATCTGTCGAATCATGTTCTTCTTCTGTACTTTCTCTCTGAAAGTTTACTTTTCCTTCAAGAAAGGGGAAAAATAAGTATGTACTTTACGTAAGTTTTAAAGAATAGAGAAACATGCATGCATAAGCAACTTTTTAAATCTAAATGTCACAACAATTTGTCAATGTTACGTATGATGAAATGCAGTATTAGTTTTCAATTCGACGCACGAACAAGTTCTTTCAAATTTTCAGATTCACCTCCTATAAGTAAATATGCCATATATTTACCTGATATAACTTATTGCACAACTTTCCCCCTGAATTTTTAGCCTATCATCATCAATTCTCTGGAAATACGTATCTGTCTGCCGAATTTTAAGCCAGTGTAGTGTAGTAGATACTTACAATGACCAAAATTTGGGATTAAGGGCATGCACGCATGGTCGACTCGCTTCCTTCCCTTCTCCCAACAAGAGAAGATGGGTATGAATCGGAACTGCGACTGAAATGTGTACCTCTGAACGCGTGGGTTATCCAAAGATAACATTTTCTCACTCCGTGCATACTTTCTCCCACACGAATTGACACCTGAACGCACAACAATTTGATATTTCTAAGATTTTAAAGTAGTTAAAAATTAGGACGAAATCTGTACTTGCCGACTCTCATTTGTCACGTCATAGAGAAGCGAATGGTATAGAGAACCCAACTCAAACTGTGAAACGATGCGGAATAATTTGCTCGAAGTAAAGAGTAAGAAGGGAAAGAGAAACGGGTGGAATAAAGTCTGGAGAAATTATGCTTCTCCTCAGTGTAAGAGATTTGGGGAGAAAACTTTATTGAACTGGGCTCAATAAGTATGAGACGAAAAAGTGGGTCTACTACTTGAATAATATGTATGTAAAGATTAGTGATAAAAATTGCAAGTTTTTTATAGAATCCTCCTCTTTCTTTCTTTCTCTCTCTCATATGTGTCCTTATCATAATCATCATCATTTTCACGCTCGTCATTACTGTCATCATCTGAGTCGACCCAATCGACCTTAGTTGAAGGAGGTGATTTCATTTCTTCATCTCTTCAGCCCGTGTATGGATTGGATCAAGTCCTTGTGTGCATGATGAAGGATGGAGGAACTTTCTCTGCCCGACCTTAATTTTATTCCATCCATCCATCCATCCATCCACTTTCTCCTGGCTTTCTCTCCTCTCCCCTCCTTGCTACCTTGCTACCTCGCTTTCTCTCTTAACAGTCTTGTTACGGTGTGTGAGTAGTGGTTCGAGAGGGAAAGTGGTGGTGGGCACGGCTCAGCATAAGTGAGTCAAGCATCAAATCACAGGCCCAAGGTTGTCTCTTTTTCTCTCTGGGCCAACTCTTGGAGAGTGAGCCGACATCATCGTCTCATCGGAAAGCAGGGCGAAAGTGGTTGTACATATGTACGTAACGTACGTAGCAAAAGCAGTGGCAGGCAGGCAAGTCGGCTCATTTGAAATATTGATTCAGCCAGAATATCTTAGGCAAATTGTGTCTGCTTTTGTAACTTTGTCTGTTGACCGAGTTGTCGGAGGAGGCAAGTCAAGACAGGCAACTGTTGGTCCAGTCAGATGGAAATCTAGGGCTAAACATGGGACTCTGCTGAGTGAGTGAAGCAATCAAACGGTTAGGGAGGGATGGAGATGGCAGGGTTTGGGCTACGTAATAAGGTTGGTTAGGATACTTGTGTTAGGAGAGGAGTAATTTTCTTGCCCGTCTTTCTTTGTGAAGGTGAAACTGACGGAGTGAAGGGAAGGTTGTGGATTTTGACTTTAAGCTTGGATTGAAAATTTGAAAATTGATGGAAAGTGGAATCGATTTCGAGTGATGTTTGATCTGTCAAAATACTCCATGACGAAGGGAATACAAGAGTTGCACTAGGATTGAGTTTGTGCTTCGTTTAGTGTAACAGGTTTAGGTTACTGTTTTCTTGGAGAGAGAGAGAGAGAGAAAACTCATTTTTTCAACTAGATTTTGTTGATTTGTTTCTTGTTTCCATTCTGGAAAGTGAAGCGACATGTCCATGTCAGCTAGTAGAGAAAAGGGAAAATGGTTGGCTCAGTTTTTCGGAGGAGAGAAAGTTCCAAATTCTGTCCAACTATTCATACATATTCGTTGTTGTTCAACTTTTCGAATGGATTCATGCTTGATATTTGTAGTTTCTCCGAATTTTGAGGAGGATGCTGACACATTACAAATTACTATATTTTGTGCTGTACTGCACGGCCTACTTTATGATATTATGATTAAAGCAATTTCCCTCGCACAGCGTGATGTAGATTAACATTATACTCCAAGATTTGTGCTGGATGATGTACAACAACAATTTTCCCCGAGCATTATGTATAATTGAACGTTCCAGCACTTTCACCAGGCTAAATGACTTTCTTCCCCTGAAACCGTGCCGGCCTCAACAAATCCCCAACAAATCCACCAGTCTAATTACTTTGCTGGCTTTAGAGTCACAGAGAGGAGGAGCATTTACTTATTTAATGGAAGTGCACTGAAAAGTGAAAACAGACCGTGGGACAGATACCTACCTGGGCTAGAACTACGACGCATCACGAGATCGATCATGGCTTGAGATGGATTTGTTAACGTTTGTATGAATTCATTGGGTTTGATTTTTAAAGGGAAATATCAAGATTCACGAACTTCTTGCACGTTCTACTTGAATTTATTCATAATATTGTTTTTAAAGTCCGGGTATGGTGAAATTACATAATTTTTCTGCATAATACTCTTATTGATTAGTGTAATTTTGACTTCCAAATTATGTAAACAGCATTGTTACATAATTCCAATTAGTAAAATCGTAAATTGGGAAGGAATTAGCAAGAGCAAACCCTATTTATTAAGTCTATGAACCAAGTGCTTGTCAAATGGAGGCTGAAAAGCTATAGGAGAAACACAATTAGGAACTTTGACAAGATATCATCATCCAAAAATCACCAAAAACACATTGGATACCTTAGATTCTGATTATGGATTTTATCATATCACGTGAAACGGAGTTACATAGAAAGCTCTCTTATGTTAAGTGGCATTTATGCCATAAATCTTATGCAACTTCACATAAAACCCGAAAAATCACAAGCTCCCGAGTTGACAAACGAATTAAACTAAGGAATAGTTATTTAGTCTTTCCCTTCTATTCCTAAATCAATGCACATTACTCAAAAGAGTAAATTGAGACAAGTACATTACCAAAGTTTTGACATTTAGTAAATTGAGTTTTCCACCCAGAAACCTTGACTCACGAGTAAAACGCAGCGCAGCAATGAATCGATCCCTCTCTCTCCTTAATCTGTCAAACAAGCAGGAGAAGAAATTTAAAAAGTTACGCTTACGTAACCCACATCATCCCATTCTCCCTAAACTTTTGTCACCTGCCCGAATTTTCATTACCTTCACATGCCACGACATAAGAGAGAGAGAAAAAGGGATAAAGTTATCCGGATAAAGTTGCGTGACTTGATTTTCCTTTGTCTCTCAAGTACATGTTTAAGTGGCTGACCACAAAACACTCTTTCTCTCAAAATACTACTTCCCCCCATTCCCACGCACTCAGAAAACCCGTTCTATCCATCTTACGTAAGGGGTCTTCTGTTTCACGTCAGTCAATTATCATACGTGTGGCTGCACTTTCTGTCCTGGCAAAGTTTCAAGAAGAAGACTTGCTGAAAGGAAAAAGTGGTCAGGAAGGAAAGAAGTTATGAAGAGTAAGTGGTGGGATTGCATTCCTGGGGAAAATTGTCAGGAGGATAAAATTTTAACCGACTTTTGTGTGGACATACAACGTATTCCACTCTTCTTCGGACTCGTATAGTCTCTCCTGGGGAAGGGGAGGAAAGTTTGCTGAGTGAATTGTGAAATGGGTTCAGGTCAGAGAAATCGGGAAAGAGAATCTTAGCAATTTAGCAGAACAAGAGAGACCAAAGTTTATAAGTTGAATGCAATGCAATCTCTTTTCGCAACATTCAATTTCGCAACGCATACACATCTTATCGTGCTTGCATACGTAGGGGGAAAGTGAGTGAGTGAGTGAGTATCTGTGTCGTAGGGACGACTTTATTCCACTTTTCTTCCCAGAGAGGAGTTGGCTGGGTTTACGCAGGAGTTTATTAAGTAAGTACATCCATCCACTACCTGAGGACACACAATCGTGGTGGTGACAGTGTGCGAAATGTCTGAAAGTACGAAAATGGTTAGAGGTGAAATGTGGAGAAAGTTGAGATGCTTTCACAGCTCGGGGCACACACGCGTCGAGGTGTTGGTGATATGGCTTCGTTTTTTTATTCTGGAGGTGTTTGAGCTGCGTTAAGTAGAGAGTTGGAGTAGATTTTGTCCCGGTATGTGTATCACTTTGTGGCAAATGCCTAAATGAACGTGCCATATAAATTGTTATCTCTGCCTCTATTTTGTCCACTTAAGTATGTGCAACCTTCAAAAGTTGGTTGTTGCTGAATGAAATATTTATATACGTCAGGAAGGAAGAAGGGCATGGAAACTTTAACTTTGTTTCCTCCTCCTCCTCCTCCTCTAATCATCCACCCACCCGAAGGACCGGGACTAGATGAAAGCTTTATTATGTACGCGATGAGTAATATTGCATTTGCAAAGTTTGCCTATACTAAATCCCCGCAGGTTGTGAGGAGGATGATGATATTAAACCCAAAGATAAACCGTTTAGATTAGAGACATTAGTGCGAGTTATGGGCAGCTGTGTGAAACTACAACTTTGCTTCTAAACAGTTTCGACAAAATAATATTATCAACTCGACCCAGAGAGATGCGATGTGATGAGAAGGAGGTAGGCATAGGCTGCTAAAATCTATACGGTTTAGTATCATCACGGCAAATTAGACCAAGGACGAGGCTCTCGTTGGGTGCTGTGCTGGGCTCTTTAGAAAATGCGATTAGTAACTGTTTTGTAGCGTTGTGCATTGTGCCCGATGATGATGATGAGTTGCTTTTACCACCACACAATTCACGTCTCATGTCCAGAATTTAATCCGCCGAGAGAGCTTGGGTGGTGGGAGAGAGGATACAATGGAAAGTGTGGGTGGGTGGGTGGTATTTGCAACAAAGCAACAAAGTGCAAAATTTATGATGGGGTTTCCTGCAACTGGTACGTACATAAATATCAGAGTTGGTGAAAGTATGTAATCTCTAAAATTTGCACATATCATCCCTGTAAAAATAAAGTGGAAGGATTTTCTTGCTTTGTGGAGCTTATGTAGTTCTGATAAATGCGCAGTTTGAATGTCCACCATTATTCCACGTAGAGAGAGGGGATGCTATTTAAATATATTAATTAAACAGTGAACCAACGATGCATCCGACCAACAGCTTATCTTCATTATTAGTGAGCATACATCAGGCAGGAGATAATTTTCTTGTTACACTCGTCTTCTCCTGACTAACGAGGTGGTTTCATTTTCATTCCTCCCCGGAATTACACACTCTCTTGACTTTCATCATTTCCTGATAATTTAAGAAATTGGATTACATTTCATTTAAAGTGAAAGTGAAGTTGGGGGCAAGTCGGCCAAGAATGTCATCTCATTAAATGATTTATCCTTCCTTCTCAGAACCACCAGCGGCCTGCTCAAGTTCTCAGAGTTATGAGACATTTTTTCCCTTTCTCTCTTCTCCACGATGATGATTATACCAACCAAAGGATAACATAAGGGTTGGACATGACGGCGGAGAAAGTTGTGGTTCTGGGACACTCATTCCGCAGACCAAGCACTTTGTCGGCATGGGGAAAATTGCAATTAAAAATTTTGTACGATTCAAGAAGAAGAAGAAGAAGAAAGAGGAATGAAATTGCACATTTTTTGCTGACCCAAGAAGAGTAATTTGGAGGCAAGTTTTGTGCGTTGGGTTGGCCGAGAGAGAGATGATAAGGTATGGGAGAAGGAAGACTAATAAATTCTACTGTTTTCTCCCAAATGCTCATGAACTTGAAGTCCTGCGACATTTGGCATCACGATCTGGATCTAGATCAAGTTTTCCTTCTTCTCTTTCTCTCTGCTAACTCTTTCCTTTGTGGAGCGAGATCTTTAATCTTTTACGGATTTGTGGTTTGTTGGCTACAGTAAAAGAAGACCTGACTTTTGGCTAGGTTTTTGTGTGCGGAGGGAGAAAATGATTACAGTCTTAGAGGCACGCGATCTGATTTAGGGTTCCGATTAATAAATTATTATCCTTTCTTTCCTGAAAATTTTGGCAAAGTTTAGAAAATAATGAGAGATCTGGTCCAAAATGTTATGTCGAGTTCGAGTGGGGTTCTTTAGAACGTAGTTTTATTCTTTTGTAGGAAAAACGACATGAAAGAATTTCTCTTGCTATGGATTGAAAATCTGTGTCAAAACTTTCTCCTCTTGGAAAATTATGTAATAGTAATTAATTTGAGATTAATTATTGAACTGAAAATTTTGGAAATGACTTGCATGATTCGTGTTCCGATAAGATATATAAGATTAGATTATAACAACGTACGTAACAAATTTTAAGTGGAGGTGTGACCACTTTGATTAAAATTCCAATATTTTCGGAATTGTGCACTGCTTAATGTAATGTAATGTAGGTAGCAAAAGATAATTGCATTAACATTTTATGATTGTATTTAATTAATTAGTAAATAGGATTTACTAATTTAGAATTAGTTTAGAATTATTAACTTAACTTTTCAGTGTAACAAAGAAGAAGAAGTTTAATGAAAGTTTGGGATTACGGGAAATGTTTAAATTTGTACATACAAACAATTAAGAAATTTAAGAAATGCATTCTATGTAGAATAGCAGAACGGAGCTGGAGCTGGTCTCCTATTCTGATAAGTTATTATCGAAATATTTAATAGAAATTGATGTGTTAAGTAAGTACTTAGAATTAAAGTAAAGAATGAATATGCAAATGCACAACGAGTGGGCAAGACCGTGAGAAACAACGCTGTGACAGATTTGACCAAATCAAATTATTGGAATTATATGGATTTTTTGTAACGTGCGTACCTTATCTTATTGTTAATTATTTAGTCGTATGAGTCAAATTGAGATGTATAATATTTATAAGTAAATAGCCAGACTTTCCTTTCCACGCGACTTTCTTTTCCAAAATTCGAAGCAAAACTTTACCAACGTGATTTAGGAGGAGATTTTTGATACCTTGTCGTATCCTACTACTACAATCACAAAAGTTCAAATCAGAGACTTAACTATGCTAAAAATACAACTCTACAAGGAGTGAAAGTCAGCCAGTCAAAATTTTCAGAATGCCGAATTCAGTATTCATTCACTCGCGCATTCGTACCGTCAATTAGTTTGTGGAGTTCAACCTCGATAATATTTTGTAACAAAATTTTAAACAGGCAACAAAACAAAATTCGCTAATCAGGAAAAAAAGTATTATATTCGAGAATGATTGGATGAATGGAATTACATGATCGCCAATTTTGTGAAAATTTATGGCGATGGTTATTTGTCAATCACAATTCAATTATTGAAATCAGATTCATTCATCTCTCTCTCTGCTATCGGTATATAAATATTTACTAAAGTACATAAACCAATATTGATGTTTGATACCAAAATGCAACTGTCAATGTATTGATAACAATGTAATGGCTATTTTGAGCTGTAGAATTTAATTGTGTAATACCACGTATTTATGCACAAGCTCGTAGGAGAGCTTGCAGATTAATTGGATTCGACTTATTCTCATGAAAATGAGTTTGAGTTAAGCCAGGATTTTATTATTATATGGATATAAAGCTTATCAAGCACTGATTTACTTGAAGAAAAACAACTTGTCGGTGCTACGTGTGCATTCTAAATTATTGCCAATTGATTGGTTAATTGTATAACTTATGTAAAAGATATTATTCTTCTTGGTGTACAACTTGCTTTGTGGTTGTTGTAAATAAAATCTCAAATGAAGAAATATGATACCGATTGCTCATTTTCTATTAACGCATACTGAAAGAGATACATTTAAAATGTAAGTATTTAACTAAACGATATTTTTGTGTTGACATTGCTATAAAGCGCGATGACAAATTAGAATGCTAACAGTTCGGAAATCGTAATATCACGAATACTTGTATTAAATATATATATACTTATAATCTACATTTGTTGCGTTGAATTTCCGTTCCATGTCGCTTTCTCTTCGTCCGAATCTTCCTCTGTGTTGCGAAGTCTGTGGATATTTCCGTCAGTGCTTTTTTTCCTTGAAAAATAAAAATGAAACTGTAACATTTGCAAAGAAAATCAAACTAGTTCAAAATTAAAATATGTATATTTACCCTTCTCCGGATTTGTTACTGGCATTCTTCCTATTTCTTAACTCTGCTGCTCCGGCAGCCTGGCTTTGATTAGATGATCCGGCCGTACTTGAGGAAGGAGTGTCTTCAGCACCAGAATTACCAGGAATGGGTCGAGTACGAGCCGTAGTTGGTCGTTGGTTTGTTGGTGGAGCGGTTGGCGTTGTCGAAGTACCAGAGGAAGGGAGGGCTCTTTGGAGTAAAGAGTAAATAAATGTAAAAGGGATGACCAAATAGCTCACAATTAGTGAAATCCATCTCCCTATTCCAGATCCGCCACCACCGAGAGATGAAGTTGATCCGGAAAGCTGTCAAACAAAGATAATTAATGATTATTCTACTGCCAGTTTGAACTACAGGTTCATATTTTGGATTTACGGGTAGAACCAACAACGCGGCTGAAGGAACAAGGCCGAGGTCGCGTAGTGTGGAAACATATTCCGCATTAGTAAACTGTCGGCGTGGGTAGGCGACGGAGAGTGTAAATTGTCTGTAATATAAAGTAGTTGGAGCATTGTAGTCGGCACAAACAATCATCGATACAATTAAATACATATTTCCTCGCAAATAATTCTTTTTTAAAATAAATATCCTACCTGAATGGTAAATGATTGCCATCCAGCAGAAAGGTACGAACATCTCCAAGTGTGACACTAGGTTCAAACGCATGTGAAATAGAGGATCCAGACGGTAAGCGAAATTGAAGTCGGGCCATGCCACTGTAATCTTTCGGAGCTGAAGCACCTGTTCCTAACCCGACTGGTCGAGACCCCGCTGGTGGCGCAGAAGAAGATTGATCATCTTGAGGGGGCACTGGTCCTTCTTGTAGATAAGAAACGTTCGATCTTGCATTTCTTGCAGCTCTATCCTGAGCAATTTGTTCACGCAATCGTTGTCTCAATTCTTGGTCATCTTTCTTTTCCTTCTTCCTTTGCTCAACCAATTGCTTGGCTTCTTGCTCATCCTGCCATCGTTTCAGTTCGGCGAGACCTTTGCCCATATCACGGCGCTCTCTTTCTTTACGTTTAACATCCTGTTAAAATTAGTTAACCTAGTTAGTTAATAATAATTCAATCAATTGTAAAAATTAGTTATTATTACTTCAGCCTCTTCAGCAAGTTTTTGCTGTCTTTTAGCTGCTGCGAGTCGTTGTGCCCTCTCAATCTTATCTTCCATTGAAAGATTTTCTTGATTTGCTGCAAATTCTGCTTGACGTACGGCTTCATTTGCATTTGACAATGCCTGGGCTGTCGCCGAGGTTCCGGCGGCGGCATTAACTCCGCCATCCGCCGCTACTACTGGTGCTGGTGGCGATACTTGTGGCGCAGGCGGAGCGATTGAAGCACTTAACGCAGAACAGTGACGAGAATATGCCGACTGAAATTTTACTTTTAGTTCTGAAGACGTGTGCGGAGTAGAAATGACTTCAAGTGGGGAACCACGATCCCCAATTAGATAAATAGACGGTGATGGGGCATTCGTATCTAATTGACATAACAGTATCCCGTCGTTCAGTTAAATAGTAAAATCAAGTATTAGACAGTACTAATTTTTTTAAATACTTACAAATCTGTGCAAATTGTTGATGCGATTCCGAATTTCCTGTGATTCGAATACAAACAAATTTTCCAGCATTCATGACGACTTGGACTTCTTCTCCACTCAGTGACGCTTCTAATTCTTTAGAGCTATCGTCATCTCCTGTAATTCGCCAAATATTACATTCATGTTGTTCAACGAGCTTTATTTATTATTTACTTACCAAAAATCCCTACACCAAAAACGGCACCTTCAATCTGCGCCTTCTGCACAGCTTCCACAATGTTTCCTTCAAACCACTTCATCCTCGAGGTGGGTGTGGTTGGATATAGATAATTACAGCTTTAAATTGCAAGCAATTATTTAGCTAAATTCCAGTCAGACTTTTGCTACGTGTCTTTCTTACGAAAATCAGCAGAGAATTTGACTTTCCCGTGGAAAGGGGATTCAGAGACACGTTTTCCATGCAAAATATAGACGAAGCTATCTTGCCAAATTTACCACAAATTTTCTATTTACCTAATTTAGATAACCTAATCTAACCCATTGGCAAATAGTGTCGAAATTTACCGCATATGTATCTATGATTTTATGTCTAGCTTCAGAAATTTCAAAATGCAATGATATGCAAAATTGAATTGCAACAAACAATTCGAATCTGAAACAGAAAATGTTTAATATATAATTTTATTCTTTTCATGGACATTTTATAATCTCTGAATTTCACAATTTTTCATAATTTATTGGGTATTTAAACAGCTTTGGCTGCAATTTAAGCTACAAATCTAACGTAATAAATGTCTCTTTTTCCTGGTCATAAGCAATTGTTTGGAATGGAATAGCAATTCATGCAAGTGAATGTGTTTGGTTTAATGGTCATCAAATCCTGGCATGGGAAAAGTTGATGCAAACGCTTCTACTTCCTTCTTCAGATTCTCCATTGATTTGATGGTCGCTTCATCCTTGTCCAAAAATTCCTTGAAATCCTTGAGCTTATCAGTTTTAGACTTGACGTCAGACGCAATTGCTACAGCCTTATCCAAGAGATGAATCACTTTTTCAAAGTCTGTCTCGTCAAAGCCGCGAGAAGTGAGGGCTGGAGCTCCTGTGGCAGAAAAATTAAATAATTCCATGACTAGTAATTGTTATACTAATGTTAGTGATGAGTAGTTATCATTGAATAAATTGTTCCAATTACCAAGCCTCAAACCGCTGGGCGTAAGTGCACTTTTATCTCCAGGGCACGTGTTCTTATTCGCTGCAAATCAAAAGCCGTTATTAAATAGATCACTTAATATCACTAATCACATAATTCGTTGATCCAACCTGTAATGTTCACTTTGTTACAAACGGATTCCACTCGAGCTCCATCCAATTTCTGAAATCAGCAAGAATCAACATGAATAAGCTCATCAAAAATTAATTGATAAAATAAAACAAAACCTTTGATCGAAGATCAACAAGAACTAAATGGTTATCAGTCCCATCCGAGACCATTTTGTAGCCAAGCTCATTCAACTTTTTCGCCATGGCCTTGGAATTTTTCAAAACTTGTTCTTGGTAAATCCGGAAATGGGGTTGCTTGGCCTGTTATAAATGCAAAATTAGTTTTAAATAAATGCAACATGGTGTATATTTGCTCATCGTGATATAAGTATCTGTATCATGTATTTACCTGTCGGAGAGCAACCGCGACTCCAGCAATGGCATGGTTATGAGGCCCACCTTGGAGTGATGGGAAGACGGCAAAGTTGACCTTGTTTTCCAAGTCGTAAGGAACGTCCTTCCCAGTCTTGGGGTTTTTGCGAACACCCTTCCTGTAAAAAAAATAAATATTAGTAATGAATAAGATAAAGAAAAATTTCTCTTTGATAAATACTAACCTGTAAAATATGAGACCAGCTCGAACACCACGGAGCCTACAATATCATAGATATTTAAAGAATTATCGTATTATCATCTTTCCGGTGGGAAGAAAACGTTCCCATTCTTGTTCCCACCAATCACCATTCAACTGTTTTCTGTGCACTCTTTTTTTGCGCACTTACTATTATTATTATTTCCCAATTGTTTCAGGTAAATACTTATCATGCATAATATTATTATTATATATATTTAGTTGCATGCCGCCGTAACATGACTTTTTATTTAATTGTTAATATAATATATGTGTTAATAATTAAGATGCGTGATTCTGACTCTGTTGAGGATTTTGTGGGTCCCTCTTCACAAAAGTCAAAACCTGCCACACCTTCCTCTAAAAGGAAGGCAGCTGTCCCTACTAGCAGTAAAGGCGAAGGGTCAAAGAAGAAGAAGGGAGATGACGATGCAAAAAAGGAGTTGCCCAGTACTAAGTAATTTGCCGACTAATGAAAACTATGCAACAATATGAGATGATACTTATTATGCATAATTTCCACAGGTTTCTCAAATTAGATTCGGATGACGAGGAGGAGGAAGAAGAAGACTTGTCATCGAAACGAGACTGGATGATGGTGGAGAGGAAAGCGGATGGAACACGATTCTCACCAGGTCAACCCACCAGCCCCCTCGAACGAGGATATGCCAATCGGGCGATTCAGTTGCGAGAGGACAGACCTGTGCCTGTGTGGTGGAAAATCACCCAATCGCTGGACACAAGAGGATGTCGGATAAGTCTGATGGTGTGCATAGCTTTTTGTATTTCATGATATTATTAGATCCACTAATTTATGACATGGTGTATTCTGGTGTTAGATGAAGGAGATAGCAAATTACGGCATTTTTATTGCCAATTGGCTCGAGAAGGGGATGATGAGGTTATGGGATCACAAGAGTCGACAACTTCAGAGTTAACCCCACTCACCCCGGAAGTCGTTACGGGAAATTACCCACCTCTCACTGCTGCCGAAAGAGGAATAGCTGAAGCCAAAATAATACAAGCTGGTGAAGAAGGGTTGAGGATTCCAGGATTAAAGTCTAAGGTGGTGTACTCACCACCAAATCAGAACCGGACGTATGGATTATTCTCACTAGTGTCCCTTGCTGGCTCTGGTGGCAGATTTATATGCGCAGTAATTAGTAGTAAGATTGTTTTTTATTAATTATCGAATTACGTAATTCGATCCAATTGCAAATTTCGTATCATAACATATTTGCAGACTGTGTGAGGATTAAGTCCACTACTATGGAGCCCATCCCGAAATGTGAACTACACAAAGGAGAACAAGTCGGTTTCGTTCTATGCCAATTTACAGATGACGCCAATAAGAAGAATGACGTCATCCTCCATGCGATTGCCTCTTTTACATATATTTATGGGGATGAAAAGGGGAAAAATAACAACGCCACCAGGGCAATCATGTCTCAAAATCTAAACAAAACACATTCAGGGTGGACAATTTACTCTGAAGAGCGAAAGTCGGCCAAGAAACCGACCCCAGTACTTAAAGAGCTCGAGACGCGTCGCCGCTATTATGATGAAGATGACGAGTATGGGCTGATGAAAGTATACGCAGCAAGACAGGTACTAATAATAATAATGCTGCAAAATATGTAACTTTTTCCATGTTAATGACTAATTTCGATACTTTTAGACCACCACCCTGTTTAAAATGCTCTTGTGGCCTGATACGACCATCAAAATAATCTGTCTCAACACCATGATTAACTTTCCCAATGGGGCATACAAGGAATTGGTAGAAGAGATGGACATTTGTGGATTAGAGTTGAAGATTCATGACAAATTGTCATCATCAGCAGCAGCGGCGTTGAATTTGGAACCTGCACAAGAGATTCCTTTCCTCCTCAGAGCAGAACAGGGTGAGAGTATTGAAGAATTGTTGACCAGAGGAAGACAGGAGAAGAAAGGGGAGAAAGTGGCTGCGTTATATTTTGTATCCAATACTTATGTGATTTATGCTGGCCAAGCACTCTCGGGTAAGGTGCATATGAAACAAAGCCCTTCCGACCCCGTAATTGACTATAAAAATAACAAGCCCCCCTCTCATCCTGACTACAAAAATGTCCCCATTGGACTTGTTCGTGAAGGAGAACGATACCGATGGGAATTTCATTTGCACATGTGTGCCCTGATAGCGTCCCTTTTACAATTGAAAAATAGCATCACCTCAAAAGATTTCAAGCCTCTAGGTGTGGGCCACCCTATCTGTATTAATAGGCAGGCCAATTCAAACTATGTAGATAAGAATTCATGGGGCATTATTAATGGTTATTTGATGAAAAAGTTTTCAGTCGCTGTGTATTTAGGACCAAAACAAATAATTGATTAGGATTTGAAATATGCTGTAACAGGATGTTTTAATGAATGGATTTTTGTCTATGATTACGTGAAGTGTGAATAAATGATTTAAGTATTAATAAATTACAGATTAATTGTAGATGGAATTTGTATCTCACGTCTTGTGGGTAGTCGTCGTCACTATGTCAGCATGGGGAAATGGGGCAGGAATAACGCCAGCAGCCACGAGCCCTGAATTATTAAAAAGCTGTTCATGGAATTTATCTAATTCAAAGCAACATAACAGATCGTTATTATTTTGCAATGCACTGACCAGAAATATGTGCCATATCAGCCAACATGATGGCACCCACGTCATCGCAAATCTGTCGGAATCTTGGATAATCCAGCAGCCTAGAGTATGCGGATGTCCCCGCAATAATAACCTTTGGTCTGAACAACTTGGAGTTCTCAGCCAAAATGTCGTAGTCGATCGTTCCAGTAGCCGGATTCAGCTTGTATGGCATGGACTCGAAATAGACGGATGTTGCAGAGATTTTCTTTTGTTCAGTCATGAAACCATGCGTTAAACTAGAGCATTACAGAAGGTATCATTACTTAGGTTCTTGAAAAATGTTTTTTTTTACTGGATTTTGTGCACTTACTGTCCACCATCAGGAAGATCTAGCCCCATAATCCTGTCATGAGGACTTAGGACTGACGTATATGCTGCAAAGTTTGCTGGAGAACCACTGTACGGTTGAACATTAACACCCCACTCTTCCGGATTCAAGTTGAATGCTTCCAAGGCACGTTTTTGACAGAGAATCTCAATCTTGTCGACAACCTCAGTACCACCTGCGCATAAAGCAGAATATTAGCTTATCACTGACATTTGTCGTGTAAATTATTATTTGAATTTACAAATCACCCACCATAATATCTGGATCCAGGATAACCTTCAGAGTACTTTCAACAAAAGAGAATAGATTTTTAAGATTTTTCTGCAATCATTATATTTTTTCTACACCACAATTAATTTATTCAACTTAAAACCTTGCATACCTTGTTGTTTAAACAGGATCCCATAATTTCAAGGGCCGCTCTGCTACAGAAATTCTGCATAAAACCGAAAAAATAATGTTATACTTAATTTCATAAGTATCTATTTTGAACAACTCTTCTTCCGAGTGATTCGTACCTCTGAAGCGATAAGCTCCAAGCCATTAACTTGGCGGATCTTTTCTTCTTTGACCAATTCCCACATTTCCGGGTCGTCCTGTGCTAAGGGTTCTTGTCCTGTCCATTGCTTCGCCATTTCGTTCAAGTTTCTTGCAAAAACTGTTGTATGCGAATTCTGAAAGATAAATTACGTACACGAAATTTAGTTTTTCATGTAAATATAAACTTTTCTTAAGCAAACTTTTCTTACTCAATAGTTGATACCTTATGCCCTACTGAACTACCGTGTTGAATAAATTGAAAGTTCGATAAATACCACTGGGCCTGTCTGGCGTCAACTACTTAAATTTAACAGCACCAAGTTATGCTACCCTGCAGCCGAAGGTGGAAGATGTAAGGAAGAAATAAAATGAAATTTGATATGAGAATGATGGTAATATTACCACCAGCCAGCAAGTAAATAAGTAGCATAAAATGAAACCAGTTTCATTAAGCAACCCATGAATTCTCATACGAACATGGTCCGATATTTAAGTCTGGTCTTACACATGTGCTACGCATATCATATTATTTTCTTCCCTTCTGCCATTTACACAGAATGAGATGTTTAAATTGCACAAGCAAATTGCTTGGTGAGTTGGTACATACGAACGAAGAAAAGAAGAGCCGGCTTAAATAAAACTTGTTTATTCAAATGACATTCCGAGAGAGATTACAGATATCTGGGCTGGAAGGAACTACATCACGAGTACCAATTGAATCACGAGAATTGAAGAAGTGTCACAAGTATGGGACAGATGTTGCAATGAGCAGCAAGTTCATACGATAAGATGATTAAGCAATCATGATAAGGTTTTAAATTTGACACAAATAATATTTGTTTGGATGCTTGAAGAGAAACACTACCTAAATTGCCAAGAAGTCATGCAGCGTGTGCGTCCCAGATTTAATGAAATGAATCAACAACTCGTGTAATTATTGCTGCACATAAAATGTTCGGAATAAGAATAATACACAAGTGAAAGCAAAAGTGAAAGTTAATAATGCCGTGAATGAAATAATTATGTGGCAATTAATAAAATTTCGTTTAACCACATAGATCAAATGAAAGTCCTCTAAACATGTAAGGCTAATTGCATGAAATTAACGGAATGATTTCAGTGGAATCGATAACATTGTAGGAATAACTTGGCATATTTTTTGCATAAAATGTGACGTAAAAGTGAACAAAGGCTTTTGTTAGGGCCGAGCGGGCAAAACTTCGTACATGTCATACAGAAATATGTTCGGTTAAATTTGCAAAACCAAACCACGGGTCTCTCCTTCAAATAAAACTAGTTTTATAACACCGACTTACAAAGTCAATTAAGTACAGACAATTAATCTGGGTACTTGTGTCGTCTTTGTCTCGTGGTTTAACACGTAAGGGTCTCACAAAATATTCTCCAGGCACGCTTTTTACTCTCATTAATTCTGCAAATAATAAATACACAAAAAAACTTACCAAATACTGTTGATGATAACTCGTACTTTGCCTCAACGTGAAGATAAACCTCTTATCCAAATTATTAGAGACTGCAGTAGCAAGTTGGTGTTTTATATTATTCGCAAGAGAAAAGAGTTGACGGAGAAGGGTCCTCTGCTGAGTTGACATTGCCACTTGTTGCTTCACTGCAAATACCGCGTGTCTCTTTTTATCTAATGATGTGGTTAAATTGCGAATATTATTGCAATATTTCACACTGAATTAAATTAGTTGGATATCAATTGTACCAGATTGTAATTTCTTAAAATGCTAATGATGATTAGTTAGTTGGGTTTAGATAGGAAGGGATGATGAGGAGGAGACGGTGGGCATGAAAAAGAGCATCTTCCAGAAAGGCTTGGCTTTTCTTTAGGCTTATCGTATAATTGATCAAATACTTAAATTAGTAAGTATAGCATTTATGTCATGACTTTGAAACTAGTTTATATTAACTGATACTTGTTGACATATTTATAAAGGACTTGACTTGATTAGCTAAGCAAGCACCATATTTATTGACTTGGTGTGTCATCATATATGCAAGTACATGTTTTTAGGGTTGATGTCATCATAGTATAATTTCTTATCTGAACTGAGAAGATATCCAAGTATACGGGTTACAATCTCAATTTTATGGAGTAAAAGTTAAGTTGTTATTAGTCAATCAAATCTCAGTATTCTTCCAGAGAGTTAATAGTTATAGTCATAGTTAGTTAGTAAATGATGAAGGAGAGAATGTTTCGTTGATTATGGTAAAACTGTTAAATGCATGCATTTATTTTATAATTTGTATTGACAGAGTAACATATTTACCGTGATTTGGACCTCGTTTTTATATAACTCGTACTATCAACTACCAAGATAGCTCATCCCACAGTTTCCAACCTTGTAAGGTCAATGAGTAGCAGAATGTCACCTATTAAGTTGAACTTGATCGTCGCATGTGACTCCAAAATGGGAATCGGGGTCAAAAATGATCTTCCCTGGCGTCTACGGTACCGTACTCACTTTGCTGAATATAACACACACAATACTAAAAAAAAGTTTAATAAAGATTAATAAAATTATCAACAGAAAAGAAATGAACCACTTTAACCGAATGACAACGGGTGATTCTTATGATTTGGCGAAACACCCGGGTTCGGAGAACAAACGGAACGTGGTTTTAATGGGGAGAAAGACGTATGAATCGATCCCGGAAAAGTTTAGACCATTGAAAAATCGGTTGAATGTTGTGCTGAGCAGAGATACGGAAATGTATGATAGCGTAATTAATTACTACACTATGTACCCATTTATAATTACTAATTGGGATGATGGCTCAATAGTTCACCCCATGAAAATATGGTTGCCTTCAAAAGCTGGGAAGACGCGATGAAATACCTGGAAAAGCCACAAATTCAAGAAGAGATCGATCAAGTTTGGGTAGTTGGAGGGAGCCACATTTATAAAGTACGTATAAGAATAAATTTCAGGATTATTTAGAAATTCTTGTGAAAATTCAGCTAATTTGATTGATTTGCAGATGGCAATGGAATCCCCATTTTTATACAGGATATATTTGACCAAGCTTGCGAAAGAGTTTGATTGTGATACTTTCTTCCCAGAATTTGATCCAGCTGAATACAAATTGGTCACGTAAGTCGAATTTTTCAGTAATTAATTAATTATGATGACGTAAAATATTTATAATTTTATCCCAGTGATCCGAAAGTGTCTCAAGAGGAACAGGAAGAAGACGGCATTCGCTATACGTTCTACGTTTATGAAAAATTGTAAAGTGCGAATAATGAAAAATATGGACATTTCTTTCGACACTATTTTATTGTCTCTCTACATACCGTCTGGATAAATTATAAATTAGTCCTATTTTCATCTTCATAATTTCAAATAAGAAATCATAAATAAATACAACAATATCAATGGAAAACGATATTTTTTCTCTGAGTTTATGAAAAATTAATCATGGTATAACAATCATAATTATCATAAGGGAAGTAAACATACTACACTCATATTTTAATTACCTTTAAATAATACAATACAATAGTAATTTAGATTAGGTACATATTTCTAATCTAGGCTATGAATTTTTGGTTACATATTTTTACAAGATTTCCAGTCTAGTGAGATAAAGTCTCTGGATACATAATATTTAGGTATGCATTAGTTCCCTCGTTAAATTGCTTAGATAACTCGTTTGTTTATTGATGAGCAGGTACGCATTCATTAATCATCGTAGTCTTTCAATTCCGGAAAATTTAGGTAATAATGATGCATAAATATAATGATGTAATATGTAATATCTTTCCGCATGACAAATAATAATAATAGTTTATAATAATAATATTTTGCAGACTGGAATTGGCAGTTTTATGTCATCCCACCATGAAAATTGCGGAAACCAACTTTTTAACCCATTTGCGATTCCGTATTATTTCAAAAACGAATACTCGAAAATTTAAAATTTATATTTAAGAAAATTATAAATATCTGTCTTCATAACACATTTGTTAAATTATAATCGGATCACAATTTTTCACAAAATTATAAAAAGAAAAACTTGCACCACATTTTTGATAACATTCGTCTAGAAGTTGAGTCACTTTTGTCATTATTCTCACTTTTTATCTTGGTCAGGGGGCGGCCCATCATCCGAATCGTCAGGTTTGGAATCTGACCAACCTTGCCTATCAAAAGTTTAGGTAAAGGTTATTAGCATATGACCAGCACGACCCATACACGGTAGTTAAATTAAATATAATCATAAATAATTGGAATTGCATGTAACAATTGGAAATGACTCGTAATGCGACAACTAATTCTAAATATGTAACTAATATACAGTATAAGTCAAAAGTGTTCTCTGTGTACTAATCCTAACGTGAGGCAGACTACGTTACGTAACTCTTATTGGTTTAACCTAGTGCTCATTGGTCCATTATTATTTCCTCTCGACGTCATAGTCGCAGTTCCGGAACTCCAATCTGCGGCTGGAACGCTATTTGAGTATCGTTTTGAACTAGTCTTGTTGAAAATTGGTAACTTTTCGTTTGCCTCGTTTGATAATGCCTGAAATTAATAGGAGACGCTTACTAAACAGTTCTGATAGCCAGTGACTTTTGCATGCGAGATAATATGTACCTTGAGATAAATTATAGCGTCAGTCCCGTACCCCTCGAAAGAGGTGACAATAAGATCCTACATAAATACATAATAAATATTTAGGCATTTCATTAATTAATTTTAACAAGATTCCATAAGTATGAAGTACTTACACCCTGGAAGTATCTGGCGTAAAGCTATTTAAAAATAGATAAAATTTTAGGATTATTAACAAGAACTTTTTAGAAATTTTATAGGTACGATTAAATATGTGCTCACCCTAGACAATGGAAGACCGTATCCGTAACCTGAATATAAAATAGAATACATGAAATAACTAATTACTTAAATCTACTTCTTTAGCATATTTCACAAAATATTACCTGCTAATGGTGCTGAATGACTCTCAGCAGCGGGCGGTTGGGGTGCAGTAGAATACATGTATTGAAACAATAAGTCTGTATTTCTTCGGGGGATGCCTCCACCCCGGTCTGCTATCTGAAATGCAAGGAACAATTGGTACAATCGTGTCCTAAATATGTTAAATCATGATAGTGATAGGTTACTTACAGAAATAGAAATATCTTCTTTGCCTAAAACAACCCTAGCTTCTACTGGAGGATACACAGTGCGTTCAGTCCCGTGAAACTCGACCACTAGAGAGGATCAGTTTTATTAAAAGGTTGCATTTTCGGGATAAAATATATTTAAATTATTGTGATGCGTACCAGCTCTTAAGGAATTTTTGAACAATTCAAATACCATGTGATAAAGATGAGAGGGGACGTAAACGATTTCTAATTTTCGATATTTCGAAACAATTACATATACAACTTGATGATATTGAAATGTTCATGATATGAACTTACTAATAGGTTCCCCATTAGCAATAGAGTTATGTTCTCGTACAACCAAACTGGGGGCGACGAGGTAGTACTGCTCACACAGAAAACGCGCATTTTCATAGGCGTCGTGAATTACGTCAATCACTTTACAGTGGGGATCTGATTACGGGAGCAATATACTTGATTAGATTAATTAATTCGTTAAAGATAATTTCTAAAATGTGAGTAACTTACCAATACTTCCGATATGGCGATGGCTAATGGAATTTGACTCTTTTCCAAATAAGAGAGCTGAAATAGATGAGTGGAATTTTTCATCAGTGGAATTTCGAAAAAAACAGGGAACATATTATTAAACTTACTGTGCTGATTAATAAGCATCCTGATGGAAATACGGGACATGTAAAACCTGTCGAGTATAGTATTGAATAATTGAGAACAATAATTGTATTGTAGTCATAATTAATAAACCGTCGAAAACAAAATGTAGCAAATGGGCGAAATCAAATGGGATGGCTTACGTCGCCTTCCATAAATAACGCAAAACCGTAAAAAATCGACCTTTTCGATTTACAATTAGTTCACATTGTCACGGGGTCATCGTAGATCGAGACGATTATTTGAGACGAAGATTCAGAAATCATAACTTCGACGTACGATGACTACTTGACAATGTGATTTACGTCAGTCGAAAAGGTTGAATTTTTTATTTGACAATTTTAGACGTTAATTAAGAGGGAGACTAACATCATCTCGAGCTACGTGGACGTGGTCCAACGAAGTCAAAGATAAAATTTTCGCATTCTGCAGCAAATGATGCATATCGATAATGTTGTAGCAGATTCTAATTAATTAATTACTTTACTTTGGCTACTTTATTATATCTATTTACCGATCTAGGAAGTACTGAATTGATAACTCCATCGCAGAATCCACCCTGTGGGAGTCTTTCAACTCAACCACACCCTGTGCCATAGTCTGCACCACATCCAAATGCCGGTTCCTTATTTTTACCAAAGTCTCGCAGAACCTAAAACAAGAACATTTCAATTAAAAATGCATTGGGCAAAAGCATGGAGAAAGTAATTAAAATTTATTGCATTAAATGGATTCCATTCTCTGATGGTCTAATTTGCAGTACACTTGGCCAATGAATAAAAGGATTACGTTTAAAGTTTCACGTAATCCAATTAACACATCTGCATCCCGATCCCACTTCCCACTCACTCGTGCATACGTATTTGATCCATCTTTTTAATTACCTTTTGAGCGTTTGTGCGTCATTCTCGGGTGTATTTTCAAATTCCAGTATCTCTTCAAAGCTCATTTCGTACCATTTTTCCACCTAATGAGAAAAACTGCATATTAAAACTCATAAAAATATACGAATGCATACATATTAACAAAAGCAACTTATTATGTAAGTACCAAAGCTACAGAGGGCATGCTCTGCAATTTTTCTGGAAGAAGGTTGATTTCTTTCATAATGTTGGCGAGGCGGACGGGGAGTTCCTTCCGTAGAAAGACATACGATCTGTTCTCCACCGCTTTTTGTCCTGCAAAACCAAGATAGGACACGCAAAAATTATTGCATCGTCGCATTTTCGAGTTATGCGCTGGGTGGGTGAACGTTTTGTGTTCAAGGCCGATTTGCGGCACATATGAAAAGGGGGTGACAAGGGGGAGGGCCTGATAAACCGGAATTTTTGCGTGACATAATTTATGGACGTTGTCAGTTTAGTACTTGTTCGCTCAATCGAGGAATTGCATTATTATGAACAGCTTTCACTTCAAAAAATTCAATTTACTCCATCCGGCACCGGCCTCGTCGTGCATTACAAGTCAAATACTTGAAATTGCATTTAGGGATTATTTATTTATCCACAACGACGTCAACGTCGAATTCAAGAGCAAATCCAATTACTCAAAAGTATGCTGAAGAAAGATGAGAAGAAAGGAAAGCTTCATGGAATCCGCAAAGAATGAGCCACCAACAACAAATAGTTTCATGAGCAAAGAGTTTTAATGCTTTCCTGTTGTTCTAATTCCTACAACGGAATTGCGAAATACATTTATTCACTTACGCTCTGGAAATGAATATCTAACTTCATTTATTTCGCCGTACTAATAAATGAAGTTGGCCTTGGTAAAGTCATAAAATACAGCGACTACTTGAAAAAAATAAGAGAGCTAGTTGAGGCATCTGTTTTGTTGGTACATAAGAACGAATAATTACACCGACAATAATAATATCGGCGATTTTTGCCCTTTTATTTTTGGATGTCACTGCCACCAAACATAATAATGTCATTAAATTTTGATATCTCAAATATGTCATCACTGTCACGTGATGATGGTGGATGTCCAGATTGCCAAATATATAATATCATTGCCACATTTGCAGGCTATGTATTTTTTATGATTTTGTTTACCGATTGATATTTTTACTGGTTTCGTTTCGTCAATCATGATTATGCATGTAGAATTAGGTGACCATCCCTAATTACGCAATTACATATATAAATAATAACGTTTCTGAAGGGAAAGTTTATGGGGTACGCTAATTGGCATATGTATTAATAAATATATATGTATATGTACATAGGATGGCTGACTGACAGGCACGAATATTGTTGAGATGGTGGGATAACCAGAGGTGCTAATTGGTTTTTGTTTACTCTGTTAATGCAAATTTTTGCCCGAAACTCGAATCATTATACTAATGTCATGCCAATCGATAGGAAAGCTCGGACCATTTTTTTGAACGAACCAGTTTTATGCAGAATATTATTATTGACGCTAAAAAATGAACCGCATGACGCAAAATTAATTATGCACAACTTTTTCTTATAAATAACCCTTCTAAGGAGGATAATGACTTACCAAAATCCAGAAATTGTTTCATGCTGAGTGGTGAAGGATTAAATCCCGAGTAGAAATCCAACATCTTTCCAAGTTTTTGAAGAACGCCGGTGACCCGCATTTTGCCGGATTGAATTGAAAAACTTTCTTCAGGGAACACTTTCACTTTTGGATAAGCACCTTATTATTTGAGAGTCGTCGTTTGTACCGAGTTTGCATCCGTGCTTTGATGACAGCCTCTTGTTGCCAACAAGTGGTTCGAACCCTAATGTGAGGAGATCACTGGTAATCACTGCCCTTTTATATCCGCCGGATTGGACCGACTGCTTCAATTCTTCTCCGCGTTTTGCTTTCCCTTCTTTTCTTCAGCAAAAGAAGATTCAGGTTGGATTCTATGATCCAACTTTTAATCAAGCTCCCATTCTTCTTCTGCTGCTCTCTTATTATTTTGTGGGTATCCAAGACTCCTTCAGTTCACATAATGGTGCTGGTAGAGTGATTTGGTAAAGTGGACCACCGTCAGTTCCTTGCTTTATGTGACCTCCGTCTGATTGAAGATGGCAAGTGGCATGTGACTCCTGACGGGATGCGCTGATCGTTGCAAAAATCGTTCTGAAAAAATATTCGGCTGATGAATGAATATAGGTTAGGATTATGAGTCGCAAAATTGGTAACGGTTCGTGTCATTCAGCTTTCTTCCGTTTCCTGCAAAAGTAAAGGTTACACATTAATATGTATATGTATGCAAAAAAGATATATATGTAGAGATAGGAAGGACAATGGAGTGGATTTTTTGTACCAATTTCGGAAGATATCAATAAATCGATTTTTTCGCCACTTATTATTAACCGGTTATGTTATGTGCTGGCACATGGTCCATTTCTATCAATCACTGACTAAAACAATTCGTACGAGTTTGCGTGCAAAAATTGAATGTTTGGGATCGATAACACTTTAATAGCGTGGTTAATTTTCGTTTATTTAGTTTGGCTCAATCTAATCTACATACATATACATAGGGTTCTACAGTTTATGAGATTGCAAAATTCTATAACGAATTTTGAATGTGATTATACGAATCTCAGCTTAATATTTATTTAATATGAATAAATTATGTATGTATGAATACATGAAGCATTCCAACCTAATTTTGCTATAGTGGAAACTTTTGATTTCGTGTCTTATCAAGAATAACGTCCCTCTATCTCCGTGTGTGGTTTACTGTACTGAATATTTTGTGGGTGGTAGTTGAACAAACATTGCGTATCTTATACATACATGAACTCGATAACAGTGAACCCAGGTAAATATTGTCATTTAATTTGACGATGGAGGAAACCACTCAGGAGATAAATCATCAATGCACAATGCAACAAAAAATACTTACGACGGAAAAAAATCAGTGCGTCAATAATGATATTTTATTGTCAATTACCTTAAACGGTGTCCTAGTTTTACAAATTTTTAAACTTGATATATTTTTTTATCTAGTACAAAATGACGATCACAATCACTTTACAATAAAATAAAATAAACTACACTTTTTCGCTAAAAGTGCGGCTTGGTAAACTGCCAACTAACTATACCTAAACTAAACCACGATGTTCGATACTAATTAATTCGTTGTACTCCCTGGATTCACAGCTTTCTCTTTTTTAGCCTCGTGTGGAATCCAGTACAATTACTAAATTCACTGATTTCCCGTTCATACTACATTGATACTAATCTTCCTGTAATTGGCAAATTTTTTATTACCCAATTTCACCACTGTTCATCTCAACATAGGAAAACACTTTCTTTAGTAAATTAATTATAGTGAAAGTCCAAATATAATTAAAAAATAGTTCCTTCCACTACAAAAAGGATGAAGGAATCCACATGTTTTTATCATGAGGAAGAGCAGACTGCGTTGTGAGAGAGGGGATCTCAAGGATTTTTTACAAACACAAATCCAATCCAATCCACTAAAATATACACTCAACAAAGAAATATGTATGGATTATGCTGCACGATACACGATACGACCACAACTAACTGCATAAATAACAACGAAGCCAAACTTGGAACGGGATATTTAACGAATGCGCAAATTTTATAGCTGTTGAATGGAAATAACCCAGCCAAACAAAATGTGCAACAAAAAACAATTCCGTTCTTCCAGTCGGTTCTTTACAGACTGAGAGGAGACGAGATTTTAACCCGACCAAAGCATTTGTCTCATTATAACAATGTTATTGTTGGGGATGTTGTTGTGAAGAGTTCATTTTGAAGAGTTGTAAAGAATGAAACTGGTTTTATTTGGTTTATGTGAGATCTTCTCAATCATTCACCCACGTATCATTCATAGTGCATATGTATGTATAGCATAGTTCCTTGCAATAGTCATAATACTTGTGATGGTGCAGGCTAGCAAGACGGCTGAAACTTTTGCACACTTTTATTTATTTAATATTATTAAGCCTGACTGAAAACTAAAGAGTGTGTAGAACTTGGTAAATATGGTTTGCTTCTTTATTGAGCAGTAGGTTTGCTGGGTCTGGTTTTATTTATTGACGATAAAAAGGCCAAAGTCCACTTTGCTGGATACTGGATCCACTCCTCAATAACAGAATCGCAATCATGATTATGCATGGAGACAACAACACTCGACTTGTAAATAAGTTCGTACATGGGAAAAATGTCCACTACCTAAACAACTTTGAGAGGTTGTTATTATTACTGAGCAGCTTAGTTATTTATGTACCTATGTAGCACAAAGTGTCACCCACTCAACGCCTGGGCGGTGTAAAACAAATGACCTTTGACATGATCATGTCATTGTTGTGTTTGATTTTGCACACATTGTGCAAATCGTGCTTACACATTTAGTTAAGTTTTGAGAAATATGGGAAAAATGTGGTTGATGTATGTTCACGTACAAATTGTATCATCATCACATCACGTTCTTCACAAGTGGTGAGAGATTTTTGCGTGCATGTATTTTGGATGATGGGCTTCTGCACTACAGACCTTGAAATCTAGAGATGCAATTTCGAGCGGATGCTTATTACGCAAATGTCACATAAATATATGTACATATATGTCAATTAGAGGGATATTTTCGGTAGCAAAGATTTGTTATAGTGTGAGATGCAAAACCACAAACTAGGAATCATAAAAATAATCATAAATAAATAAATGATATGTAAATTTTATTGTATGCTTAACTGTGAAATATATAACAAAAATAACTAACCAGTTTGCCATATGCAAATATAGGATGGAATATTTAATACATTCAGAGCATAGTGTCTTTCTTTTGTTTCTTCTTCTCTTTTGCTTCAAAAACAAACAAAAAAGATCAATCGCGTAATATTACTAGGTGAGGAAAGGTTCAAATTAAAGATACTCCCATTAGAAATATCTTGGGGATTTCTGCTTATAAAAATTTCAAATTTTAAGTTTTGCCTTATTTTTCCTTACTGTTCAGTACTTATCTTATATAAACCAACCCGTCATAGCCATCCTGCATGTACGTTGTTATGCAAGTGCATTCAGTTTTCCATTCATTTGTGCTACCGGACAAGTAAAATAAGTGAAAGTTTGACCACCATCGGGAGAAAGTGCTCAGAAAAACTTTCCAACAATAAGTGGTGCTCGTCCTTCTCTCCTCTCCGAAAGTGATTGAGATGTCAAATCCAACCGCTTTTTAAAGATAGAACGCCCAACTCTATCCGCCATTCAGTACTGGTCGATAAGCACTTATCCGAAGAGAAATGGATAAATATTTTTTAACAATATAATTTCTCACATTATTGTTTCATGCATTTCAAGCCCAGACTTCACTCGTGGCGTACTCTACGAGCGTGGAGTGAACACAGTTGAAAAGTCAGGTTGCGAACTTTCTCCTTTCCCACAAGACTACCACACTTCATTTTTTTACACATCTTTTTGTAACCTACTTCTCGACTAATCCTCGAAAACGTCTGTAGAAAATTGGTAAGATTTACCTTATCACCAAAGCAAGAAGACAGCTAATCAGGTGAGTGGGGCCAAGTTCTCTCTAATTTTCAATACTTTTAGTTGTGGGCGAAGTGAGGAGTAACGGTTTAATGATTAAAATGATAATGATGATTCACTCACTTTTACAACCTCTTACAATTAATGTCGTTAACATATCTTCAAATTTGCTGAACATTTGGATGTGTAAAGTTTAGATAAGTTTTCACTTCTCGTAAAAATTTACTGAAATTTACAAGTTTTTTAAAGAATTAAGTATGCACAGATGGTGGGGGTTTGCAGGACACAGGATATGTATATGACCGGCCGGCGAGATTGTGAATCACAATCTGCGATATAATTAATTAAGTTAGTAATTGATTTGTATATGCATTGATTTCAGGAAATTGACGCACAATCATGGCCGCTGAGAATGAGAAGGTAGACTTGGACGATTTTTTCGCTAAACGTGACAAGAAGAAAAAGTCTGGAAAGAAAAAGTACGAGACGACGGAAGAACTTGCCAAGATATTGGGAAAACGGACGGAAGAGAGGAAAAAGTTGGAGGAGGGGAAAAGCCAGTACGTCGTGCAAGGGGAGGGTGTGGTTCCAAACGTAAGCCATTAATGATGACATTGGTATATTAGATTTATGGATTTTTGAAAAGTAAAAAATTTTGAGCAGACTCAAAACGAGGATGACGAATGGCTCGAGCAAAAAGAGGAAACTGTAGACCTTACCGGACTGAAAGTTACTGAATTAGTGTTGCTCGACGACGAAGAAGAGGAAATTGCGGAGGGGAAAGACCCTGGTGAAGTTGGTGGAACGACTGACGGACCTTGGAGAAAACGTGAGAAAGCTGCCGCTCTTCCACCCCCTGTCCCAGTCCCTACTGCTTCGGAAAAAAGCAGTAGTACGACGACACCGACTGGCGAGGAGGAAGATAAGCTCATCAATAATAAGGACCACGAGGAAACGGCCATCATCACCGAGAAGGATGATAAGTCAGTAGATGATCAAAGAGTCACACCCACCCCAGTAGAAGTTGCTGAGGAGAAACCTTCCGGTCCTGCCAAATATGTTCCCCCTGCTGTAAAAAAAGCAATGGAGGCAGCAGCTGCTGCTGCGAGTAAGAGTGTTGGGGGTGGGGGTGTGGGCAATGCAGTTCCGCCCGTGCGCGATATTTTCGAAGCTAGACCTTTATCAGAAACCTCTGGAAGTGGCGCAAGTGCTGGCGAAGGAGTGAAGGGTGCCTACGTCCCCCCATGGAAACGTGCAGGTGCTTCATCCGTACCAGGATCCGCCTCTGGTTAGTTGACTTGTATTTAAAATTTATCAGAGTTGAAAGGCTAAAAATAAATAAAAAAAACTCTTATTTCTATTTTCAGGTAAACCTAGAAAAACAGCGGCCGCACCAAATATACATGACGAAGAGTATTTCCCAAGTCTAGGAGCGAGTTGAAGTTTAGGAGTTTTATTAGACTAAAAATATCATCACCGTCTTCACCGAAATATCAGCGTTACATGGAACATTTAAATTAGTATTGTCGCCCTCTGCTCATTTATTTTCATAGAGACATTATCCTAAATTATCGTTATTCATCGTCAATTTCAAAGTATTTCGTTTCTAATTTGCTCTATATAGTCTCGTTCAAAGATGTATCAATTATTAATTGGTAGACAAAATATGGTTTACGACTTGAGATTCTGTAGTCAAATCAAGGACAAAGTTGTTTCGTTAAAAATATCAACATTGTACTCCATGATCTTATTATGCACAATATCGTTTTAGCTGTGGTTTTAATTTTGTTTTAATTTCTCATCACAGCTTTAATTGTGATCAACTGCGTACATTAATGCGAACAATAATATTGAGACATAAATTTAACTCTACTCTTAAATTATTTCCTATATGATAAAAGTTTTGTATCTCTGAAAAATGTGGAATTGTGCATTTAATTAAGAAATCTACAACATAATTTATCTTTTATCCTGTTATGGAGCAAATTGGACTGAAAACACAGAGTTCATTGGGACTAGTAATTATGAAACAGAAGAATACTTGCGTTGTGCTATATAAACAAGTTAGCGTGCTAAGAACTGATTTAATATTTAAAGATACACACGACACAATAGTGATTACATTGAATGCATTTTAGCATGTTCAATGATCACTGGAAAGAGAATAACTGTCATCATCATATCATTTATTATTATCATTATTATTTAGTTTATCCGTATTCCATCGGTAATTTGATTGTTTATCTGACTTTATCTGATTTGATTCTGAAAGGTAGAGTAAGATTTGATTCAATTTGTTTAGCGTAGTTTTTCATTAACATATAGTTTTATCAAGTAATATATACAAGTTTTTGCCAACCTTGATTATGTCGTGGTCATCATGTAATGATGTAAAAAAAAATATGCAAAATAGATAAAATAAGGAACACATTACGAACGATAGTTACATATTATGAAGCCATTATCTTATTTTGTGGTTTGAATTTGAAATAAAAACTGGAAAAAATAAATAGTAAAATATAAATGGCTGGAACTGAAATCGAAACAAATGTCCGAAAAAATTATTTCGTCGTAATTCTGTAGTTTTCAAAAATCATGGAAAATTTTCTGAAAAAAATACCATGAAACTCTGAGCGACTAAACTATGCGCAACGCTACATATATATTATGCTTTCTCTACTCTGTTGTGGGAGTAAAAGTTCGTCACACAGACGAACAGATTATTCAGAAATATTTTAAATCCAAAGAATTTGTTGATAAAACTTTGAAATTCTTGATCGAAGATAAGCGGACGTTGTTGTGACAGGAGGCCTTTCTAAAATAATTTTTTTTGGGTAGCCACAAATTACAAATTTAGTTTACATATTGATTCAGTTTCAACTCAGTTTCGTCGGTATTTTAAATAATTTCATTTATTTACAAGCAGTTATTTTCTAGTTAATTAGTTTTTGTTGTAGATTAATTATTTTAATAAAAGTGTATTTGATTTCAGAAAACATTTGGAACTTCTAATTTGGCTTTGTATGAAGAAGACGACAATAAATAAGTCCAGCTGCTACACTGTTTGAAAAGAAAAGTTTGTGAGTTGTAGAAAAAATTTATACGCTTTTATGTTTTCATAATGGACGTTTAGAAAAACTGTAAATTGATTGTGTGTAAAAATGTTCTTGTAGACTTGACTAATTGCTAATGAACGACATTAATAATTGAACGAGCTTTTGTGTTTTGTTTATTTTACTTTCCAGATTTTGCTTTAAGTTTGCTTCTCTCATAGTAGTGAGTTAGCGAATTGCTTGTCAAGTTGTCAAGCATATATCGTCAAGTATAATCGATCCTGCTGGACGACGAGACCCCTTCTCGTGTCATTTTCCGTGCTGCGGCTGCTATTGCTTATGTGAAATTTGCTGCTGAAAGAATGTCCAACCCCGAAGAACCCGATTTGCCTGTCTCATCCTCATCTTCCATCTCTTTGCAGAGAATTCTTAGTCCCAGGGGCACTCCAGTGGATACGAATCTTGTCCAGGTCAACGCAAGAAGTAATAATATTTACAAGCTTGTGACCCCCGAAAGTCAGAGTAGCAAATCTCTGCTGAGCGCATCTCAAGAAAAAAGTGATTCATCTGTAGCGAAGACGGACAATGTTCATGAAACAAATGGTAATCAATCTAACCAACAACATGAGCAAAAGCAGGAGGATGGAGTGTTGGACCGTGGGTCGACTAGTATGAAACCAAAGTCGAAACGACCCAAGCCAAAACAAGTTACAGCCTCTGCTGCAATTTTAGAAGCCAAAAAGAACGCACAAGCTCAAGCTAAACGAGTTACGAGGAGTAGTAGTGGAAGTACTAATAATAATTCGACTGTTGAAAATATAATTCCAGAACCTGAAATTGTCGTGATGAAGGATCATTTACAACCAGTAAGTGGATAAATATTAACTTGATTTTAATGTAAAATTGTTATGGTGTAATTTTAATAGGCAAGGGATATGAAGGGGGTTACTCGAAAGGCGACAGGTATTTAGCAAACTTAGGCAACTTGGATTGAAAATCGAGACCTATATTTATTTGAAATATTTTTATTTTAGGAGTGGTTTACGACATGAAAATGTTGGAACACTACTGTATATGGGACCCACAGTATCCGGAAAAACCAGAAAGATTAAGTGCCGTTATTGACAGGTGGGTCATACAAATCTGTATTAAATAAATTGAACCATTCAACTATTGTAACGGGCTTTATCCAATTTAGATGTCAACAACTTGGCCTTATAGACCGTTGTACCCCCATCTTACCTCGGTATGCCAGACAGGACGAAGTACTTACGGTCCACACACAAGATCACTTCGAAAAATTGAAATCCATTTGCGAAACTGATGATGTTACCAAAATGGAAGACTTTGCCTCCAACTATGATGCAGTTTATATTCACCCATCCACCTATCAACTGTCCCTTCTTTCTGTGGGGTGCACTGTCGATCTGGTGGATTCTGTATTGGCTGGAAAGATTCAGAATGGGATGGCCCTCATAAGACCTCCAGGACATCATGCTATGAAGTCTGAATATTGCGGTTACTGTTATTTCAACAATGTAGCTATTGCTGCAAAGAAGGCTTTGGATTCAGGAAATGCATCAAGAGTGCTTATTGTTGATTTTGACGTGCATCATGGTCAAGCTACGCAGCAAATGTTTTATGATGACAAGAGGTTGGTTAATAATTGTAAACATGCTTTCCGTAATTTAAATTATCTAATGGATTCTTTATTTCTTAGGGTCCTTTATTTTTCAACACATCGCTACGAACATGGGACTTTTTGGCCAAACTTGAAAGAATCGGAGTACAACTTTATTGGATCTGAAGATGGGTTAGGATTTAACTGCAATGTTCCTTTGAACAAAACTGGTTTAGGGAATGAAGACTTTTTAACTATTTGGCATCGACTACTGTTACCCATGGCATATGAGGTGAGTATATAGCACAATCAAGCACTTCATTTTCAACTCCAAAATTGTTGCATTTTGTTGGTGACAATTATTCTACTAAACTGATAACATTATTCTGCTATGTGCTCATTTAATTTATAGTTTAATCCAGACTTGGTAATTATTTCTGCGGGGTTCGACTGTGTGTATGGTTGTTTTGAGGTATTATTTATTGTACGGTTCTGTTTGGACGTGTGTGTCGGGATTATAGGTTGGATTTTGAATGAGAGTAACTAACTGTGTCTTACTTATGAGGCTTGCTTGCTTTTGCACCATGTTAAAACCCTAAGACAAAAACCTTTACTATTTTCATGTAGTCATTATAATTGATTGTTTCACAGTTCAATCCGGAGCTGATACTCGTTTCGGCTGGTTTCGACAGTCTACAAGGAGACGAAAAAGTAATTTCGACGATTGCATGGATTAGATTATTCCTCTTATCCAATTTTTGCACTTGTCAAAATCCAACCCTATACATACTCGCACGCACAAGCCTGGCCTTTATAATATTAAGTTAAAATACTAATATCTTATTTTGAAAACGAACGAAATTAGGGCGAAATGGAATTAACTCCGCAATGTATTCCACACCTATTGTCGCCTTTGTTGGGACTAGCTGAAGGAAAGGTGGCTGTAATCTTGGAAGGAGGTTATTGCATAAAGTCCTTGGCTGAAGGAGCTGCACTTGCTCTTCGTACCCTTCTTGGTGATCCATGTCCAATCATTCCGAAAATTCAAAATCCTTCACCTGTGTAAGCACCAGTAATAAAATAAAGGAAAAATGAACATATTCTCGCTAATTTGACTAACAAGATTTAAATATTTTGCAGCGTTGCGGAAACAATACTGAATTCCACCTACATGTTGCGACCTTATTGGAATATGCTCAAGACGACACAATTGACAACAGAAGAATCTGCCTCCCTTCTTCAAGAAAAGGGGCGTGTTCATAAACCAGAAATTAGGTTTGAGTGGGCCGAACCAAAACCGGATAAATATCCTACTCGGGGTTTCTACCCTACCCAAACTCTAGAATTAAAACGCACCATTGATTTGCGACTGGATAGTTTACGTCTTTCAACTAATCTGGCCAAAGCAAAGAGTAAAGTTGGAATTGTGTACGACGATGTAATGTTAAGACACCGAAATTTGCAAGAACTGTAAGCAATTATATTTACTTATTCAAGTAATTACCGTTGTGACTGTGACTCATGTTTTTATACTATTTTGTATGTATAATTCACAGTGGACATCCCGAAACCCCGGAAAGAATTTCCAATATATATGCCAACCATGCCGATTACGGATTGTTGGAACGCTGTGAAAGACTCAAATCCCGTGAAGTGACGGAGGAAGAACTTCTTTTGATACATACAAAAGAACACATCGAACTTATGAAAAAGACTCAAAACTTAAAGCAGAATGAACTGGAAAAAATGCAGCAGAGATTTAATTCTATTTTCTTAAACAACTCTTCGTACCAGTCCGCCCTTGTTGCCGCCGGATCAGTTCTTGAAGTCGTGGATAATGTTTTACAGGACAATTGTCAATCTGGTGTTGCAATTGTGCGTCCTCCAGGTAAGAAGAATTTATGTTTGAAAATAAAATAAGCATGCACAATTTTTAAAATGCGATAATTTTATTCGAAGGTCACCATGCAGAGGAAGGGTATCCTTGTGGCTTCTGTATCTTCAACAACGTGGCCTTAGCAGCTAAATATGCTCTTGAAACTCATGATCTTAAACGGTATGTATACTTATATCGTGCTGTGATTAACATTTAACAAAACATTTAAAATAATACTTCATTTCTATTTCTACCTAGAATTCTCATTGTTGATTGGGTAAGAAATATTTGCTGACAAGGTTTAATGTGGGTTAGTGTCATAAAAAATCATTTATAACAAATACAGGATGTCCACCACGGAAATGGGATTCAACGCATGTTTGAATCCGATCCTCGCGTCCTATACATTTCCATCCATCGGTACGATAGTAAACAATTTTTTAATTGTGATAACATAAAATTGATTTATTTTTATTTTTAACTTTTGAAGGTACGATAACGGATTCTTTTTCCCGTGCTCCCCCGATGCAAATTACAACGTCGTTGGCCAAGGGCAAGGGTCTGGGTTCACTGTCAACATTCCTTGGAATTGTTCAAAAATGGGAGACACAGAATATTTGGCCGTTTTCACCAACATAATTCTCCCCATTGCATACGAGTTCAACCCTCAGCTCGTGCTCGTCTCCGCAGGATTCGACGCAGCTAAAGGAGATCCTTTGGGTGGATGCAGCGTCACGCCGGAAGGATATGCTCACATGACTCACCTCCTGCGACCACTTGCAAATGGGAAAGTTATCATTGCTCTGGAAGGTGGTTACAACCTTACATCGATCGCCTATTCCATGGTGTTATGCACTAAAGCATTGCTCGGCGACCCCATACCCCCACTCACCCTCAACAAGAAAATTCATCCCGCAGCGCGTCAAAGTATAGAAAATGTACTCAACGTCCAATCCAAATTTTGGACTGTGCTGACTCCATTCAGGAAATTCCTCACTCATAAGCGTCGTCTTGTTCCGTTTGGTACATATGACGGCGGGAAGAGTTTGGAAGCAACAATGGAAAACTTGGAGTTGCAAAATAATAACCTAACAGCCGACGAGAACGAACTGACGGTGCCTTGCAGCAGTACAGCCTTATCGGAATCCTCATCAACATCACCGGATAGAGGAGGAAATAATTCAAGTTTTGAGCAAAGTCCAGTAAAACAGTCGCCGGAAACATTTACAATGACGTTGCAATTGGGCAATGAAGAAGAAGAAGGGGCCTGTGGTGGTGGTTCAAAGCATATCGTTGTGATGTCAAATTTTGTAAGCACCAGTGCATATTATGTTAATTGAATTTGATTAATTAAGTTGATATTCTTGTTAGGATGACGCATCTCCTGCAGCTGTTTACCCATTGTCTTGGTGTCCACATGTAGATCAAGTGCAGAAAGTACTGAATGAAGGACGTATCAATACGTGTGAAAAATGTGGCGTTTGCGGGCATGAAGGAGATAATTTGGTGTGCCTGGTCTGCTATAAGGTATATTTTTTATCTCAGCTTTGTAATTTATATAACACAAATACAATTTAAATATTTTCTCTCCAGGTTTTGTGTGGGCGTTACGTCAACCAACACATGGTGATGCATTCGTCAGAATGTGGGCACCCAATTGCACTAAGTTTCGCAGATTTGTCAATTTGGTGTTACGCTTGTGAGAGCTATGTTAGAAATGAGGTAAGTTGTTGTAAATAATTTTTCATTCTAAAATCTACTAGTACTTATTTTAGCCTTTCATTTCACTCCACAGAAACTTTTTGAAGCCTTCGCTGCCGCACACAAGGACAAATTCAATGAAGAACCTCCTGCACGAAGTTTCTCTACTTCTTAAAAGATTGTAAATAATCACATCACTCACTTTACAACAAAGTACGACGAAAGTTCACTCTTTTACCACTCACATACCTGCCATTAAAATTGAAATTGACAATAATTTGATCGTTTCAATATGACAAATTGATTACAAAATGAAAATACTACTCACTGCATACCTAAATATGAATTTTGTGCAGTTTAAAAAATCGGCTCTATCGGTACCTGTAAAATAAACCCCTATAATAATGCAAAACGATATATACTCGGTAAATATTGATTTGTTGATTCTTAACAAACCTCAGTCATTTTGTTAGATAAATTATTGAAACTGATAAGACTAAAAGAAACATGAGCACTTGATTAATGCTGTCTAATAAAACTAGATAATTACGTATGTCATTTAAATATGACCCGGTTTCCTAATTTTCTTTTAAATTTAATTCAACACAGTTGCACTATTAATTTGTAATTAGGTAACACGTGGTTAAATGTGCGATTTTGGTATAGATTTTATTTTAATTAATTGCTCACGAATAATATTAAATACTTATGTACGTATGTACGACGAGTATGACAGCAATAACAATAAGCACAGTTAATTGTTAATAATAATCTATACAAGTATAACCTTGTGTAACAACCACGAAATATAATAAATTGAAATCATAATGGACTTAATTCTGTACATTTAAATGCTTAAGTTTCCTTTTCATTTCATAATACAATTTTACGTAAGATAAACCAAGTAACTTGTTAAAAATAACCCCGAAGTTGTCACTATTGTAACAAAGTTCCCCACATATTTAAGAAAGTCGTAGAAAGCGTCATGAAGCTGGAAATATTTTTGAAACGACTTATCCATCTTTTTCGTCTTGGTGTAATTACTCCCATCATACATTCGTCTCCTTTTTTCCTCCGAATCATCCCCGTCAACTTTCTCCATCCGATACAAACTGAGACCAAAATGGAACGCATTTTTACCAAAGATGACGTTTCTCCAGTCCTTCCAACTCTCTGAAGATTCGGGAATAAAGTTGAAAAAGACGTGATTCCAATAAGTTTTGATATGAGTGAGTCTCAACTGCCTAAAACTGGCCTCGCTTTCTCTCCCGTATCTGTGCGGAATGAGGAGCAGGGACACCTTTTCCCACCCTTGCTCCATGTTGTCCTGATTTTGAATGAGGCGAAGAAGGTCACGTTCCAAGTGGATCATCGGGAGGGGCGAATATCCAGTATGGTACACCCTCAGTTTCGAACTCTGCTCCAATTTGAGGACAGTTTTGTACAGGGTGGGTGGCAGGTCGGTGTTGTAGGTGTTGGGATTGAAGTTAAAGTGAAAGTCTTCCGTGTGTGAGGAAAGGTCGAGTGGGTTCATTTCCGATAAGAGATCGTCTTCTTCTTTATGAGGATTAGAAGTTACGCCAGGCATTATTGTTTTCCAAGTTGTGGGAATTCCTAGCGTAAATGTGGGAGGGATTGCAGTCATTTGGGAGAAAGTTATGTCGACTTGGGTGTCATTGAATCTGTAATTTACGCATTCAGGTACATAAACTGTTATCAACGATATAGGAGGAAGTATTGTCATCTCACCTTATCGGCGTCAGATTATCAGACAAATCCATAAAACTCGTGAGAATCCCTCCTTGTGCAAGGTATCCAAAGTAGAGGACGCCAACGCAATTCGAGGCAAACCAACTTAGACCAATTTTACTTGAAAATCTCGACGCGAGTGGGATTTTATGACCGTGCATGTACACCAAGGGAAAGATTAGTGGGGCCAAGTCGAAAACTGAGTAGGAATTCCCATGAGATTGAATCAAGAAAAATAGTGGGAGGAATAACGAAAAATTTAGAAATGTCCAATGAGAATCCAAGTTTGGTTTGTGTCGCCACTCAGCAAACATCACGTCGTACACTTCTTTAACAAAAGAGACCAGCCCCATAACCCCCAAAACATTGAAAACTATCAAATACAACCCCAAAATTTGGAGATAACCCCACCAATCTCGAAACTGGTTTTCCTTCCGGGAAAAATAGTTGACCGGCGTGATAACAAAACTTTCCGGAGAAAGGTTAAGCGTTCTAAAATCTTCCCAACCCACTTTCCCGTGATACAACGAGTCCCACAAGATGAATGGGAGGCAGCAGATAAAGGCCAGCAGAAGAAAGGAGAAGATTCTTGCGTGAAAGTATTTAATCCCAAAGAGTCGATGGCTTATGCCCTTTTGCATGTAGAAAAACAGAGGAATGCAGGCGTAGGAGAGGAAAAATTCGGGGTCATTCCAAACCCCGGTAATCGTGAGGAAGGTGATTAAAGGGAGTCGGTTAAGGGACGAATAGCCAGAAGCTTTCATTTCTTTGAGGAGATGAACCCTCCCCACTCCGTCCGATTTGGGGAGACTGTAGTACTTTTCAAGGAGTGGGATGTATTCCTCGTAGGCGTGGAAGGAGGCTGACACGAGGTAGAGGAGAGACGCAAACAGGGTCAAGTTCAGGGAGGACGGGTGACTTCTTGGGGCGAAGACGAGCAGTACTTGAGACGAGGCGAGTGTGACGAGTCGAATTGTCGAATCGTTAGAGTGATCAGTGGGAAAATTGGGTGGTGGTGACGGAGGAGGAACTGGTGGACTTATATTCTCAACGTGTCGAAATACAGACGATTTTTGTCGATTCTTTCGCCGTCTTCGATGTCTGGGTTGCATATCACTGACATCATCAATTGCTTCTTCATCCTCGGATGAGTCGAGAGTCACGTCACGGCGTGGGTCCCGTCTTCGGCGGCGACTACGTCGTGTTTCCGCACCAGGTGGATGAGGGTCATGAGTGGTATCATTAGCTTTACTTTCTCCAACATTTTCTGCCTCCTTCGCTTTATTATTATTGCCATTATGCACCTTTTTTCTGGATGACTCGTTGAGTCTGCAGAATTTTATGAGAATATAATCCACCAGGAATGAGAGGAGCAAGTGGAATATTCTGGGGATCAGGAGGAGTAATTTAGTATTTGGTATTTCCTCCTTCCCAATGGGGTGAGTGTATGAGAGAAAGTAGTTGCAAATTATGTAGGGGAGGTAGATCGTGGTGTGGAGGAGGGCGATGGAGTGGGTGGGACTCGACGAGTTGAACACGTCCGGTTTGAAAACTTGCAAATCAAAGTAGTCCCCTGTAAAAAAAAGAAACATATTTAGCGTAAAATATTTCACAAAATTAGCATCGACTTTCACCAAGAATCATGAATGACCAACCTGCCACAACCTCGATAGAATTGCTCAACTCGTCTTGATGAATCCAACCAGTTTGAAGATTCAGAGTTAAAATTATTCTCAACAGGATGAGCAATTCGTATAAACCGTGAAGGCGGACGCGTTGTAGCTCTGTTCTGGGTCTACCTGAAATATTGGGCGATATGTAATTTATGAAATTCAAGGATTTTAAATTTAATATATTTTTGAAACACCAACTTGGAACAATCTGTGAGTTTTCTCTCTCTTCAGCAATTCTTCGAACGACATCCATGACTAAAATTGTCCAATTGTGAGAATCTGCTTACATTAATTTGCTTGCATGATTTACTGAGAATTAAACTATATCCTAAATAAATAAATAAATATTTTTAGCAAGCAGGGTGACTGAATAGAATCCAAACCAGCGGATTACTACGCAAATCAATATTGTTGTGTTTTTACTTTCATTCCCTGCAAAACCCACTTTCTCCTTCGCCGGGTCGAGTACAATACCCGGGTAGCGGAGAAAGTATCCCGTTTCTACGATACGAGGTTGTCGTAGCCGTAGAGAAATGGTTAACATTTCCTTGAAGCTTTACAGCTCAACATTTCTCTACGAAAACAAAGAAAGTGTCAGTCTGATGTATGTTTGCAGAACTTATAATAAAACTTTCAAGTAATGGAGTCGACACAGCCACACACAATCGAACCACGTAACCCAAAATTGTTGAAAATCCATCTCCGTTATCACCCACCCGGCATAATTTTGGACTATTTTGATGCATATCGAGTCCGGAAGGAGAAGACGATTGACCTTCTTGACCTTAATTGTGGGACGAATATTCCATCCCTGGCCACCGAACTGCTCAACTCTGACCCACTCTTTTACACGCACAATCACCGGATGAAATGCTTGGATGCGCTGGAAAGGCTGAAGGAGACGCAGTTTCATAACTTTTCGAAACGCTACGTTCAAGTCCAAATTATAAAGCCGCATTCACTTCCATTAACGGGGGCTGCTTTCTCTAAAGATGGATTAAGGTCGGTACATTCGTACATTGTAGAATTGGTGATAGCAACCTTTTTGATCTATAAATGTTTCGTTCTGGAAGTCCAAACCCTTTCTGGACACCAGTCCAAAATTTCCAAAATGTGTTAAAGCGTCCATTGGAAAATGGAGCACAGTATTACAAGTTCTTTATTAACATTTTTTTGTTGCAAATCTATGCATTAATAAAAATTAGGTGTCCGAAACTGGTTAAAACCACAGACTGAATATTTTCTTTGTTTTATAAAGGGTAGCCACTTCCTGCTTAGCGAATGGCAGCAAAGTTTGGAACGCTCAATCAGGAAGAGAAATCGCGACCTTGGTTGGACATGAGGATGCCGTGACTTCCATTAATTTTAACAGTTTGGGGTATACATGAATGATTACGAATCATTGTGTAAAGCTGGTAAAATATTGCAATTCATTTTTTCAGGGACCAAATCTTGACCTCTTCTTCCGATGGAACTCTACGTCACTGGCGACTTGATCAAGATATGCTCATCTCATGTAAAAACGTTTTAACTACAAAAACCTCAATTTCCGGTGACCGAAAGACGACTTACACTGACGATAGTGGTGGACGCGTCCTCTTCTGTAAATATAGCCCCGATAACCAAATGGCACTTTCTGCTTCGGACGATAAGAAAGCATGCATTCATGATTTAGTTCAAGGTGATATATTTGAACTTCAACGATTCATTTCTCTATTTGGAATACTACACAATCCATTCATTTGCTGTAGGCGTACTTCGCTACAAATTTTGTCCCGAGCTGAAATCGGACCAAGAACTGAATTCTGTCAACATGGACAAGACTGGGACCCTGCTTCTTCTGAGTCCTCACGCCACATGCACGGCAGCCCTCTTCGACCTTCGCACAGGGGAAATGACGGACACTTTAGAAGGTCATGACATGGAGGTGACGAAATCCATTTTCGATTTCGGGGGTCAAAATATTGCCACTTCTTCGTGGGATTGTACCGTCAAGTTGTGGGACATTCGTAACTTGGAGGAACCTGTGCACACCTTCTGTGAAAGTGATTCTGAGGCAAGCAATTTGTGTTCTAAACACATTCTTGTCACAGAATTTATGACTTATTTTGCTTTTAGATAATGGACATAGAATTCCACCCCTGCGGTAAATCTGTCGTGGCCGGATCCGCTGAGGGAAATATTTTCGTTTGGGACGCTACAAAAGGAAAGTTGCTCTTTGAAAAGGAAGTGCAAAACAGCCCTCTTTCCAAAGTCGTTTTTAGTCCGAATGGAGCCATTGTTTTGGGATGTAATGACTTTGGAACGATTTGCATGTATCACGCCGAGTTGGGAAGTTGTCTCCAAACGCTGCCAGACCACACGAGAGAAATTGTGGGGACTGCTTTCTCTTACGATTCGGGTCATCTCATGACGGTGATTCAAATTATACAAAATATATGTATAACTTGGCAAAACAATTAATAATTTCTCGACGGGATTTTAGGCATCGAAGGACAAGTCGGTCCGGATTTATAAGCATGCATTAATCCGGTAGTCAGAATAATAGCACTAAAATGATACTGCTTCTACAAATCTATATCGACAAAGTTTTAAGATAACAAATTGAGCTTTATATCCCAAATTAAGTAGATTTTATTAAATATATCGCCCCACAATAACATTATTTTTAGTGCACTTGTTTGCACACAGTCGCAGCAACATTCAATAACTTTGACTAAATTACTATATACTTTATCAACCAGCTTGCTTAAAACAACCGAAAAAAAAGGAATCCTTATTAATTTCCATTATTGCGCGTAAATATATGTGTATAATATCTATTTAGTAAAAGTAAAATAAAATTCTATCCTATATAACGATTTAAAACGGCAAATTAGACAACCGCCAGCAAATAATTTTGGAGAAAGTTTCAGAACAATATTTTTCGTGAGCGTTAATGTTTCATTATAATTGCATAAAGAGTTGAAATTGCAAACTGAGTAGGTAATAATTAGTAAATGTCTAATTTTTTGAATGAAATGTCTTAAGATTAATTAGTCTTATTACATCTTATTACTGGCTGCATCTGCATTCAAACTCAGTCACAATCACAACTGTGCAGTTTTCTTTTCTTTATGCATTGAGTATCACTCAATTTAAAGCTTATCTGTATACATAGTCAACTAATAACAACGAGTAAATATGTAGCTACGCTATTTACCTAATAATATAATCATTTTCCCATCTCTCAAATACAGTGGGTGGGGCGCATTTACATGCAGCAGGTTGTTTCGCATGTCTAAATACAAGTTAACAATGATTCATTGTGAGCTAAAGTTAGTTGGCTGTGGCTTATCTACATTATTGGCTGCCTACATATTTGTTACGTCATTGCATATGAAATATCTACCACTTTATTTGTGTACCAATCACCACTTTTTTTGTAAAATGGCTTTTAGCTTTCTAATTCCTACTATTGTTAATACTTACTAGCTCAGCATGATGAAGATGAATAGGAAATAGAGCAATTTCAAAAATGTTTTAAAAATTTCAACCGCTTTTACAAATTTACATTTCTGAAAACAAATCACAATAGGTTTTTTTTACAACTGGACTGGCTGGCAGCATGAGTTTCAAGGCAATTCACAATTTCATTCTAACTTTTTTTTTAGAAAATCCTCTACTGACAAATTGTTCTTAAATATTGAGCTATATGGGTAGATTCTAGAGCAAATTGGTAATATTTTACAAGTGTGTGGTTGCATCGCTTGGCTTGAGATAACTGATTACATAGTTCCAGATTTTCGCATATTGCAGCAATTTTTAGAATTTGAAATTGAACTCCATCCCAGATATGAAGAGAAGGAAGGAAGTGTAAGAATTTATTTATTTCTTTGGCGGTTATCATGATGGAGGTCCTAGAGTGACCATGCCGGAAAGACAGGAACGAGGTGCCCTACCAGTTCGTTGAAGGCGTGCTAAAATGAAAATGTAAAGATATCACATTAACTTTTTTCCCAAATAGTTCCAAATGCCAGAAAATCAACCAAGAAATAAAATGTCACCGCATTCTAAGCATCCCAAATGAAAAGTTGACCATCAATAATTACTGGTCAACCAAAAATATAATAATACCAAAACCAAAAATATATTATCCCCTAAAAATAATAATTTTTTTTTTCTTAAAAAAATAACCAAAATTGGTTTCGACAACTTGTTTTCGATCCGTATTGATTTGTATTTTTTTCTACTTGGATAACTAACTAGGAGGCAAAAATTCAACACAAAAAAAGAGTTGGACAGTAAAAAAAAGTATAAAAATAAGACAAGACACAGAATGTTCATCCTACATGAAAAAGGATGTGGATCTCTGAAAATAATCATCTCCACTTGTGTGACATAAAATAAAACAAGACAAAATACAACAAAAGACTACTCCGGACAAAAAATGGGGATACGAAGTTGCCAAAATCTTAGAGCCAAGTAACACTTTGAGCACAATTAGCACATTTGAAAGCATCACCAACTTTGTACTGTTAAGATTTCTGCTAGTAAAGAAAGAAAAGAGTAAAGTTTCGTTCGAGTAGGAGGAAGCGAGGATTACAAAAGCGTAGAAGCATGAAAGCGGACCAAATTCCAGGGAGGATTATATAAAAAAGGAAACAAAGGGATTTTTTATAGAGGAAATTTAAACGAAGGTTTTAAATTTTTAGGGAAAGTTGTCATACAATTATACATTTTTTAATACATACAATTCTACAAATTATATGATGAGTAACATATTAAATTAACCAAAGATTGCATATGAATATTATGTATCAGTGCATCATTCATTCGTATACAGTCAGTTCAGTTAAGTTTGAGAGTTTTGTTAGAGATTTTGTTGTTTGGTTGGAAGAAGAATTGACAATTATTTAAAAGAGAGCAGGATTTCAGTAAAAGTGCACTCACAGAGGAAACAGAAATTCAAGGGAAACGATTGTTTTTGACTTTTTGTAATTACCTTCGTTGTATCAGAGAGATTACATGTGTAGGTGGTTGTTGATTCTCATTCTATCCTCCATTCTATCCTCTTTCTTCGTATGTGTGTATTAACTTAGGTATTTTTTTTAAACTGCATCTTTTCAAGGTACATACTTTGAGGTTTTTAGGATTTTAAAATTTTATAAGTCTTCCATAATTTGTGTTTAGTATTTCTCTAAAAGTAGCAAAACTAAAACTCATTTTAACTGTGTTGTGAAGAAGAAGGATGTTATATAATGATATGATAATGAGTCGTGTTGTATTTAATGTTTCTGTTGATGTATGTACAAGTGTGAAAATCAGGTATTTTAAATTTTAATTAAATTGGATTGGGAGATCAGTTCCTTCCTTCCTTAAATAATGTTCATCCTCCGCCCTCAAAAAAATCTTCATCTCCCAATTCAGTACTACTTAATATGTATTACGGTTTTTTCAACTATATTATTATACTTCTTATTTGTATCCTCATTAATAATAAGTCCACCATCCTCATGCATTATTTAAACATGAAGTTAAAGTAACAAAACGGAACATATACAAAAAATTTCGAATTTCCTTATTAGACAGACGGCACAAAAGGATTGTAAAAACAAGGTGTGTTTATACAGATTTCTTTCAATTGTTGCTGGCTACCTGTGTGCGATCATCATTAATAAAACAGCGAAGAAAATCAAGACGTCACTTTTTTTGTAGTTATTTAAAACTGAACTGAACTGACGGCACATTCTAAAAGTAGTCAACAGTACATTGTCTCTATTTTATATATTTATAACTAAACATGAACGAAGGGTGTGGGCGTGGGTGGGTTTACGGTACGGTATATAAAGGAACGAGCACTGTTTCGACAGACACAACCATCAACCGATTCTTTTCGATCTGCGTTCTGTAAAGAAAATAGAGACCAACTACTTAATACATTAAGAAAACATAGCAATTTACAGAGTACAAATTCTAAATAATAATAATAATTTACGCTTATTTTCGGACCAATAATAACGAAAGCTGAACTTGCACCGTTTGCATACATGTTAAAAAGTATGGCTGCGCATAAAGCTTGTTGCCACGAAGCAGGTGTGGTATATTTATGTACATAGCTCGTCAACGTAATTTTACCTTAAAACTTCTCAAGAAAGTGAGATGTATGTATGGCAGTAATGCAATTATTGATGTGACAAAGTCGAGTAGAACTAGAAGCGGAGATATATAGAGATGAGGGAAATTGTGGTGTGGAGGAAATTGAATCACCTCTTGGAAACTTAAGCAGCAAAGGTTCATCTTATAATTCTTTAGGTGTAAACTTATTATGTATTTTTGGTACTGATGAAGGAATCCAATCTGATAAAAACTCATCGTGCAGAAAAGTGCTGTTAGTTTTTTTTGGAAATCATTCACTTTTTAGCTTTGGATTTTGATCTGGCCGTGGAAGAGGACGACTCCCCACCCTCTCCACTGATTCGTTTTAGTCGAACTGCAAACAATAGGAAGAACACTTTTGTTAACAACACACCAAAAACACTGCATGCGATTAGGATAAAATTACAAAACTCAGGTTTTTGTTAAAAGTCAAGGTAGAGATCAAGTCGAAAGATTAATTTTTTTAAGAATAGAATTACGCCCACACATAAACACTCTAAATATACATATTCAAAAGAGATATAAATATGTAATAATAGCTGTTAAAATATTCATGCCATGCACATTTCAATCAAACCTTGAAGATTAATTACTCTAAAAAAACCACACACAAAGAATCTTGCGAGTTAAATCTTATCTTTTGAATGTGTCGTAATATTTCTATTTCAATTTCTCCTTTTACATTTCAATGTCAGTGTCAACCTGTCCATGTCATAAAACCTTTTTCCTCTTTGGAGAAATGTAGCGTAGAAATGTGCCATGTTGTGAGGATTGCGAGGAAGGACGATGCGATGGGGTGAGATTAACTACTCCAGACACATTTTGGAACAGGAACAAGTAAAACAATTCGAGAGATGATCTTGGAAGAGATGAGTGTGTACTAAAGTGTAATGACGGTGGAAGAAAAGCTCATTAAAAAGAGTTGATGTACCGTACAGACAACAGTAAAGTCATAATGATTCATATACTCCTGCACGTCGTCGTTACGACAGTTTTGCATAGAAATAACACTAGTTATTACGTAGAATTGGCTGGCAGTAGGGAAAAAAGTACATTTATATACAGGGGAATCATAACTAAAAAGGGTTTGCGGTTGCGGACTTGGGAAGAAGGGAACAAGATGGGACAGCGAAATCAAAATTACTTCTCTGGGTGTTGTCAAAAAGCCCAGAAAATCAAAATAAAACGAAAAAAACAAGGAATGACATTCGAGACAGGGACACAATAGACAATACAATCACAGTATAACGAGGGCACATAAAAAAAGATAAAAAAGTACAGATGACAGAGAAGGAAGGCTTACACTCTTTCATTCGCATTTTAATTTCTAAATCAGAGTCTGTCTCAATTGGTCTCCACAATATGCACGACGCCTTCTTCGTCCTTTCTCAATTTCACGCGAAGTTCGAGGCGTTCTTTGCAAATAAGTGAATCGGAATGAGCATAAGGAAAGTTTAGAAAGGAAGAAAGACATGAATTAATGTTAAAAATCCGTCATAATTCTACTGCCCAGTTAATAAACACCTTTTGTTGTCTTTACACCTCATTGTCCTGGGATGACATGTTTATGTAATACACAAATTAAAGCTTAATACAATCGACGGTACAATGTCACTCACTACAAATACTTAAAATATGCATGCTACTCACTAATCAAAATCAGACTAAAATGCGACGTGTTAACATCTCGTTATGCGATTGATAAATAGGTCACGACGACGACGACAGTCACGAGATGTGACGATGTGCATTCTTCCTACTTTGAAATATGTGGCGAAAAAGAACGTGCTGGTGCATGTCTGAATTTTACAGTCTATCTAAATTTGTCCTTTAATAATAAAAATATTTTAGCATATGTGCATCGCATCCCCGACCCTGACTGTGTCTCGAGCATCGTCGTTGTCGTCGTTAGGATAGACCACCCAATATTGCACATAGAAATACAGTTATAAATACGTACATAAATATTTTGTAAGTACTTTTCCAAGACAGGAACGACCTTTCCTAATAAACTTTTTGGACCGATGTGTTGTGTCATGTTGTAAATTGCAAATGTCAACCCCAACCAGCCAACCTTGAAGAAATATAGGAATTCTCCTCGGAGGAAGGATGACATTATTACTAACGACGAATAAACTAATTTCATGTGTCAACTCAAAATTAATCTTGATCTTTCAATCCCAATTCGAATTGTTGTTCTGCGTTCGACTGTCTAGTTAGTTTTTTTGTGGTAGACATAAGTTGTCGATTAATTCTTGCTGGCGAAGCTTCGTCGTCGTTCAGTACCAAAAAATACTAATAAATTCGACAGCGTATTAAATCTGGATGTCTTTAGTCAATGTCGTATTGAATCGAAAAACTCCCAACATCAAATTATTTATCATTAACATAATACTAGTATACTTTCTTATATGTATCAATGCCTTGTAATATAAAATTGTAACAGTAAAGCGACGTCTTAGAAAAATAATATACTCGTATTCCGACTTACTTCGATCAAGGTTTCTTTGTAAATGGCAAGCAATTCGGTTTCTAGCATCATTATATTCCAGATGCAAACCAACCTGTAAAACACATTTGGATAAGAAGTCGTTGGCAAACATTGACAAGCTAATAAAAAAACTTTCTTCCGTGATGCGTATTTGGGGCTTAAGTCTAAAGCTTAGAGGTGTTTTGATGCACATATGTAGGTAAATGAATTGTAACTTACGCGGAGAATGGTTGGATTTTGCTCTAACAAATTGGTAATTTCCATCTCAATCTTGTTGCCTAATGTCTGCTGGCGCTGTGAAACAAAGGAAAAGTTTTAAAAAAAAGTCAAATCGTATCGATACAGCATCACATCTATTGTAGTAAATGTAAATCAGAGACAAAACATGGGATTATCACAATGGTTAGTTGCATAATAAATAGTAATGGTTAACTGAGCCCTCCACACCCACGAGGCGACGACGACGGGTGAAGCGGTAGTATTGCAAAGTACTACGAATTTCTTTACGACTTTCCAACTCGCGCACACGAGGTCCAATTAGAAAAGCATAACAATAAGTAGGAACGATTTGCGAGATAAATAAAATAACTGCAAATGTCTCATTGATCTGACTGAATGTGACCTCCAGTGTTGCTGATGCAGTTTGACGTTAAAAGAAAATCGAGTTAAGCAACTAACGACATTGGATGGCACGGATGAAATGGGATAAGGATTTCAGAAATTTTTGGAAATGTGCCATCCCATCAGAAAATCCCTCAGCTGGGCTGGCTGGCCTGGGTATTTGGCAAATTATTGGATATCATAGTGCGAGTTGCATTACATTTACAAATTAGGATTTGTCTCTCGCTTTTTGCATATAAATAAAAAAAGATGTTCGGCGCTTGTGTTCTTATTCTTAAAGATAGGCAGATAGGTATGCGTACTTGGTTGGATGCTCTGAATTCTTCTACGTATTTCGTACTCAGCAAGGATTTGATGATCGCCACTAGGGAACTCGGACTCAAGTTGTTGGTCTCCACGCTGCAATATAAACAAAACATGTTTTCACACTTGAACATTAAAGTGTTAAACCGCAAATTAAGTCAAGGAGTTGAAGTTAGGGTTCAAAGTACAAAATGGAATCGATATAAACTGCGTGATAACCGTGTAACAGAATGGAATTTGGTAAACACAAGACCTTCGCAATTAGAAATTTTTCTAATTCCAATTCGTGATTTGAATGAACTCCAATATTCCCATTTACAGTAAATGAAAAAAAACATTGCATTTATTATGCTTAAAATAACTCACTTTATGGTACGAAGTGTGGAATTCTTGGAAAGACCCTGTAAAACAATTACCATAAAGTAATTGATAAGTATTTTTTTCAGTTTTTACTATAAATAAACTGCATCAAATTATTTGCGTACCCCGGCTAGCAAAATCCCAGTCCTGTCCGTCATTCCCGTGTTACATAAAGACAGAGATTCTAAATTTGTGTTTGATTTAAGACCCTCAAACAAGTTGGCGAATTGCTGGTCTGAAATCTAAACCCCGACACGTGCCAAATTAGTTAAATAAACAAAACAACAAGAGCACACAGTCAAAATCTAGATCAACACCGTGCGGTCTTATCTAAAGCATCTTTGTGGTGTGAAACTGTTAAGAGATAGATGGGAAAACGTGCCTGGATATTGTTAAAATTGAGACAATTGAGTCCATAATCGTCATCTCGAACTTGTTGGATAGATTTCTCAACGTCGGTCAAATTAGGTGGCTCAAATGGCAATGCTTTCGGTTGATATGCCTTAGCTGTTGAATAAAATGCAAGTTGGTATGATTCGCTTTCCTATCCAATTAAATCTCTCATGTAACCTTACCGATCCCATTCCAACCCAGTTTCGGTTGTTCTTTGCCCAATAACGCGTTGTTGTATTGCTCTTGATTCATCATTGAATGGAACCCAAGGATGGCTAAGGAGAAAACATTTATTACGCAGGGAACGTGACATGAAACGCCAGCCAAACATGCCTAAATGTCATTATGCTTAAATGCCAAATTGTAGGTCCTACTACTAACTACTCACCCGCAAGATCCACCAACTCTTCCTCTGACGCCTTGGTCAATGCATGTTCATACTCGTCACCCAAATCAATGGCGATTTCCTCCTCCTGCTTTGTCTTTGGTTTCTCTGGAGCAGTAAACTTTTTCCCACGTACGGTGCCAGCAACATACGGAACCATTTCTGGACGGTCCGGGGTCTCAATGGCCAATTTATTAATGTGATCAATCAACTATTGAAGAACAAAAGTGTAAACAATCTACATCTAAAGATGAGAAGCTTAAAAAACTAACTTGTTTCCTGTTCAGTGGACCGGTCGGGTTCTTATCGCACATGTAACTTGTCCTTTGATCGGGCGGAAGAAGTTCGTCCTATATAAAAAATTATGGTAAATTCGGTCAACTTTAAGCATCCAATCTAACGCTTCATATGCCATCCTGTCCTTACATCAGGGTCCACTTCCCTCGATAAGATGTCCAACTCTTCCGGTGTCAGTTGGGAGAGTAGCTCATCCACGTCCATCTTCTCATACTCGGACAAATCCTTCCCGTACAATTTCCGGGTCGTCATTGTCGTCGTCTTTGTCGCCGTCATGGATGAGTTCTGCAATTGACAAAGATACGTGTAATTATAAACACTAAAAAGTCGGTTCTCTAAAGAAAACTCCCGATTTGTTTACTCCCATTTAAAAACTACTCAAGTATTACCATTTTACTCCAAATCTTTGGACTTTCTACACTAAAATTTATACTTTCTTTCAGGCAGTGAGGAAACAATTGAATTAAAACTAGTAAAACTTATTTTTAAAAGAGTAGAAAATTCTTAGCTACTTCAAGACCCAGCCCAGTTGTATAATAATAATGTGAGTTGTCAAAACTATGGGTGACCACCACCACGCCCGCTTCCTCCAGCAGTCTCATTTTTCCTACCTCCGCTTTCTCCACGACGACTTTGGAACTTTCACCCGTTTTCTTCTTCTTCTCGCTCATTTTTCGCAAATTGCTCTCCGATCAGCTATTTTTTTGAGCCAGTTTTTCAAATATTTGTAAATTCTCCTTGTCTCAATGACGAGAAGATCGTCAACAACTATTGGGGAATGATGATGATGATGTAATGCTATATCTGCATAATGTCCTTGTCAGCACGTCTTACATCAAAAAAGTCTGCATTGCTTAAAATACTAATTCACTCTTGTTAAAGAAATAGCTTAGACTGAATGAATTTTCTTTAAATCAAACATACTCTGCAGCAGAGATTGCATTGGTTGGCTAATAAAACGAGGGAGTGAGTGAGTCACTAATAATAATAATATACCTACATACTTACGCGTAAGTAAGGCATAGATAGTTTAGCTGGCAGCATTATATTTGGCTTTATTATTATACATACGTACATGGTGCGGAATGGCATGTAAGGAATTGAAGTAGTAGTGGTTGTTGTGGCGAATACTAGGATAGGGTTGGATTTTTTATCGTGATGGCAAAAAATACAAATAGTGAGACATAGCGAAGTTACAGTGCTAATAGGAGGAGAACATGCGACATGATAAAAAATCAGGATAGTAAGGGTGCCAGTGAGAAAGCGTGGTAGTATATGGCGAAAAATGTTATAATTTGCACTGGGCTTCGTTGATATGCCCTCTTTCCGAAATGATAAGCAGAGGAAGGATATGTATGTGCGAAAAATTGCAAAAATATTTACGAAATAGGTACGAAAAAAGAAAATTCTTCGCAAAATTCGCATTTCTGAGTATGGTATGATTATGATGCTCTGGATTTTTTGTGGTCAATTTCTTTGAGGAAAAAAAATGTAGTTTCGTATCTTTGAAATATTTTTAAAATGTATATGTATTTTTAATTAATTTCTGAAATATTTACGTAATTTTCAAATAATAGCGGAAATATTTATAAATATATTTGTCTGAAAACCTAGAAATAGATATGTAACAATATGTGTAGAAATGTTGTTGAGATTTTTGTTATCTACAAGAGTTAAGGATTACACCCACAAAATTTGGCCGTTGGTCACCATCAAATGAAAAAGTTGAAAAGAAATACATATCCGCCCTCTGATGATAAGGCTTGTTTTGTTTTGTCTCTCTCTCTTGTCGGTGTTGGTGGTGGTGGAAGGAAGTCTGAGTCATAAACTTCATATTTGTAATTATGAGCAAAACAATGCCAAGTTTCGAATTGCGAATTGTAAATGAGTTTATTTACTGTTCCACATTTTCATACGGAGCGAAGCCAAGCCACGAATTTGGTTGAAGAATGTGAGGCATGATTTTTGCAGATTGGCTTTCAGACCGGATGGATAGACGAAAGTACGAAACAGGGAAGGAATAATTTTGAGATTTTATTCAGGAAGGTGGTAAACTGATACTGTTATTATTATTTTTATTTTTATGATTAGGCACATTTGTTGACTAACCATGTTTGGTTTGTAAATAGTTTCAAAAAGTTTCAGCGTATGCAGAGGCAAAGAATGTATTTGTATGCATGCATGCAAATAAATATGGTTAGGTACATACGTTCGCTTGATAGAAGAACAATGAGAACGAAAACTTGTAATTTGCACAGATTTGCCTGTGTACTAATAAAATGCAAGGTAGGAAATTGTATAAAAATGTGTCTGTTCTCATTATGGATCCCATTCATCAAATTTCCGTTATGGGTGCTGTCAAAATTTCGTGACATTGTCATCACGGCTTTGTTCCGTTAATACCAATTCATTTTCTACGAGTAAATAAATAAAGATTGGAAAGTGAAAGTTTCTCTAGTCAAATAAGATTCAGTCAAATAATTCAAGTTTGTTTTTACTAAAATACAAAATGCTCGTGAAATTGGAGGAAATTGGAGATCTTGCCATGTTTCTTATATACAAAAGTTTTATTTTGCGTTCTTCTCCCTCCATTCGTTCCATCCATCGCGATAAAATGATATTTATAACTAACGACTTTCCTGACAAAAAAGCTTTTAGCCAAACAAAACGGATGGAAGTAAATGTAGTGTTTCCTTCGGTGGACGAGATGTCATTCGTCACTTTCTTAAACTTAGCTAAATTTCAAGTACAAGGTTACACCCCGACTTAAAAATAACACCGCAACGTACGAGACCTATGTGTACATATGTATATTATTTCTTGCTACAAGAACCCATCTTTAAGAGCATATCGGCATCGCAAATCACATTTTTCACCGTCTCTATTATACACGATGAAGAAATGTTTCCTGTCAGATTTTTTAAAGAGTACAAGAAGCAAGAAGAGTAAAGTAAATACGTACTTTTTAGCTGTATCTTTTAGTTTTTTGTCTAAATCGCAACACGTGAACAAATAATGTTGCAAAGATGATGATTCACAAATTTCCTCCAAATCTGCCACATTTTGATTTATATCTCCTTATCGCATAATTTGCTTTCGTCAAGGTACGCTTCTAATCATCGGCGTGATCCATTGCCTTTTTTCTCTGGATTCTATGTGCGTAACAAACTCGTGCTCAGTTTAGGGAATACTTTAGATAAATAAAAATACATAATTCGACTTGGCATATGTACAGAGACTGACTTTTCTATGAAATTGGAAATGTACGCAAGAAGGCTACAAAAAAGTCGGTAGTTTGCCAAATTCGTAATAAATTGCAAAATCAACTTGGTAATGAAGTATTATGCATAATATGGTTTTGGTTTGTTGGCTGCTAACTTTTTGAGACCTTTGTCACTTAAAAGAGTTTGTCTCCAGTATCTTAATTAATTATTTTCCAATGACCTACGACCCCTCCTGTAATTTTTAACGCATAGAAAACAAATCTGGTAACAAAATTAAATACTTCCATGTGAGTACCATTCAAAGCTTCTCCTCCTTTATAATTCATGCATTATTATTTTATTTCTACGAGTTTTGCTGCTCTACGCCACGAACGTCTTCATGAATGACTCGTCTTCATCTGGTGAGTCTGCATTGGTTTTCTGAATTCTCGGTTTGAAAGCGACGGATGTATGCACGGTAAGAGACGAACACCAACCAGGCTAAATTTGGACTTGTTCCCTTCCCCTCTTTCTCTATTTATATATGCGAATTCGCCTCCCTCCATCCACCAAGCCGTGATCATGCATATGCTCCAACTTGCCGTATAACACTTCCATGATAAGCCGAATACTGTTCAAACTAACTAACTGACTGACTAACAACGAGCTCGCTAATACTGCGCCTCGACTTGGTTGAGGTAAGGTGAAGTGAAAGATAAGTGCATCTCTCGTACATACACAAGATTATTGAATGGAGACCTAAGAAAGAAGTCGACGCTAAGGCTGCCAAGTTTTGTAAAAGCATTCATTGCTTATATTACATTAGTCATTCAGTCACTTGAGCAGCGTAAAAGTTATGGCTTATCGATATCATTTATATTAAAGGAAGTATGCCCCTAGAAAAATGTGTAATTTACAAGAAAACGGAAATGTAACACGTCAAAGGTTTTAATAGTTTTTATCATGTTGGTGTTTCCCACACGTTAATTAGTAATGAATGAATGATGGTGGTAGGTGGTTCATTTTTTTACTGGTAATAATAACAGTGCATGGAATATTTTGCAAATCCCAGTTTGCACTTGCAAAATAAGCTGTCTCATAAATTAAATTTATGTATGTGCAGAATTTCTTAGAAATAATATAATATGTGCAGGCGCATGCAAAAGCGAGGAAAATCCCAGGAATAACTTTATAGAATTCGGGCTGCACTTTGCACTCGTTTAATCATAATCATGGGATGGGAATCATAATGCATGGATTTACGTATCTGGGAAAGATGTGCAAGGAGAGACAGATCGGTTGCATCCATTTTTATATTTAAAAAATCAGTCTGAAGGTTTGGTTTCAAGTTTAATAAAAAATCGTGGAGGGCAAAAAATACTTGAAAAATATTATTTTTGTACAGAACGTATCGCACCTAAAATTAATCTCATGCAACACTTTTAAAGTTGTATTTTCTAAAAGCGGACAAAAGATTGCACAAAAATTATGACTTTCTATTCTATGATTATTTTCCTGCAGTTGTAAAATTTTGCATAAATCTAATTTATTTATCAATGTTATTTAAGTTGTTTGCTTAATTTTCTTCATTTCAACCCGTATTATCTCCGAGATTTTAAATAACAAGCAGAGTTGAACTTTGAACCGCAGGCAGACGGAGTCCAAAAGCACAAAACCTTTTCTTACAACTACAAATAAGTTTATTTATTTTGATTTCGAGATAACGGAGAAACAGACATGTTTTTTGTTATGATTATGCTTTATGGGGAGGTTGATCGCACTGGCAAACTAACTGCGTACATGGCAATGGAATTACGTACGTAAATAACAATTAGTACTTACATGTTACCTTGTCTGGTAACGTCTCGAAAATCACGCTGTGCATGAAACCCCGACTAAAAAGGTGCCTTTAAGTTTAATTACTTATTCTTATTGATGTATGTTACCAAAAAGTTAAGATCAAGAAGAAACCAAAAGCTAAGAAACCTACCTATTTTATTCATCTAATATGCCATCTTGCATCAAGTGCTCATTAACGGCATCAACTCTTTACAATTTTTGTAGCGAATTCTATTCCCTACTATTCGCATTTCCATTTCCACCAACAATAACGATAGTTCAAATGTAGCAATATTAATTTTTGATTAATTCGCCCTGATGTTCACGTTATCTAATTAGTCCTTCCGCATTATTAACCCTTTGCTAACAATGTGCTCTTCTGCATATATACAATTAGTACAATAATGTGTACCTTTGTTCTCTCATGGAAAAGCACGGCAGCTGTGTCTCATCGGATTGAGATAAGAAATCTGCTCATTTTGTTTCTGAGGCAGACCGTGCGATGTAAACAGCATCAAAACTTTTAAATTTAGTTCCGGTCCATTAATCCATATGCTGCTGCTGCTCATGCCCGTGAGGAGAGATTCGCGTTGTCCTCTTATTACTTACAAAACTGTATTTTCCTTTATTTTGTTTAATCTCCTCATTTATTTAACCCTTCACACATTTGCATACGTTCAACAAGATGAGAGTGCTCACTCGTACAGCGTGATGATTATAACAGACGTTGGTTGGCATGTATGGAAGGAGTTAAAGGCTGAGATTTATGGGGTTATTCCCACCTTACTTACTTTTTGAGAACAACCACCAGGACAACTGACTAACTGATCGAGTACTTAACTAACTTCTCTAGAATCTTTGTTTCATGCTTTTTCGCATGCTGAATTAATATATAATGCAAGATTCGAGGAAAAGACGACGACTCTGTCTGGGTCTGGGCCACTGCTAAATTAATGCTGTCAACACACTTTAACTTGATTAAGATTTTAAATGAATCAAATTAAAAATTCATTACCAAATTCTTAAACCAAGGCTTTAAACTATGTACGTGACCACTAAAATTTGTGTATTTTGGGCCAGCAGAATAATTGTGATACAAACTTTAAGCAATTTATTACCAAACCAAGTCCTTAAAATACCTACGTGACCACTAACATTTTTGCATTTTGGACCATAATTTTGATCCAAATTTTACGCTTATTCATAAAAAATGAGACTGAATTGTTTCAAAAACTTTACCCTCTCATCAAACAGAGTGAACCCGTACTGCCGGTGTCCCGATATCACTGAGGTCATTGTCGCCATCTTGTCTTCCTCTTTTTTCAACTACTTTCACTTTTTAACTCCTACTAATTTTTATCCCACTCTATAAATGAGTTTAAAAAATGCATGCACAAAACCGTTCCACTTATTTATCTCAACATTTAATGTCAAAGAGAATAAGAATTTGGCTCAACATAATCCAAGCCGGTAATTAAAATTTGGTCGTAAAACTCTCCTATCCTTCACACACTTTTAACACAATCACTAAAAATAAAACCGTAATTAAATTAATCTCTAAACTTCACCCGACAACAAACATGAAAGAATTTGACACACACGCGAAGTCGTCAATTACTTTGGCGTCACTTCACAAAACCACACTAATTTTTATTTTTCTACAAATCTCAACTTTCACCCGGAGAAAGGATGCGACATGCAGGGTGGAAATATTTCTCATAAATTTGGTGAAATTGTTATTGATGAAAATTTCTCATAATTCCGAAACGGATATTTCCGCGGATATGATGTGATGCGATGGAAAGGATCGTTGGAAGAATGAAATGGAGAGAGGACATCGAATCTTCTTCTTCTTCGAGAGTCGACATTTAGTGTTTACGAAAAAAAGCAGGAGGGAGTGGAACGATATGAAGTAGAAGGTGGATGTAACGGATAAGGTTGCATAAGAACGGGCTGTATACAATTTTCTATATCTGTATTTGCATCAAGGGGAACGTCTTGGGTTAAAAATTCCGAGTTGTTGATATCCTTCCAGACCAGCCAACAACCAATACGAGGCATCTTTCTTAATAACGAAGAGATTTAAAGCAAACCAGATTTATAAAGGGATACGTACGTTCCGTGTTGGATGGTAATATGAGTAAGATAAGTAATGCAATATGCAGTGCACGCCTCAGATATAAACTTATAAATAAATTTAACTTTGGTCGAGATATGTATAAATGTAATATGAGAATTTTAGAAAGAGAGAGGGAGAGAGGGAGGGTAGGAACTGAATTCGGTGAGACGGTGCAAACCCGAGACGAGATGACAATTTGGTGACTACGGTTTTACTGTAAATCACAGTTTGTAATTCTCAATTTGAATCTCGGAATTAAAAAAAATTATAGTGTTATGATTTTATGAATTGAACATTAAAATTTTCGGAATTGAAAATGCAAATTCGAACGAGATGACATTTGGTAGCTACTGATGCAATTCTAAATTTGAATCTCAGAATTTAAAAAAAAATTGATGTCATAAATTGAATGATTTTCAGTCAAGTTAATAAAATTATCGGTATTAAAAAGATGGCTGGAATATAAATCGAGTAGAAATTAAGGTTGTAAATAATCTGAAGGAAAAATACAAACATTTTCTGTCTAAAATTATCATAAATTTATTTATTACTTCCAAAATAGTAAGGCATATGTAAAAATCTAAAATCTACTGGCGTGTGGACCTACGTATGTAGAGAGCTCTCAGCAGATGTGTTTTTAAACATTTGTTTTTATCCCATCTGAAAAATGGAAACATAACAACTTGGTTTTTAAACAGTTTTTTTTCTTTCCCAAAAGCCAAATCCCAACCCTTCCAATTGAGCATATAACAACACGATTAGCTTTTTTCGGGGTCTCCTCACTCAAGCTCAATGAGATTTTGAGGATGAATGAATAATGAAATGAAGGTTGGATTGGAAAACGTGTGGGATTCAATTTTTCTTGTCGTCTCGCAGAAAGAAAAAAAACGGTTTTAATGAAAACGAAGGTTACGATGTTTGCGAAACTAATGTGTTTGTGAGATGTGCGATTTTTTCTCCAAGTTTGGTGGGCGATCAATCCATTAAATGTGCACAACTGTGAAAGAAAGGCTTGTGAATTCTGAATGTCAAACATGGCCACGTGAAGGGAAAGAGAAGAGAGGATGCCGCTTTCGCTCATGAATGAAGTATAAATATTTACTTGGATTTTAATGCATTCAGAATCGATTTGAAATGTAAGTACTGCAAAATTTGAGATGATATGTATTAGGCTGGTATACATATGAGCAATAATTTCACTAAATAAAATACTGAATAGCGTACAGTTTTTTCGGTAGTGGGGAAAATACTGTGTCAAAATAAAATATTTTGAGATAAGTATGTTCTTCCCAGGGTTTGGATTTCCAGGGCTGTTACACCCACAAAAAGACGAAAATCTACGTGGAGAAGATAGCAGTCAGTAGAAAATACAGGTTTTTTTAAGAAACTAACTTTTTATCGCTGTAAAAATACATTTTTTCATGATTGTTTACAAGTAAAGCATTTTAACAGCGATAAAAAGTTGATTTCTTTACAAATCATGTATTTTCGAAAGACTGTTGTCTTCTACACGTAGATTTTCGTCTTTTTGTGACTGGTAATTGTAGTAAAATTATCCAATAGATTTTTGATTTTGTAAAAGAGAAAATATTGATTTTTCATTTTTCATACTTATGTGCCCATTTAGCTTTCACCTTACTTGATGGGATTAAATAGTGGGCAATAATCGTACCATGTTATGACACTAACTGGTCATAAATTAGTGGTAAACCTTGCAATAAGTAGGTGACTAGCACCCCAAAAATTTTTACGACTTCTTGTTAAAAGCATTTGGTTTGAATTTTTAAGTTTCCTTATTAAAAGACGTCATTCGTCAACCATCATCACGCCAAGGATGCGTGATGCATGAGAAGATGATGTGTTTGTTTTTAGTATTTTTGCGGGTTTGTGGCTGCACATACGTAAGCAGAAGCATAGCAAAATTATGCAGTAGTACATTTGCACATATCATTTTACCAGCGATTTTCATAAAAATGTGTTTTATGTAGAACAAAACTGAACCAAAGGACTTTATCATCTCAGCTTTATGCTAACGGTCTGGTTTGGCGTGCCATATGTGTGACAGACAACATGACACGGCTGAAACAGTCGTCTCGTGTTATTGGCTAAAATTAAAGCTGTTCTAATCCATAACTTTTTAAGTTTCTCTTAAAGCTGCCAATTTTCTTTCGAACATAATGCAAATTGAGTATTTACAAACCTCGTCCAGTTGATAGGTCGTCTTGCGGACAATCTTCTTGCGAAGCTCGCCCTCGGTTTCGATCTCCTCCATCGTCTCCTGCACCAAGGGCTCGGCGTCTCCCAACATTTTGACGGGTTCTGGTTGCGGAGGAATTTTGACTGATTTTTTTGACGGGGACAAACAAGAACAAAGAAACGAGAATAGGTTGCTGGGTGCCGTGCTTTAACTATTCGGTCACGATTTATGTACACTTGAGGTATGTACAATATTTGTGTCACAGAGATCTTACAGTCCTTCAATAGTTTTCGGACATGAAAATCTTGACAAAAATATCGTCTTATTTTTTCTGTCCAAATTCTGTCCAAAATGTCAACTTGACTTAGTCAACTTTATCCTCGGAGCGAGACAACCAAAGCCAAGGACGATCAAATTCGTTGTGTGTAACGAAACCGTGCACATTAAATCCAAGGACTTTTTAACTCTTTTTTTGCTCTGCAAAGTTCTCAGACTTTGGTTTAAATGACGGGCACCAACTTAATTAAAACCGTATCAAATTTCATCCTCACTCTCGTCATGAATTGAATAGTAGATATCCAATTTCTTGTAAAACAAATTAGTTTTGTGTAAAATTACGTCACAGTTTTTGTAAAAAATTGGGTGAACTGTGTCAAGTCAAGGTTTCTTTATTGAAATTGACACTGGCAAATGTTCCTTAGCGTTTTTGCTTTCACTTTGGGAACCCGCACTTTACACAGAATTCTTCAAATTAGTTTTCACCACTTTTCTCCAAATTCAAATTACTTGCTAAATCACTGCAATAATTCGCAAATTTATGACTTTATTGCACAATTTGGGTGATTGATTTTGCACTTTCTCCCCCCCCAAAAAAAGCAGTTTACACAAGTGGAGCAAGCAATGGTATGATCTGATGACTGACTTGTTTCTCTTTAAAGCACTCGTCAATTCGGACTTGCTTAGTTGTGCAAGTCTTCTGGGGTTTGCGTTACTCTTCGTAATGGAAAGTTTGAGAGACAGAACGAAATCAAACCATTTTCCAATAGGAACGATAGATAGAATAATTTACAACAGAACAGCCAGCAAACCACCACACATACTTGCGACACAGGAAGTTGTTGTAACTGTAACGTGTCGTGTATGTAAATATCATGTACGAACGTGCATGTATGTGGTACGAGAAATATGTGTATATGCAGAGGAGACGATGATAGTAATAAAAAATATTGTTGTTCCAAGTTTTAAAGAAACGTCTGCAGCATTCGAATGTGTGTACTGGGCGTCCAATCGGATATCCGATGGATGGATTTAGGTTGTGTGACTTGACTTCTTGCTTTGCTTTTAGTGATGTAATGTTCCAATGTGAGGGAACACAATATCGCATTAACTAAGACACCAGCAGCAGCAGCCTACTCCCCACATTTTTGCAAAGTAAATGCCAGATTTTGCATGCATTTAGATTCCACTACTCTTTCTTCCTCCTGGGATGAAGATATGCATGCAAAGCTTGAAAAATGTTGGCAAGTCGCCATCTTTAAAGTGCTCGGGTTGCTTGCAATATGCGAATGTAGGCAGAATCATGGTAAAATGGCAAAGTTACAAACATTCGCGTGGTGGATGTGCCGGTGTGAAAGCAGCGGTTTTCCAAGTCCGAAAACCGCAGTTTGAACTGGGGATCAGAAAATGCTTTTAGGATGGGTGTATGTACATACGTAAGATGGATTATCGGGACGTGGAGAGAAATGCATTTTGTGTTGGTGGATAGTAAATAAGTATTTGCATAATGGAAGGTATTGATGACAAATATTATTACACAATTGAACTAGTACAAAACTAATTTAACTCAAGAAGGAGACGGAACTGAACCGTTACAATTTACAGCACGGGTTGCATTCAGCTGAAAATGTGCCCCTTTGACTTTCAAACCAAATGCAAACAACGGTTTGGTTTGGCGACACGGGATTTAATGTTGACATGTTTTTAAACAAGCTGTTTGAAAATAGAAAAATAACAAACTTTTCGCTATCCGAAGAATCAGGGTGAATAATGCAAATTTTATGTACAGGTCACTTTTACTTCATGATTTTATGTCATACCCATTAATCATACAATTTCATTTATTGCCATTGCATGCAATTATTCTTCTCCACTTGCGCCATGACTTATAAATAAAATACTTTTATCTAGACGTAGACCACACAAATTTTGGCTTTTCAACTCTGACTTTTACTTCTTCCTAATGACAATCCATGGGTAAAGAAATCTCATGAAAATACATACAAAAGTCCTGTTTTTATTAGACTACACCCGATCCGAGTTACTTAAAATAATACTTTCTTTTAAAAGAACAAGTTTCCATATTATTACAGCTTCTTTAAGAATAATAAAATAAAGAGTCCAACAGAACACAGGAGGAGAAAAACATTTACATTTATAAACATGTTTGCAGACAAGGACCAGTTAAAACGAATACAATCCAACTTACCAACACGAACGATAAGGTTGTACGATACGGTAATGAACGCTTCGTTTGTTTAGAACGAAAGTGAAAGAATTCTAATGGACATACCGAATAAAGAACATCTCAAACTTTTTCTGGGTTCAACGACGCATCCTCCATCCTCCTAATTCTGTCTTGATAATGGACCTTTACTACTAAATATTCTGTAAAAGTCTAATACGCATTCTAAAGAATTTTTTATGGCTATTGGAAACGTTACTCCGAAGTCCTTTCTTCTACACCACGCTCACCATTTAACAAGCTTGTAGATAAAAAAATCATAAAACATCAAAACATATCATCCATCAATATCCAAGTTGACAGATGGAGTACAAAGTTTAAGAAGAGAAGAAGAAAAAATCGTTTACAATATTTCTTAAAAATATATATGTTTGAGTAATGAGATGTGGTAAGCTGATAAGTCAATTATCGACGGAGGAAATTTTCAACAAATATTTTTTAGGTCGCTGGCCTCGCCCGATCAACTTGTTCGTCTGTGTCGTCGTCGTCGTCAACTTTTTTGAAAGACTTTTGACATGTTTAGTCCCAAAAAGAAGACGTTCCGACTTTTCCTCCGTATCGTCTACTTCGTCTAACAGTCACTCACTTTTGAGATTTTTGAACTTTGTGAAATTTCCAAGAGAAATGTTAATAAATCATGTAACCTTCCATTATAGAACAACAGATGATGACTACGTTACGTTAACGGTCATTGTCTTTGCCTTTTTGAAATGTGCATGCAAATCCGTCGTGGTTTACAGATGAAGACAGCAGATGAGGATTTTCTTGGTTGGTTAACGGCCTATTTAATTTCTACACGGTTTCTTTCTGCATATGTGATTTTTGGAGTGGAAGCCAAATTTAACTGCAAAGATTAATTAATAGATGCAACAGGAGGGAATGGAAGCAATACTAGCTAAAAATAATAATTAAAGAAATCCAGACATAAAGGAGTTTTAGAATGCTCATAATATTTTATGCCATCTGCTCCGCATGCATTGACTGACAAAAAATGTCTAGCAATTATTACCTTTAATGTTACAAAGTCAAAAATTGTGAGAATTTCGTAATTATTATTAAATTTGGGATTAAAGTACACGTCTCATTTTAGCAATTCAGCCGGGCGTCTATGTTGTATGTGTACAAGTGACAGCTCACCACCACCGAGATCCACATCCGTGGGAACTTTCTTCATTTCCCGATAGACTATGTTATGTTATGTCATTTATACAACAACATATTTCACAATTTATTAATAAATTAAACACAAAATAAATAAACATTTATAATTAATCTAGCCCAGATTATTAACAGTTTCGTAAGTGCAGTTATTTTTTATTGGAGAAAGTTTTGATTAAATATTATTTGTTAATATTGCTTAATATGAGAAACTTTTGTAATTGTGGATTGGTTTGTATTTAAAGGAGCAATATGTTGTTAAGAAGAGGAGGGGTGTCCTTATCTGTCAGTTGTAGCCTTATCTTGGCCACGTTACTCTTTTCTCCAGCCTGGACGAAGAACGATGTAGTGGAGAAAGTGTCGGACAACGAATTTCTTAACCTTATCCAGACAGAGAAGCATGTCGTAACGATTTTTAGTAAGTCTTAAGTAAAACTTTTATACAAATTTGTGTACGGAAATTAATTATCCTATCTCAAGGTAAACCAAATTGTCCTAAATGTGATGAATTTGAGCACGAATTGGCCGCTATCCGAGAAACACTGGTTGATTCATTGGACGCTTCAATTGTGAAAGTAGTGTCAAGTCCATTGGCCAAGCTGTACAGCCCGACACTCGAACCTGCCATTGTCTTTTTCCGACATGGGTCACCCATGTTGTATCACGGTATATGAATTACTAATTTTATTTAAGAAGCAACAAGAAGCTGCAATAGTGTATCCATGTTCAAATTGCGTAATTGTTTTACAGGGGCAGCCAACGAGGAGGAAATTCTTCACAAGCTGAACAGGTGTCCTGAACCGGCCGTGAAATCGTTGAACGATGAGACTTTTGAGCATTTGACGCAAGCTGCTACAGGGGCAACGACAGGAGATTGGTTAATAATGTTTGAGAAACGGACCTGTGTCAAAAGTCAACGTCTTCAGGCCGTTGTTGAAGCGGTAGCGTGTGAACTTAAGGTTAAAATGAATGTGGCTCGTGTAGACAAGTCGAACGATGGGGGTGCGACTGGGAGGAGATTTGGGGTCATGGACACTCCAACATTTATTTTGTAAGTATTCGGGTTAAGATATTTCGAAACTGGGTAATTTATGGTCTGTTTAAACTTATTCATAAGGTTCCGTCACGGAAAAATGTACCGTTATGAACTGGACACGATATCAATCTCAAATCTTATCGACTTTGCGACTGACTTTTATAGAAATTCTAAAGCAGAAAATGTGCCTACGCCAAAATCGCCTTTGTGAGAACAACATTCATAATTAATTTTATTCATGTGAAAAATAAACGTTGCAAATATTTTGTTTGTTTCCTTGCAGTGACGACTTCACGGAAATGATTGTAGAGAAAATGCATGAAAATCCCCAAATTGTTAAATTAGGTTCCATCGGACTCTCAATTCTCATAATTTTGGCAATCTTTGTCACATTGTCTGGAAAAGCTAAGACTGTGGCGAAATCAAATCAAGACAAGAAAGATAGCAAAAAGAAAACATGAGAGGAATATTATAAGGGGCCGAAAAATTCTTGCAATAATTAATTAAAACCCCGTGCCTCACCCACATTCCACCGTGAAATACTTTATAAAAATACCAAATCTTTAATTCCAAATAACAAGTGATACATGATAATTACATCACATTAATACAATTTACACTTTAACGTTTGTCACTTTGCCGTTAAATTGAATCTTGGTCTCAATCAATAAGAGAATGTAAAAATTTGTAATCTATGTATTCTAAAGTCTGAAAGAATAAACTCTAAACTATAATTTATAGTATTAAGAACTTTAAAAAATTAACAACTCGCTAATCATCATCCTCGTCCCTCGGCTTTCCACTAAATTCGACGGCTGCAGCTAAATTGTCCTGATTAGTCTTTAATCTGTCCAAAATGAGTTCGGCAATTGCTTTTTGTGTTCTTCTCTCTAATTTTGTCAATTTAGGAGCAACGTCTCGCTTGAGGTCCCAGTCCGGTTTTCTAGGCGCCAGGCTCGTCAAGTCCTAATTTTATTAGTTCTTATTATATAATATTTTGTTATTTTTATAACGCTCATGATATCTTACCACATCATCCACTACTGGTTTGACGACGGCATGTTGCAAGGTGTCCGCAATTTGTTCTTCGATATCAACAACTTTAGCTTTGGGGACTGCAATTTCTTGAAATTTGTCAAAGGCAGGGTTATAACTTCTGAATATTGGTCTAAATCGAAATACAAACTTTCTTTACTTCTAAACTTTATAATGAGATTTGATTTTATTTCAAATTTTAACTGACTTTGGCAGGACTGTTGTCGAGTCTCCCTTTTTCTCCTCTTTGTCTCCACCACCTCCCATTAACTTCTGTTTGAGGGCTCTAAGCCGTTCCTTCCGTCGCCGAGCACCATCCTCCAAAGCGCCAACGTTCTCGTCTTGTTCTTCCTCCGCTGGTACGACGGGGGGCGGCCCTGATGATGTAGCTGCGACAAAGTCTTCTTCCATCTCAATATCCATTTCTTCGGTCATCGTCATCCCCCGACTGTCAACGGCTTTTAATTTATAAGGTTATCCTTTTAGTTGATCAACCCTATAAATTATGTACAGCTAAACGTTAGACGACATCATAATTGTTCCATTAAATTTCTTAATTAATTACAGTTGAGCACTTTAACTGCGTACTTCATAACTGACAATTTCTGTTATTTTGTACTTACCGTCTGCTATAAACACACCGGTTGAATTGCTTAGTATTTCACGTACGTATATATAATTTATTAGATTATTTGCTGCATGAACAATTAATTATGCTCCTAGAACTTCACAATTTTCGCGAATTTGAGCGATTTTTGATCTGCTTGTTTGCAACTTGCGAGCGGAACATGGATTGAGAAAAATTTACAGAAAGTGCCAACTCTGGTAGTGAAAAAGTCTCATCTCAAGTTATGTACATGTGTACATAATTTTGTGTACAATGGACATAAAATTATGTACATAATGTACATTGCATTGCATGTTTTAGGCATAGCAAATGTACATATGTACATTTGCTTAAATAAATAAAGATCGTCTTGACTTGCCATTCTAATTGAGATTCTCATGAAATTCTGAAATGAAAAAATTTTAAAAATCTACTCTGATTGACGTATTGAATTATATGTAATTTAAAGATTATACAACTTATACATAAATGTGTAATTTAATTAATAAAGCAATCTGATAATATTTTTATTCCCGCAATCATTAACATTAATTAATCATTGACAGAATTAAAAATATCAGCCAAGAAGCTGCTAAAAATAATTGGATCGATAGGCATTGAATTGGCTAGGTCATCATTCCATGAGAAAAACGCACAAACATTTTACCTAGCTTTTTTTCAAAGTTAATTGAATTGTTCACAGTAAGACAAATTCTTACATATATGCAGATAAGTAAATAATTGACCATGGTCAATTTCTGCAAGTTCGTATCACTTTTTTCATTACCAGCAGCGTCCATCGTTATATTTATCTACCCCCAACAAATGCACTGTAAAGCTCGTTTACATGGCTGTGCCCTTTGCCAATTAATAAAGTGGTATTCTCACATATTCGTCCAAGTGCTAATGCACATTATCAGTGTCACGCAACAAAGATATACGATTTTGCACAGCCTTACATTGGTAGGTGGCAAATCAAAAGCCTCTCATGCTTCACCCTCAGAAACTGCATATTAAATAATTCGTATGGTATTACAGCGACTCGATGCCAAGCTTAATGATCGTACAGACCTGTACCAATTGCTAAATCTCTGACTCATACAATTAAAACCAAGCTGAGATTTACAGCAGAGTGGTTTCCAGTTCATTCAGTCTCAGCTTGTCTTCTTATGCAAGGGACAGCACTTTGACCGATAGAGATATCATCCACCATACGATTACACTGCTGTCCTGACTCCAATTGCATAAAAGACCATTCGATATTCATGTGCAAGGGTTGTTTGTCGTGTATTTATTTACGTCGGTCAAGAAGAGTTGCTCTTGGTGCAAAAATTGGTCGTAATATATTATTGAATACTATCGGTGATAAAGAAAGTGGATCAACTTCTTTTTTCTGCAGAGGCGACAGACGAGTAATGCACTATTCATTTCCTGTGTGACTTTTGCCTTGTAGTTCTTCTTCGACTATATGCAGTTTCAAAGTTCATGCAAGTGCAGCAAGTTGGGCGAATGTGAGGCTGTGACAGCTTAAAAATTTAATCGTGTTGTTATTACATAAAATTATATCACTTGGGAAGATTTAAGGTTTGCTATTTTAAAATGTTGTCCAACATTGATTCGCAAGATATGCGAATTGTAAGGCTGAGAAATAAAGCCAAGCTAGAAATCGGCGAAACTAACGAGGACCTTATTCCGGAAAGAATTCAAGAATTGAAGGAACTTATAAAGGAGGAAGGTGTGCACATGATAATTTAAAAACGAAAAATGTTTTTTTTAGCGGTGCTAATTTTTATATTTCCATTTTCTTCTTATGTAATTATCTATTAGGTGGTGATAAGTTCCATATGCATCCTTCAAGATATGACGACTTTTACTTGAAGTGTCTCCGGGCTAGGAAATATGATGTGGACAGGGCTGCTAAACTTGTAAGATTTTGTGCGTGCTTAATTGGATAATTAGATGAGGCTGTAAAATCGTAATTTTTTCATGAGATGAGGGACACGTGTAAAAATTGCGTTGTAGCATAGCAGGAAAAATAAGTTGCTTTTGGCTCAATCAATCCAGTTAGTCCATGCGTGGATTAAATTTTTGCTTTACTTTAACCTTTGATACCAAAGTGGATCGGACGGAGTGTGGTTTCGTGATAAACTTGTTCTAAAGGTTGACTTGCTAAACCTATTAACCTGAATTATGAACCAGTGTTTGTATCTATGTATGTATCTTTGCTGAGAAGTGACGCAAATTATGCGTCTAGCCTACATAATCTGTAATATTTTCCATCCGCAATTTTCCTCAATTCATAAGATAACCCCAATGATATAAAAGCCTAGGTACAGCTACCGAGTGATATATTTTATAATGACGTTGTACTAATATTGTTGTGATTCTGTTGAAAATTAATAGTACAAGAAATACTGCAATTTGCGCACCAATACGCTACACATGGTACCGAAATTGCTGCCATCATGTCATGCTCATCTTTACCATGATAAGCTTTGCTCCATCCTAAAATTCAGGGACAATCGAGGAAGACATGTTTTCATTGTGAGAGTTGGTAGGTGCTTATTTACATATTGTACAAAAGACTGCAGAATAGCGAATTTAATGACCTACTTGAATTTTGTTATCAAGAAAAATGGGATGCAAAAGAGACCACTTTTGACGACTTCTTATCCACTTTGTTTCTCCTACTGGACGAGATCATCATCTCAATCGATACTCAACTCCATGGCGTTACTGTCATCGGGGACCTCAAAGGACTTGGCCTGAGTCATGTGAGGCTTGTCTCACCAAATACTTTGAGAACTGCGGCTGGTGTACTGCAGGTAAATATTGTTCCATAAAATGTAACATCTTTAATTCCGAGATGTTTAATAACGTTTAAAAAAATCTATAGGATTCTTATCCAGCAAGATTTAAAGAATTTCACGCAATCAACAACCCATTCGTATTCAATATGATTTGGGCTCTTGGAAAACCATTTCTCAAAGACAAGATTAGAAAACGGGTAAAACGCCACTTTACGTAATTGGCAAAATATTAATTAAATTAGGATATTGATCATCATTTGCAGATGTACTTTCACGGAGGAGATTTTGCATCTCTTCACCGGAGCTTGTCAATTGACGCTAAATTGCTCCCAGATTTCTTGGGGGGTTCAGTTCCAGAAAAAGAGTATGCAGACCTCAACATTATTAACAGTTTATTAAAGAAGGATGACCACTTTAAAGGTGTGTATACATATGCTTATCATCAAAAATGATAATCACCATTCACAATATATCTATGTGCGTTTTATGATCCGCAGACTTTTTCAAGTATGGATACACTGCAAGGACATGAACTGGTCTAGAATATAAATACTTTAATTTATTAGAAAATCCAGTCTGCGACCGGTTTAATTGTGAAGGAAGGTTTCTGTAATTTAATGTGATATTGTTCAAGGGTGTGGGATATTGTTGAATGGGTGGAATATATAAATAACCTATTAAATATCTGTTACATAATGAGAGCTTCTAAATAAGTCAATAAGTAAAATAAATAAATGTCATGTTGGCATAAAGTTAAATACATGTTTAATAAATAATCGGACAGTCAACAGTTTTGGGATGAAAAAAATATGATACCGAAAAATCTCATTTTATTATCTGTATGATTAACAAAAAAATCATGTCGCACTCTTAATTACCACATTATCACCGATTAACACACAGATTATCACAGTACAGACTATGTATAATTTATCACTCGTAAACATATGCATAAAATGATTTTGAAACTGCTTTGAGGACTAGATTCACATCTCACATTTCTAATCACCAAGAAGACTGATTGATCCCGTTTCACAAATCACAAATTGTCAGCACATATCATATCACATGCAGCAGACATTTATCAAGACGATGACGATTTTATACTAGATTTTAAGAATTTGAAGGATATTTTTTATTTTATAGATTTTTAGTAAATGTGTCGGATGAGCATTGATGAATACATTTATTAAGTTCATAAAATCTTTCTTGTTGAGTCATTAATTTTGGCACCGCATTAGAACATTTCCTGCTTGTTTGGACATACTTAAAACAATAATACAAACATTTACATAATTACTTATTGTTCATTTAATTTCCTGCAAAGAATATCATGCATTTCATTTTTCATTTCAATTCACAACTCAAGAAGAATGACATATTTTGTTGTAGAGTGCTTCAAATTAGATCCTTGGTCCATTGGTCATCTCAGTTCGCTGGCATAAACTGTTCATGAAAATAGTTCAATTAATAAACCTTGATAAATTCCAAACTAACTACGTTAGCCATGAGTGTTAATAATGTGATTCCAATTTAGTTGTGGTTAACTAAATAAGAGGAAGAGAAAAAGGAAAGGTAAAAGTGATAATCCCAGAACTATGATTTATTTTATACAAAATGCAATTTTTTGGTCCGAAAACATAAATTGGAAATTCATACAATTTTGTCATCCTTCTTTTCCAATCAAATTAAATAAAGTACAAAAACCAAAGTGAAAGTGTTTGAATAAATTTTGAAATTTCATTTTATTATTTATATTTTGTTTGAATTCAGGAAATTGATATTGACATTTGAACTGGGACCACAAAGGATCAGCTTCATCTTCAAAGTTGCAATCAGTAAAACGATTGCTTTTTAGGTGGACAATCTAGGCAATGAAAAATCTGTAAAATGGAAAGATGAATATTTTCATGGAATGTAAATTGATTAAATATCTTGTCGCATAAATGGATGCAATTGTATTCGGTATGCTGATAAAGTACGATGATGATTAAATTATGAGGATGTGAGATTATTAATTAAGCGTTAAGTTTCAAGGAAAAGTTGAGAGGAGAAAGGTCAGGAAGGATAGACGACGAGACTTAAGACGTAATAAAGTCAGAATGAAGATTAAGCAGAGTATTTTCGACTGGAGATTAAACAAAGACGAATATTGGTCGAGTAAACAAGTTTGTTCCAAATGAACTTGACGAGCTTCATAAATAATCAATTAACAACTGACGGACTTGACTGAACCGTAAACAAAAAATGTTAACTATATAACAGAATCCAAGTTGAATTGACGTACGAAACAATTGAAAATTTGTAAAACAACACTGGCTGATTAGAATTGAAATTGACGAGGGAAGAAGAGAAACACATAAAATAAATTCAAGTTTGAGGCATGCAAAATTCAACAGTGTTACTCAGCCATGTGGGCGCTCTTACCAACCCACACCCCCCAATACAACTTGATTACAGTCTCGACCCTCTTTTCTGTCTTCCTGGCTAAATTTTTTCCCTCATATATCTTCTAGAACTAGGACATTCGCTATTAATCTTGATCTGATTAATGTTCTGGTCGAATGATCTTTCTGGTCTCCCTCATCTTACAAATCCTACTTCTTTTCTGCATTTTGAGTCATTTATCTGTAATCTCGAACTGACTCATGAGATAGACTTCATCATCGAGGACCTCTTTAAGAACAATAATAGGCCCAAGACCGAATCTCTAGTCTAAATTGCAGACAACTATCTGGGTGGACTGGATAGATTTCATCATCATCAGCTCCCTAACTGGTTTACAACCTTCTCCAGGACAGCATTGTGTTCAGCTTCAAAACCGCTTGTCGAATTTTCGTCATAGCCAACCACAGCAGACCAACTAGGAAATGCCACCCTAGATTTATAGGCCTTTCTTCGTTTAACTCGGAAGTTCGACTGGTCACCAGGAACAGATTTCTAAACGGAAGTAGAACAGCTTATCGAGACCAACTAGGTATATGCCATCCTAGATTTATAGGCCTTTCTTCGACAGGAATCTCAGCTAACTGCAGACCCATTCAATTTTCAAACGGACAAGAGCGTCCCAATACTTCGTATTTGTAAAGCACCACCACGACCACCACCAAGTCAGTTGGGTCAACATCAGGCAGTGGAAGAAATCTGTAACTGTTAGTACAAGAAAACAAAAATACGATTATTTTCATCTTTTCAAAATAATGAATAACAAGGTAGCGCCAGCGAATTATTGCGAACCCCTGAGCGGTTTCGGTCTTGCGACACATATTACAACAATTTCTTATCGTAACGCCGTTTACAGGGGGCAAAATTGAGCATCTATAGTTTTGAGTCTACTTTTCAAAAATATATAAGAAATAACGCACAATATATTATTTTGTTTATTTATTTTTCTGCGGAAAAATAGCGCCAGGGCAAGGTTAGCGACCGTGTGGAACAATGCGGAATTAAGAAATTTGTCCGAGCTGGGCTGGCTGAATCTCCAGAGAAAAAAAGGTCAAAAACAAAATGATAGCCAACCATGGTCAAGAACAATTTATCATTTAAACCTTTAACTATCGTCAGCTATCATTGAGTCACCTCGGTATTCAGGTATTCATGAAAGCTGTGAATGGAGGATTCAGCACGAACCAACTTGGACTTTTTCATCATAACGCTTTGTAATAATAGGATGACTGCAAAGTCATCCGAACGCTATACTCTCAATCCTGACTTGATCTCTCTCTAATTTGTTAACAAAGATTTAACACTAACATAAAAATAAATAGATAATTAAATATTTAATAATTATATAGCGAACAACATTATAGTGCAGGATTTTCCAATTCTGGATTGATTAAATAATTTTGGTTCTCAAGAGGAGGAAGAAATTAAAATCAAAACGGTATCCGCGATGAATACCCGTGCAATTATATAATTATAAAACGCACTATCACAATTTACTGAATGAATTCAAAATTTTAAAAATTGTGGATTTTGATTACAATGTTTTTTTACACTCATTATTGACTTGCTCGGCTGTAGCAATAATGCAATCCATTGTTGAAGAGCACATTATTGAAAATCAAGGTTTTTCATCATCTAAAATTGTATTTAGTAAAAGTACCTATCACTTAAAAGTTAATATTACGTTACTGTTTTTACATAATAGTAAAACTCGCATTTTGGTAAATTAAACCGTGGACTGCAGCCACATTGAATAAAAACCTTGTGGAAATTACTAACTCAAAAGCCAACTGTAAAATTGACGTAGTAAAAGTGATGGTTAAAATAATGCTATATCACTCACTGAAACATTGTTCAAGTTCACTGCTCATGATTATAGCACTAATCACTTGCTGGGATTTTTAACGGGAATGGGGGGGAGGGAATTTATTTTAAAACGCACATATTTCATTGGAGTAAAACGCAGGAACGCACGCGACGCGGCGCGAGATATAAGCACGCACAATACTTTTCGTAACGCAGCAGCGCGGGCGGCGCAATATGTCGTGATACTGTAGATGACTTCCGAATTTGACGCGTTGACGAAATCTTGAAAGACGAATGCTGATGCTGTGAAGCCCATTTTTTTTATATGCCTCATGCTCTCAACTTTAAAATATATGTCTTTCTCTCATTGTCATTGTCACAATTGTGTCACTACCAATTTGGCCTATGTTCTGTTCTGCAGTTTTTAACTGTCACATGTTGTTTTACATGCATGCAAATAACATGACTTGTATAAACTGTTTGCAGGTTTGCACTTTTTTCCTGTTCTCTCAAAAGTTAGAATAGTTTTTTTTGTAAGTTGCCTGGTTTTTCCCTTCCATGCATCCCTAATATAAAATGGATGCCTGACGAGGATGATTGATGATGAAGCATGACTTTGATTTCTGAAATACTTAACCAAAATATAAAACCACAAAGCAACATTTCTTAAAATTCTTTTCAAAAAGTGTATCATAGATAATGAATGAAAACTTATCTAGTAAATGATAATTAAAACTTATGGATTATTATAATGAGCGTCATGTGTGTTTGGAGAATCATTTCGTTTCTGGATGGATTACACGCATTCAGTACAAAGGGTACAAACCTATGTATGCCTTTCTTCTCATTGCTATTGGGAAGTTAATTCTTTCACCCTTTATGAAGATGAAAGATCAAACTTGTCCTTTTATAATTGTCAAATTATATCCTTTTATATTAAGCAGAGTGAGTGCTCGCTTGTGTTACTTGTTTCTGTTGGTGGACAGGTAGTCCAAGATGTCCGAACTATGTATGTATGATTAAAGTGTGACGACGACATGAGTCAACTGGCACATATGTATTACTCAAGACTTAGACTTCAGGTATGAGATGGGTCACAGGTCAGGAGTTAACATGTGGCAGTTGACTCGTGTCGTCACTTTAATGCATATCTATTGTGTACCTACTAGTACCAGTAGTACCTAGATTTTCTAGCCTAGTTTTTTCCCTTACATATCACAACCGATTTAATATTAAATTCGGCCTTATTTTCATCGCTTGGTTGCTGATTTGTATCATAATAATTGGAGATTCTTTTCCTACAATTCACATTGCTGTGCAAAGTAGGGAAGGAGAAATTCCACCATTTGTTAAAACGCCTTAAATATACTTAATTAAATAAAAAGTTGGCTAATTCTTGGTATGTGATGCTTCGAAATCTTTGCTTATGGAACTCTATGTATATGAGTTTGTTTGCCTTTCTTGACCAGAAATGTTACCAATAAAATTAATTACTTGGAGGAATTGAATACAGAATTATTCATAACTATAAATACAACTTTTAAAACTAATTTCCCGCATTTTAGGTAGTACCTGGAATCTAATATTTAAATATACCTACTAAACTTAATTTCCCGACTGCACGTTGTACCTGTAGCTATGTATTATTTCTATTATAGTAAGTTTTCCTAACTATAAAATTTTCATGAAACCAGAAAAAGAGCCAGTGTATGTATACGTAAAACCTTCAACATGACTTGACCAATTTTGTGTATGGGCGAATCTTTTACCGTGATGCAACCCCGATGCGATGCGATCGCTTCCGGCTTGACATGTTAATGGCTGAAGGAAATGACGCGGTGGTGGGCTTTTTCGCATACGATGATAGTGATAGAGCCAAGTTTAAATTCTGATTACGTCTTCGTCTTGCGACAACAATAGCGCGCGCAGCGGCACCGATTTGCGGAAAAGTCGTGTTATTGCTGCGAACAAGGTAAGAAGTATTACTTGTCGGTCTATATGATGATGGTGTCGTTAGGACTGGTGGTGCCTGAGTAGTAGTAGTAATAACTGCATTCCTTGTTGCATTAGTGATCACGGCGGCGTCTGATGACGGCGTGCTAATGGCGTTAACTCTTTCTCGAATTGTCGCCATATCCACGGATGGTACGATTCTGGTGGGCTCATCGGCACAAATCACTTTCAAATTGGCGAGTCCTCCAAGGGATGGATATCTAGAAACTTTAGTTGGAGGCTCATGAACAGATTCCTCGTCCTGCAAGGGAAACAAATTGCGAGGGGGATGCTCAGCGATCAGCAATTCTCTTGTGGTCTACCAACGCGTCATAAGGTAGCGCGAGAGCGTCCCGTCCAATTCCAACTTTGACATCAATCAACGCACGGTCACACATAATAGCCAGTTGTTTGAAACAAGGCTGTCATCATATAGACACGACACGGAGACCACTGTCGCAAGGAGTATAGGAATTATCGGACAAAAGAGCTCTGCAACTACCCTTAGCAATTGGTAAATTATGTAGTTTACTCTTTCGTACTTTGACGCTGGCCTTGTTGGACGTGGGATTTGATAGGACAGATAACATCATTTCGATATCTGCTCCACTCATTTCCGGAAACGTCATTTGTCGCCGAAATTGCCTGCCGCGTTGATAGTCATCGTCATAGTCCTGGCCCAGATTAAAGTCCGGGACGACCTAAGAGAAAAGCGCATAATTATAAACAATGAGTGTCTAAAAATCGTAAAAATAAAATCGAAAACATTGTTCAATAAAGTAGGAAGTCTTGAAAAATTCTAGAAAATTGGTTTTAACTTTTCTTTTACCTGCAAATTAGAATCAACCAAAAACGCTTCCCCCGCACGAATTATTTCGTCCAGCCTTGCCAGTGTTTTTGATGCAGTTAACCTCGCATGTGGGTCCAAAACCAAGAGGGACTGGATCAACTTCACTGTCGGCTGCGACACTGTGTGTTCCCTGAAAAATATCGAAAGTAACAATTAGCTTCATTTTTAACTTAAAGCATTATTCGTCCCAACCACCAAATACGCATTAAAATAGCAATTATAAAAGTGATTTGAATTTAGAACAATAATATATGCAGATTCATCAATTAGTTAAAAATATGTAGGACACAATCAATATTAATTACAAATTAAAATTACAGCAATTTTTAGAAGAATTATTAAATCAATAAATGTGCGCACATACAAATGGAGGGTGTTGGTCAAAAAATAAAGCTACTAATTAATTGAGCAAATTATCAAACTATTAAGTACAAGGTATGATGAATAATATTGAGCTCATGTACAAAAGTGACCTAATGTTATTATTGTCCGGATAAATAGAAGACTTGAGTCCAAAGAGCCACTAAAAGGTAGTAGCAATTCTGCAGAGATGGACGTAAATTTCGTAACCATTACTGTCAATTTAGAAATTTAAGATCAGTACTGGCAAGAAATGTTACTTCCAAAAGTGCAGGCAGAAGAGTAAGGAAGCCATTCGATACAAGTTCTTGTAACTATTCCTATGAATTTCAGGATTTTTGGGTTCGTACCATTAATTAGATTGTTACAATGACTTTGGTAACATTTTTTTACATAAAAACTAAACTCTAATGCTCCCAACAAATTACATATATAATATTATATCAATCCCGAATCAGATTCATAACCGAGACGGAAATTGTGTGAATTTTTGGGCATTGGTCACAGATAACCAAAATACAGATCAGTGATAAGTATGAGAATTTAGTTAATTGAATTTTACAACATTAAATGGTTTAAAGCACATGCTTTAAGTTGTAACACATAACTATTTAATAGAGGATTTTTATAAGTTGTTGATGTAAAGTATAAGTTGAGAATTTCTTTCTGCATAACCAAAGAACAATCGTTTTCTCAAAACGGTATACAATTTACAGAAACAAGAAATTCATAGACAAACAAAATTAAAAATTATACAGTTTAAAAAATAATTAATTTGTCTGACAAAAATGTAAATATTTTTTAAACAATAAAAATGTAAATATTTTTTTAACAGACTAAAAAGGCAAGAAAACGATAACGAACCATCAGTTGGGTGCAAATGCGCTATATAAAGAGCGCATTGCAACCTCCATTGGGCGTCCTGACTGGATTATACTGGGATTGATTGACCGTCAATTCGGTAAGGTCAAAAGTAAAGCAAAAAATAACTTCAATTAAGTAAGAATTGTAATTTCTTATTAGAAATGTAGCGAGTTTGCAGAGAATGATTAACTGCTTGGGATCGAAGACCGCCTTAGACTGACTAAATGACAAGCACTTATCATGTATATCATAAATCTTAATTCGTATACTACAAACTGCTGCCTATCAACATGTGTGAAAATGTATCATGTGTTATACAAAGTTACATCAAGTCCACGAGTGTCGAAAAATAAGGCATAATGCAGCGTAGCGCAAATTTTGGCAAGATATTTTGCCAAAATTTATGATATCGCGTGAGTTGCACACGTGTTACATGCATTTAATTCCATCCCATTTAGTTAGCATAAGACGGAATGCGATACCACAAACAGATAACAAGCGAGCAAGCAATGTCTAAAGTGAGTTATCTTAAATCCCAATAATAATAATAATGAATGTTTCTTAGTGCGCACAATTTTTCCCGATATTTAAAATGAACTTACGATGGAATCGTGTAATCGGCGAGCTTAATTTTGCGGAATAGTTCAGTTGGGCTAGAATCGTAGAATGGGAATTGCCCATACAGCATTGTGTAAAGCACCACGCCCAAGGCCCACATATCTGATGGCTTGCCTGAATATTATAAAACAACTAAATGAAAACTTTGTTCGAATTGGAAAGCGGAGTAAAAATACTTTGCAGAATAATTAATTAATTACTCACCAACATACGGTTTTCCACTGATAACATCTGGAGAAATATACGCTGGAGAGCCTCGCTGGTCTCTAAGTTGTTCATCTTCTGTGCTAAGATGCTTACCCAAACCAAAATTGGTCAGGGTGACCTCCTTGGTATCCTTGTCCAAAACGATATTTCCCAACTTGAGGTCACGGTGAACAACGTTTTGCTAAGTAAAGACAAGACAACGATTGGACCAATTAGATTTGAAAATTTAAAAGTATGTCTAAAATTCAGTAATATAACGCATCTATTTTTATAATTTCAGTGATAACTTACTTTATGTAGATTGTTCACAACTTTGACAACATTATAAAATATCTTGATGGCCAATGATTCTGACAGTTTCTTCTCCTTGATCACAAACTGCTGCAGATTTACCAAGGAGGTATACTCGGGAGAAAAATCATGGGGCATGTAACATCCTAAAACGAGGCATATTCTTTCCTGCATACGCCCCGTGCTGTACCCTTTTCCACCCACATCGACCTCTTCCTCTGCAAGGTCCTATACAAAGACAAACCAGGGAAATATTACTAAACAACTGTTTGCAATTTTTAACATAGAATACGCCTAATTGTAAAATACCTTATACATTCCATAATGCTGAACAACGCCTTTCTGACCGTTGAGCCGTTTTAATAAACTGCACTCCGTATGCAGAAGGATCTTGCCTTGGATGTCGTCAGTGGATTCACCAACAGCTGGGTCGGGGAGGGTCAAAATCTAAAGAGAAATTATGGATTAATTGAATGATTACGAGAACGACTTAACGGGACGATAATTTCAATTAAATGTAGATGTGACGATCGATGAGCCCTTACCTTGACCGTGTAAAACTGGTCCGTGCCATCTTTCCTGGCCAGACAGTGGGTCACACATTTGACGGGAGAGTTACACAATTGGGGTCCGAGGAGGAGGGGTCCAGCTCGCTTCACGTAGGAATTAACATTGTACTTTTGCTTGTCTTCGGATCCCTCTGTTGTGACAAAAAATGATAAATCCATTGTTAAACTACGACTCTTTTCACTATCAAATTATTTAAATTCTAATAAATTTCAAACTAGTGACTAGTTGCTTTATAAAATTTTTAACTGGATGTGATGTAATTTACATGATGTAAACATGCAAAAAGTTTGCAACAAAGTGCATTTGCAAAAAATTGTGCCAAAGCATCATCATGATGCGTGATTCGTGCCAGATCAAGAGTTTGAGATTGGGAATTTGAGATTGAATTGACATGCATGAAACAAGTCACAAGTAGTAAAATTAATAAAACAAATGTTTCTTTACCTGTAAACTCCTCCACAAGGGACATTTTCTAAATATTTCTTAACCTATATACCTATCGAAAAAAACTCTCGTTCCCTAATTCCAATAAAAAACTCGACTACTTCCAGTCTAATCTCTCTCCCTTTTCGCTAACTAATCGTCAACTTCATAAACACAGTTGGGAAAATATTTATCAAGTTGACAATTACCTAACTGTATGAACACAATTAGATAATTTTGTCAACTGCTACCATCTTGGTTTTTTTTAATTGATTACAAAAAAAATAAACTTTTAAAAAATGTTATCTATCCGGTTCCTTTTTAACAGTCCAGTGCCATTGAGATACGAAATGGGAAAATATCTACAGTAAAGGTTGATCACTCCCAATTACTAATTCCAGTGCTGGTCCTGCCTCAAGAACTAGAACAAGTTGGATTTTTTGAGAAATTGTGAGATCGCCCAGCCTGCTCACGTTTTCAAAAACTAGTGATGAATCCATTGTTGTCATTTAAAATTTGAAAGTTAATCTAAATTCCTGCTTCTATAACATTGACGAGATGACGAAGACGACGCTCCTCCAAAAAGGGCTTCTTATTTGTTATTCCACTTTTCTTATATATTTCCGATTTGACGCTCTTTACTACTTCTTATAAACTGTGTGCTCTGTAAGTTTGAAACTGATTTGTTTAAGAAACCAAAACTCTACTGATTTTGGAAGTAAATGGTGTAAAATATGGCGTATTTTACAGCATTTACTATTGCAAGGGGCATAAGAAGGTGGCCATTATGAAATGAATGGGATAAAACCCTATGTTCAAAGTAGTTTCTCAATGCAATGCAATGCAGTGTGTTACGTAGGTACAACTTGGTTGTATGTTGTATAGCTGGGAATAGAATTTGAGATTGGAGTGCCGTGCGCAAAACAGAAAACGTTTTCCTTCAACGACGAACTCGACAAAATTATCGATATGAGATCATCATGGCAGAATGGCTCACCCAGACCTCATTTTTTTAGGTCATGAACTTAATCGGGGCGAAATTTTAGAGAAATTCGGATAAAATTTGTAGCAATTTTAGTCTAAAAATTTTTTGTCAAACTTTGAAGCCATTTCATTTATTTTTGATTTTAATACAACTCATTTTTTAATTAGATTCATTGCAGCAATTCTTCTAATTTTACAAGCTCCATTACTATTTGCATAGCATTGTTTTATTTGATATTTGCTTAAATAAAATCGTATTTTTGTGAATGCACTCTATCCGTCTGCCCTCTAATACAAATGTTCCTTACGCAAAAGGTTCACTATTTGATGTAATGCAACCCAGAGCTCTCAAATACACCCCCAAAGCAAAGCTCTCAACGAATAAACTTTTATAAAAGTTGGTTACAAGGATTTAATAGTTGAACGTGGCAGGATAAAAGCTGTAATGGCAACCAAGTACAAAGCATCATATTCACCAGAACATGAAGAGGGTTGAGATAAAAAAATTACATTCACTTTATGGATGGGAAGTTGAAAACGTTTGAGGTTAAAATTGCCACGCTTTCTGCTATAAAAGCTTTTAGTTCATATGCTCGTTAAACTAAAGGTAAAATTACTGGTTAAATTTGAACGAATGTTTTAACCGTATAAATAAATACGATGGATGATAAAACGCAATTCGTAAAAAGAGATAAGTATTGTTGTAATCTGCATGCATAGCTTAACTGCCAATATTATTAGCGTATTGCATGCATGCAGAATTAATCAAGCAGTTCTGAATCCTCTCTGAGAACGCGACGCATACAGAATTCATGGATTTTGGATGACTACGTAAATGCGATTTTCTACTTGTGATGTGTTCAAGTTGGTTTAGTTGGAAATAGCTGTGACGTTTCGTAAGTACTGATCGGTCGTGAAAAATGCAGTTTAGCGAACATGTGCAAATATGCAGTAAACGAATGCACTTTATTTATTCGAGTTAACCTTTGTTCAAGTATGTTGTTAAACGTTTTTGCATGAAAATATTTTATAACGAGGATGTTAACTTTCAACCACCTGGATTTGCATAGAGTTACGTGTTTTGTGGTTTCAGCATTTATATTTTAATCCCAACGGAAAGTTTGCATTTATACAAGTAAAAGCGTTTGAGAGTTATTTATAGGATGAGAATTAATATCAATTCGTTTACTGAAAATTACTGGAGATATAAATAATCAGCACTTTTCGTTATTAATTAATTGCGCAAGATAAGTTATATAGCTTTAGAAGAACATGATAAGCAAAATTGCGCAGATGTGGAATTTCTCACTTTAATCTTGCATATTTTACGCATGAAATACGATTTTAGTTTAATTCCATCAAGGTTTAAGTTGTCAGTTTTGACCTTTTTCCTTGTGACCCGCATGGGTCATATCAAATCTGAAACGTTTCTGTGCAAAATAAGCATTTACATACATTCAGCAAAATATGACCGACCTCAACAAAACCCATGTCCACAATACGGCTTATCTCATCATTCTCCTGAAACATATACAATTGACTGTAAATATATGCATACACCCACGACATGTGATGTGATGGTAATTCTCGAACAGATAAGAGTTATCACTTTATCAGGCATAAATTGTTTGGTGGAAATCGCATCCAATGAACTATGAGTATTATAAAGAGCCGAATTTTCCACTGCAAAGGGGACCTGTTAACAATTACGTGTATGCAAATATCTACTTGATTATTTGTTTTACATCATGCATCCAGTTTATCTATCACATCACGCACAAAGCCACGACCAACGTAATTCCCATTAACTGAATTAGTAAAGTATTAATGATGCACTTGTTGGAATTATGGCATCATGCATACTGGTTTAAAGGGCCATGACCAGTAATGCCATGCATCTACTGGTCGCCAAGGTCGGCGAAAGGATTTGTCTGGATTTTTGACATAATCATTATTTAACTCTTGGTTCAATTAATTTAATGATGAAATGATCAACTTTCTCGGGAAATACATTTTTTTAATTTCAGGGTAAAAAGTTAAATAAATTATGACAATTGAACATCTTCGATTGGAATTTGATAAATTATTTAAAACGTTTCAACTTTATATGACCTAAAAGTCAAGTAGTACTTGACTAATGGCGTCGCAATTTGCTTTGTTTATCAACTCATGTGTCATGTGTCAAATTAAATGTACATTTGTATTTATTGCATAAATAATTGTAATATATTTTGCTGTATTTTATGATTTTATTGCTTGCGTAATTATCGGGATCTATTATTTGGAGGAAATACTTGCCGGAAAATGTCATTTAATTTCCTCCTTGATATATTCATTTTATAAATTCCTCATAGTTCTCAAATATAAATTTGAATAGAATTTAAGCAAAAATTGCAACATTTCATACAAATTCATGGAATCCATTCATTATCAGAAATCAGAAACCGTTTCGCATGAAATAAGGATATGTTGACTTTATATGAAGTGTCGGATTGGTATTTATCGTTTGTGGACATTTCATAGCATTTGTACGCACCATTCAACTTCAAAGATGACTCAGACATCTTTGCGAAAATGGGAATTATTGAAATTTGAGAAAAGTCTCAACTTTCTCATCTCGTTGATTCTTAATGTTGAACTCCTAAACTTATAGCATCCATAGCCAGACAGATTTGAACAGTTAGCAACTGAAGTTTACGAATACGTTCAGTTGTGGGCATCATATTTCTTAAACGACCCAAAATGAAAGGACGGAAACGGAAATACCCTCTGCTTATATAAATAGGCCCTCATGAACTGTAAACGTTTTGTAATCCAGCTGACATTTTTTTCCACGCCACCTGCGAGTGTAAATTATTTGATGATGGTAATTAATTTGCTAATTTTTCGGGCAAATATGGCTTTCCATTATGAATTTGGCATACGACGTAAATTTGTTTTTTATAATCTCGACTTCAAATTATTATTTGAGATTCAGGTAACTTGCACTGGATAAAGCTGCAAGATGAGACGAAATAAATACTAATAATAAGATTCTCAATTTCTAATAAAACTACGCATAGGTATGCATCCGTTCTAGATTTAATCTCACATTTTTTACAACAAAGGATTTCTCAGTCAGACAAAGACTGGAACAAAGATTCGCCCAGAATTCTCCAGCAACTAGAGAACATTTGCTTCTCCAAAAATAAATGTACTCCATGCACCATTCTAAATGGGTGACCTTGCCGTTTACCAGATAGTCTCACCTTCCCTCTACTTAACCAAAGGTAGTAAACAGAAAATAGAAGTCTTCGTCTCAAGAAATTCCAGACAAGGAACTCGATCTGCAAAATAAATTACGCAATTCCTTCCAGAATTTCACACAATAGATTGACATCAACACATTCAATTTTATGACGCAATATCAAATTTAACAAACAATGATTATGCGGAATTTTAGGTATTTGCTTCTCTTTGTACTTTACCACTTGATTCATATGTATTTATTTTTCACTACTCTAGTTCATGATTTAAAGAACGTTCCCTAATTTATGAGTAATGGAAAACTTTGGTAATTAAGTGTGTAATCAGTACAAGAGTCCAGTCCTGAGTCCACTCATCGCTCGGCCGTTGCACATTACTCATTACATTACTTGATGAGTACGTCATTTAATGCGTTCCGTGAAGTTACGCCCTCGCTCTGATTCATAAATTAATTTCATGACTTTCGTACTCCTGCCCAAAATCACAGTTGGGTGATAAGGTCATGTTATTTGTGCTTTAGGTACGCACCAACTTTTGTTGTCACACACATTTGTAGCGTGTATGATTTGCATTGTAAATACAAATACAACGCTTGGGTACCAAAAACATGGTTGACTTGTAACGTCATCATCGTTGGGGTTCGTCTGCCTATTCAGTTCCGTTTATAAACGAAAAAAGCATGAATAATGCATAACGTTTGGAGCAAACGTTTTTTATTAATCCGGTGACCACGTAAAAAATCATGATTCCCAAACCATGCTACCCTTTAAAAACCAAGTAATATAGGATCCATGCTAAAACCCAGCTTTGTTCTGTTTATCATTTTATGTTATACATATGAACAAAGAACTGTAGTTGCATTTTACAAATTCTTATGTAGAAAGGAACCGAGTTAAATATATCAATTTCACAATAATTTTAATAGAAAGACGAAAAATTAGTGCGTGAATATCTGTATTTTTGCAGACAGAAGAGCACAATATTATTGCACCTGTCTGTTCCTTAAATAATTGCATGAAATGGTCAAAGTCTCTGCTTTAAGGTGAGAGACAAAGACAAATAAATGTATCTTTCTGCTAACCCAAAGCACCCAGAAAATGCCTCCGTCTTCATAACGCTAAAATTTGACCCGTCTCCTCGTTGCAAGAAGGAAATACATGGACCCTACTTCCCGTTGTATGTATTTATCAACCCAACTTCCAAGAACCCTGTGGATTGGATATGCAGTCAACAATGAAATATGTAATGGAATCTGGAAGGGTCGGGATATTGGAGCCTTATTTTCAAAATAACTATGAGAAAAAGCAAGAAATACATAAGTTCTCCTAATCAACCGAGGGTCCTTCCTTTTGCCTCTCAAAATATGTGGAGTCCTTCAGCCGTGCCTTTCTTGTAGATTAGATGGGAAGATCTTTTGCTGGCTATAGGTTGGGCTATTAGTGAGGTCAACAAAACTACAACGTTTTTGGGCTATGCATTTAGTTAGCCAGCCCAACAAGGCCAAAATAATAAATAGAGAAACATAGTCTTGCTCTTCTCTAAACTTCTGAATGAGTGATTGGCTATTGGGAGCATATTTGGAATATGAAACGGCTGAAGGATGAGAATTCATGAGAACTATGAGGAAAATTACAGACTCAACAGACATATGTAAATATGGAGGAAAATTGGAAAAACACACTATTTGTGACGATTTCGATATCAATTTAATCGAAATAAACATTTTATTAAGTTTGAAAATAAAGATCTTTTTAAGTCGTTCTACAAATATTGTCACGATTCACGATTATCTTTTAGGCTGACTTATTATTAGTAAAAGGCTACACACAGGACACTGGACAGTACAAGAATATCTTTGCTTCACACAGTTCTAACGATCCTAAGTAATTACAGTCAATGTTGAATAATTGGTATGCACAGCTAATTTTAGTTACATTTTGTTCTGTCATGTCAGAAATAAGTCTTAAGAATCTACTAAACATATTCATTATGGCATTATCGCATAGGCAAGACTGTAGTGAAATATTGTTTGGTTTGTTAACAATGTAAATGGCAGTCACTTTTGCAATATGTATGTCTAGCACAATTCCATAGTATTTTTATTACATTCTAAACACGCCGAATGTGGTGTCCGGAATTGGAGCGTTGAGGGCAGCGCTGAGAGAGAGACCTAAAACCTTTCTAGTATCCTTAGGATCGATAATTCCGTCGTCCCATAATCTAAATTTATTCACACAAATTATGAAATTGGTATTACATTTGATGTTTATTAATGAAATTACCGAGCGCTAGAGAAGTAAGGATGCCCTTCTGCTTCAAATCTCTGAATAATTGGCTGTTTTAAAGCTTTCTCCTCCTCAGCAGTAAACTGAATCGTTACAAAATTATTAATTGATTAATTTTTTATGATGAATTAGTTTAAAAAACGCACAGTTTTTCCTTCCCGAATCCTCTGATCTCTAGTAATTTGCGCCAACACGCCAGCAGCTTGTTCACCACCCATCACAGAAATTCGAGCGTTTGGCCACATATATAAGAATCGGGGACTGTGATTCACGGAATAAAGTATTTTGAGCAAATTAAGAAATTTTTGCATTTCACTAATTTGCCATTACCTGTACGCTCTACCACACATTCCATAATTGCCAGCACCGTACGACCCTCCGATGATTAGAGTGAGTTTGGGCACCTTTGCGCTAAAGAAATTAAAGTGATACCATTTGATACAAAAGGACTGATGTATCCTAAAGATATTACACTTTTCAAAACATTGACACTGACTTACCAGGATACCGCAGTGACCATTTTTGCACCATTTTTAGCAATTCCACCCCTTTCTGCATCACGACCGACCATGAATCCTATCCAGAAGAAATAGTTTAAAAGTTTGATCTATAAAATTTTTATAGTCTTGAATGTTGTACCGGTGATATTTTGGAGAAAAATTAAAGGAATCTTTCGTTGGCAGCAGAGTTGAATAAAATGTGTTCCCTGAAACCAATCATAATAATTATGGACGAGTCAATTATTTTGGAACTTATACTAAATTTAGACATTATGTATTACCTTCAGCGCAGATTCTGAAAACAAAACCCCATTATTTCCAATTATGCCTACAGGATGACCATAAAGACGAGCAAATCCGGTGACCAGTGTTTCTCCGTACTTTTCTTTAAATTCATAAAATTCTGATCCATCGACAATTCTTGCAATGACCTAAAAACAGAGAGAGCAATTTAGTTTGTTTGAATCTCTTTGTGTAGTGCATAAGCAATGGATTTTCATATATGTACGAACCTCGCGAACATCGAAAGTTTTCATTAAATTTGTTCCCACAATTCCGTACATCTCTTCAGGGTCGTATAATGGTTCTTTGACAGTATGAAGAGGAGCAAATTGTTTTGGAGGGTGCTTGAAATTTAGGTTTCCCACAACATTCCGAGCTATTTGAAGAGCATCTTTATCGTTTAAAGCGTAGTGATCTGTTACACCAGATTTTCTATGGCAGGAAACAATAATTTGATTAATGCGTATATTTTACATGATACTCCGTAGATAAGACATTGCACGCACCCACAATGAAGATCAGCACCTCCTAAATCCTCGGCAGATACATCTTCTCCTGTAGCAGCTTTGACAAGGGGAGGTCCTGCGAGGAAAATGGTTCCCTGATTTTTTACTATGATACTCTCGTCCGCCATCGAAGGGACGTACGCACCTCCAGCCGTACAACTACCTGGAATAAGGCACAAAGGTAAGTTATGCGGTAAAACCTATAAGATTGGGCTTCGTAGCGTGGCGTCAGCAGTGTCGTCCAGCACACAAGGAGAACTGATAAGAAATGTGTGCATGGGTCGAATGCTTAACTGACGCTACCGAGGCTCGCAAGTCGAATGCAAATGTAAAGTAATACATATATCACATACCAAGTACCACTGCAACCTACAAAATCGAAGACGTTAAAATTAAAACGGGATTCGTAAATTTCCACACAGATTTTTATTGTAATTCACTTCCTCACCCACCTGACTAATTCCCATAGAACTCATTCTAGCCTGATTGTAGAAGATCTTGCCGAAATGTTCACGATCTGGGAAAACTGCAAAAAAAGGCGTTAATTCATTTTAAATTTGAAGAGGATAGGTTCATTCGCTATTCGAGTATTAAAATTCGAACCTTCTGCTTGTCGTGGCAAATTGGCCCCACCAGAATCCACCAAATAGATGCATGGAAGACGGTTCTCCATCGCAATTTCTTGACTACGAAGATGTTTCTTGACTGTGATTGGATAATACGACCCCCCTTTGACTGTGGCGTCGTTCGCAATTATCATGCATTCCACTCTAGAAATACAATGAACAACATTCATTGTTTGGATGTTACTCCACTCCCTCCAGTTATTTTCTTAGTACCCGTTAACTTTCCCAATTCCGGAAATGATCCCACCCGCAGGAACATCCTCATCCCCGTATAGCTGATACCCAGCAAATTGTGACTAAAACCAAACCAAATTGTTAAATTCTACAGCATAACAAACTTTACATGCATACAAGAACTTATATACCATTTCCAAGAATGCGGAATCATTATCGAGTAAACACTGGATTCTTTCTCTGGGAAGAAGTTTGCCTTTCGATGTGTGGCGTTGGATTGCTTTAATTCCACCTCCTTCGATAATTGTCGACACTTTCGAACACAAGTCGACGACAACCTTTTTCATGGACTCGTAATTCTCCTGTTAAAAAGATAAATGCATACGCAGTATTATTGCCTTCATTCTACACCTTTGTATCAAATTGTAATTCATTTTCCGCAGTAAATCACCTGGAACTCTGGACTTTTGGTGTCCTGTTCTGTCCCAATTTTTGGTAATGCGTCCAAGTGGAATCCACATCTTTGATGAAAATATAACTGCTTCTTCCCCAACAGTGATCTCCACACCTAATATCAATCATAGGTTATTATTAAAACAACTTTAACTATTTATATATTAGTAAAATATGACAAGTAAAAGATAATTATTTCCCAACCTGCTTACTAACTTTTAAGCTGCCCCTCATACTGGTTAAAAATTATAATGGGAGAAATTAATCAATCTTGCAGCTTCAAATTTATTATCTACAACAGAGAAAAAAGATTATCGGACCCGGTGTTGCACAAAATTGAGCTAAAAGGATTGAGCAGCTCGGGTAATGAAATCACAAGATTTTACAATTCCCATCCGCACTCAAGATATTTGTAAGACTTGCACTCATGCAAAATTTGCGAGCTATTATGTAAAAAAAATTATAAATCACCTCAATTTGGATAACAATATTTCACTTTATTTTCCGAATGGTCATTTATACTTTTATATTCAGAGCTGCATTTAACAATTTTATTTATAATATATTCCAATCGGTAATAATAATAATAATAAAATTAATTACGTATATAATAAGACAACTAGATTGTAGTTAAACAATGATGTGTACTTATATTTCACAGATCTCACTCTCACTTCACAGGTCGGTGTTTAATTAATTATCGAATTCGCGAATGCAGGAATAAATTGCATGGATTGCTATTTAGGTTGATGAAATAAATATGTTAGTATTATGCAACTAATCTTTCAGCGAGGTGGTTATTGTAATTAGTATGACTAATATATAACGCTAACAAGCCTTAAATTAAGTACTGTACACTAAATTAATGAGTGTCACATTCAATTAGTTAAACTACGACTCGATATTAACAAATAATATTTGGTATCATTACGGATTGTTGGTTTTTCACATATCAGTTCTGACTTTGACACATTGACTCAACTCGGGAAGATTTCACAGAGGAAGTTTAGTAGGAGAGAATTCTTAGGGGAGCTACAAAGGTAATACATAAATAGTTGCAACATAACAATAGCTTACAACGACAAAACTTAGGAATAAAGTACTTATTACGAAATAGTTATGACATTGATTTGTTCGAAATGTCGAAAAAGGCAAGAAATTAGTAAGTAGATGTATAATCGCTAGCTGAATCGGACAATGACTACAAAATATAATCGAGTCAACAAACAAACCATGGTAGGAAAATGTAATCAACTATTTAAACACTGATTTCGTTTCGTCAATATCACGTTCAATTCCAAGAATTTTTACATATCAGGATTTATCAAGCGTACTTTAAATGGAACTTATAATTGAAATGTAGGAATCTTCGGGATATTTGGGAAAAGGTAATTAGTTGCTAAAAAGTTCGGAATTATGTTGAATTATCCTGGAAGCAAACTTGCATTGTCATTAAATTATCATTATCATATCATAAATACATGTTGAGTTTGTTTTTGAGTTGGATAATAAGGTACGAAAGATAAAAAGGTAAATTTGCATGCAATTAAAGTAAATTGTATAATTTTGTAGATTTTCGTCCCTGCCAAGTAAATAATCAGCTAATAAACTGAAAGTTATTACAAAGTGTTTGAACTTGAACAACGATGATTCTAGGAGAGAAATTATTGTTAATTAACTAATTAAATAGAACTGAATTTGGATCTTCGTCGTCCATTTGCTTAATATGGCGAAGTACATCCTTCTTCGTGACAATTCCCAGGAGTCGCCTACAAAAGAAAATTGTCAAACATAAGTTTTCTTGTGAAGATCTATACTTTGAAATGAGATTTTTTTAATTGGAGCTGGTTACGTACCCATTATGTGTCACGAGAGTTTGTCGTAGCCCCAACTTTCTAAACATGTCAACTACTGTTTCCATCGGCGTCTGGTCAGTGACTGTGATTGGAGCCATGTCCAGGATTTTCTTTAGCTTAACGGGAGTTGAAGTTGGCTGAGGAAAAATTATAAGAAAATATTAGTTTATTTGAAAGACTTAAATAAATCACAAAAAAAGTTGTACCCTCATGGTCCTTGACTGTTGGGCTGGTGGACTATTCGTAAATAAGCATAAGGATACGCCATCCACTCCGTCCACAGTTCTTCGGGCATTTGAAATTGCAAGGTTTAAGTCTCTTCTTAACACAAATCCAACCAGAAAAGGTGACTCGTGTGATATGACCACGGGGAATCCATTGTGCTCCGTCTCTTTCAAAAGATTTTCAACGTCTTCTACAGTCATAGAGTCTTGCGTCACATAACAAAGAGGTTCTCCGTGTCTGAAATCATACATATCAAAAATTATATATATTAAAACTCAATTTTGTATACTCTTGTGACAACTTTGTGGGTTGGAAAAATCAGAATTAAAATTGATACCGAAAGAAACTATCTGGGAGCACATAATGCACGAATTTTCAAAATGGATTTTTGGGAAACTCTACGTCTACCTTGACATAGGTTCCTCTTGAAAAGGAAAGAATTGTTGAATTTACCTTGGTTGCATTACATCGGCAGCAAGTGTTGTGTGACCAAACTCTTCCTTTGAATCCAAAAATGGATAACCATTGAGACCAATGTGTGCATCATAAATTCCTTGTCGTCCGAGAGCATCTCCCACCCATTTGGAAGCCATCGCCGCAGCCATCAATGGAACAATGTATCGAACTCCTCCCGTCAGCTCAAACATTATCACAACCAGCGAAATGGTCATTCTCGTCACCCCTCCTAGCACTGCAGCCGCACCCACCATAGCATACAAACCTGGGTTTATGCAATCTTCCCCTTTAGAACATTCGCCAGCAAAGAACCATATTTGTGGTTGATGGCTAAAGATAGATCAGCAAGTTTCATGATTATGCACATACGCATATTCTGGTTTAAATATTCATAATGACTTGATGTAAGACATACTAAGCCAACTGTTCCACTGCGATTCCGACGATACGGCCCACAATTGCTCCAAAGCATAGAGAAGGAATGAACAATCCTGCAGGAACCTTGATCCCAAATGTGAATATGGTAACGATGAACTTGAAAATTAATGCGAGAAGGAGCAGCCAAATTGCAGAGTAAACTCCGGCTGATGCTTCTGCTATTTCAATTTGGGCGTTGACTTGTGAGTAATGTCTGTTGTAATCGCTGTAATTGGAGAACAGTGAAAATAAATACCAAGAGACCAATCGTAGAATTAACAGCGTATGATGTGCTTACCAAATGTCATCCTTCACGGCAAGTCCACACTGGGAAAAGAGCAAGTAGATGAGTTGACTTGTGGGCATCCTTGTGTAGGGATTTGGGTAAGCAAGGATTGCAGTCACCAAAGTCACAATCTGTGAAAATTATACACGAAGTGTAACACTTAACACTATCAGAAAATCAATGAAAAATTGACAAGTCTTACGATAACTTCAGTGACGGGATACTGTCCCAATTTGCTGCTTTTGCGGTATCGGCACCACCAAATGTTTGCTCGGATGAAAAGGGTTCCAATAATACCCTGTAAAGTATTTGTGTACCGATAATTTTATTAATTGCAAATTGAAGATTACTAGAATATCTATTTATTTACCCCAATGATTCCAAGGCCAATGAACGGGACCAATTCGAAGAATATCCATGGTTTGCTATATTCCACGAAAAACAGTACAGAGTGTTCATTGCCGAATGGATTGATCGATTGTAAAACGAAAGCAGCAACTAAAGCACAGAAGAATGATCGCCATAATGTTTTCAGAGGGAAGTAGTAACTGACCTGATAAACAAATCAAGGGTAATTAATGTCATAAAATAGTGTATGGAATAACATTAATAAAACAAAATTAGATCTGTACTTCTTCCAAACTGAACAGTACTCCTCCGATAGGTGCTCCGAAAGCTACCGATACCCCTGCTGCTGCCGCCGCAGATAATATTTCTCTTTTCTTCGCCTCATTTCTACCGTATTTTGGGAACAGGTATGATAATATGTTGCCAATACAGCAAGCTGCAATACATATTTTGTTTATATATTATATTTTTTTAAATCTATGGATAGTAGACTAACTTACCAATGTGCACCATTGGCCCCTCTGTTTACAAACATTAAAATCAATTATCTTACAAACGAAAGTGTTATTCATTATGGCATAACAACTCACCTTTTCCAAGGCTCAATCCGGCCGAGACGGACAACATAATACCCACTGATTTTATAAGCAGCGTCCATTTTCCCAAGTACCCTCGAATAATGAAACCACTCAAGATTGTCTTGATCTAAACCAAAAGTGTAAAATTAAAAATTACCAAATAATTCTTGAGTATTAGCATACCTCAGGTATTCCAGATCCACACGCATATGGAGCAAACATCTTGACTAGAAGTGCAGCCATTGAAGCTGAGTAATAGAAATTTAAATTAAATGAAGTTTAAGATATTTGATTTGACAAAATTACAATAAATTAATACGAGTGGAGTAACAAATTTACCGAAAAAGAGAGCCCACAATACGTACATAATGTATGAGATAATATATGCCCCTGCGCCTTCTCGATAATTCGGTCCCCCCATAACTTCAGACCATGTTCGCCACTGTAAGGAGAAAAATATCGTCATGAATTATGGCACGAGCAGATTCCACAAAATATTTAAATACCTGTGAACAATTCCCATTTAAACTCTCCGTCTCATTACCTGTAAGAAAATAAAATTTGTAGTTTCATTTGATTAACAAAAGTACTAATTATTATGATTTGTACTTACTGGACCAACAACACTGTTCCTTATTTAACCAGAAAGCCGCAGGACAAATCCCAAACTATAAAATCGTGAAATAAAACCTATCAGTACAGCTTTGCTTAGCCCGAACCAGGATTAGTAAACCCATGTTTCTCAGTATATTTAACTTCATATTATGTCATGAGAAAGCAGTAAGGATCTCTGGTCCAAATTTCAGCTTTCTACGTTAATTTCTAAAAATCGGTATGGGTCACCCCATAGGGTCGCTCTAGATAAAAATTATACCAATTTCATGTCATATTCTTCCATTAGGACCCATAAGCAACCTCTCCACCAAATTTCAGCTCGATATGACAATTTTGAAAAATCAGTATGGGTCACCCCCTAGGGTCCCTCAAAATGAAAATTTTTCCATCTTGAACTCATTTCTATCTATTAGGAGCCATTAGCAACCTCTGTGCCAAATTTCAGCTTTCTACGACAATTTTGAAATTTTGGTGCGTAATACCCCACCCACTCCGATCACCCCCACCGGTCCAAAACTTTTCTGATCGAACCCATCTTCGAACTCGGTCGTTGCATTGCCCAGATACATGTCTGTACCAAATTTGGTCCAAATCCGTCAACTCGTTCGAGAGTTATCAAAAGACAGACGGACGGACATGACGATTACATAAGCCCTGGTTCGGGCTAAAAAGCAATATATGAGTAAAGGAGTTGACTATGTCCCTTAAGACAAGATAATTTCTTTTACCTTGAGATCAGTCATCCAGGACGCTCCAATGTCGATGACACCGGCCAACGACCCAGCTGTGACACCGACGAGAAGGACGCATAGCCAGCCACTCCACGCGTCATGTGCTCCCTTGATTAAATCGAATACCGAGTCTTGCCGTTTTTTGACAATGTAGCGATGCCGCATACGATCACGGGCAATATCTCGCTGCCAGTCAATTGTGTGGAAATCTTCATATTGACCAATTCCTGGGAAAGTAAGTTTAATATATTTATCATAACGAAACAAATGAAATGATTCGAATATATTCCACGCATTAATCTAATTATTGAGACCATCCCTACTTTTTATAAATCTTATTTTTTTTATTAATAAAAAAATTAAATAATACCAGGGATTTCTTCCGAGTCGTAATAGCCTGGATGAGAAAAAAGAATCAATTTAAGCCAATTGTTTTTAATTAATAATTAGTTGGTAAATAATTATTCTATGTACTTACTCGTGGATTGGGGGAGTGCATCTTCCTCCTGTTCGGTGATTTCGTTCACCGTTCCTTGATGCGTTATGTCAATCATGTCCTCGTCTGAACTAAGACCTACTAACAGCTTCTTGCCTGACTTGTCCTGCTTTCTGTTTGATGATGGTGGCAGCTGTTGGAATTATGATAAAGAGGATTATCAATTAATTTGGTGATTATTATTTCAAGTTGAAACACATGTCACAAACTATAAACAGAAACTATACACATAAATGGGTGTAATAGTTGTAGCTTGTCCATTTTGCTATTGACAATCATGAATTAATAACTAAATAATTGTGTACCCTTTTCCTGGGAGAATTTGGCGAAGTGTTTAAACTCTGGTAAGTGAGGGGATCTGCTCCGTAGGTTATGGGTTCGGCCGCACTAAGCGATGAGTGGGCGCCTCCAGCAGGGTCCGTGGCGTTCTTGCCAAACAATCCCTGACTTAAAAAATCTGACTCCATCCCATTATTCTTCCTCCCTTAAAGATGACAGAACAATGGGATATGGATATCCGCATCCCTTCGTCACACACAACTCACTTGACTGACGAACTTTATCCTTATCGAATGGTGGGTGTTTTCCTAATTTTCAAGGATAATCCAAATCGACCGGTATAATTAGAATGTCTCTTTCACCCTTCACCTGAAAGAGCAATTAAATAAAAACTTTTATTGCAAACATGCAATAAAAATTAAAACACACTCAATATATTCCGCACTAAAACTCGTCAATTCGTCATATGTACATACAAGTGTATATGACAAACACATGACTATGACACATCTGTCTGTCTGTCACTCACGGGCATAACAATCAACACAATTTTAATTCAATATTTAAATGTGGATTAAAATTTGCCACCCACTAAATGGACCACACAAAACCAAAATATTTACTTAAGTAAACAACACTACCAATTTGTAATACAAACCAATTTCCACGAGATTTTTCAACTTGCCCACATAAAAAAATATACCACTAGCCCCTAAAAGTTAAAGATACAATTGTAATAATTTTAATGTGATTATCACACTTACTCTATTTTTATTTTAAGACTTGCCAAGAGCACTTTAACCAAATACCCAGCAGCAGGAGCAGTTTTGTTGCCAACCTTTTATATATTTTTCGGCTGGGATATAGCCACAGATTGAGTACGATAAAAGCCAGAGAATGTGTAATCCATGTGGTAAATGTAAGAGGAGGAAGGAAGGAAGGCGAATATATTTAATTAAATGATCTAAAAAAACTAAATGGGATTGATTTTAAGTTTAACTAAAGAACCGACGACTGATCCTGTCTCTCTCGAATCTCGATTACAATGCAGAGTGGTTCGTGTAATGTTGTAAAGCGTAGATCGGATATGAGTTGGGTTCTTCTCCTGTGTTAAAAAGCAGTTGAGACCGACACGTACACAAAATCTCAAAATCTCAACACTCTCAAAAACACCGTTAATTGCCAAATTTCTGAATAGTTTTCTGGAAAATTTTAATTTCCAAAAATTTAAAAATTTCTACAACATAAATAAATGGAAAAATCAATTAAAAAGTTTTTTTGGAAAACTTTTAATTACTTTCACTTTACCTTAAAGACTAACATATTTAAAGGGAGGTTTTAATAATATAAATTGCATTGTAAGATATCAAGGTTTGGTTTGCAAACCAAACGTTTGGTTTGGTTTTTATGCCGATGTTGCAGTAGAATTTCGGTTTTGTGTCATTTTTTCCTTATTTTGACAATTCCACTCTATCGGACAGCAAGATTGGTGTCCAGCCGAGGTCGTGTAAAACTTTGGGGTGCAGCGATTCACTAATTTTTGCTGGTTGTGGATCGTGATTCCGCAATTGACTTCTTTGCAGACACCATTTTTAGTGGTTAAGACTCCTAAAAAGTAATATGTAAGAAAGTAATTGAGAGGACATTTTTGAAATCTATGAAAATTTACCTGTCCAATTCTTGTTACAAGAACAGGCAATGCAGGGGTAGTCGTCAGGGTCGATGGTTTGTCCTTCGACGTATTGTTTCCCCTTGTACGTGCAGGTGAAGGGTTTAGATTCCTCTGCAGGAGCTTTATGATGCGATTTATGATGAAAATTAGTAAACAAATAGTTCTGAGAATAATATTGAGAGCACTAACCCATGGAAGGGCAATAATAGTCGGAACAACACGCCGTGCCCGTTTTGTCAATGGGGACGCAATCATCACCCTGTTAAAGACAATCACACACTTAAATTAGGCAAATTACTTTCACTTTATTAAGAACCAGTGCTCACTTCCGGATATGGGGGGCAATCCACCTCGGCACAAGTTATCGTGGGGGATGTTCCCGGTCTAGTGGAAAATTTGTAGTTATTTTATTAGTCATTTTAGTAAAATTTACATGAAATTGAAAATTGATTTACCGGTAGCTTGCACAAAAACAGCTCATTGAACAAGGTGAATCTACCGTCGCTTCTGGAATTGCTTCCCTCACGGCATAAGTTCTATTCCCGTAGTAGCACTTTTGCTGTGCTTGGGCTGCCAAAATGTTGGCAATGAGGGGAAGGTCTCCACCCACTAGAGGCGTGCGTAGTGATGAAATTTAGAAATTCTACGTAGAAGAAAGAATTTTATTTTAAAACCAGACTCACGAGACTTGTTGCACTTTCTCTTGCATTCTTCCAAGCTCTTGAAATTATTGGGATTTCCACCACAGCCGGAATATGGGAATTCTGTGCATTTGAAATTTGCATACGAATAGTAATATCTTTGTTCTTCTTTTCCGGAAGTAGAATTAGTCTCAGTGGAGGAACAAGTTCCAGAGTCGACGGGAAGTTGGCAAGGACTTTCATCTCCAAGTACTGCTCAAAACAAAATTATGTATCTCAATAGGGAGTAATTTTGTAGTATCAAATTTCTCCTGCGAGTGGAGTCTAACCTTTCTCAAATCCTGAAATGACGAACATGGTCACCAATGTCACCGTTCTTCGAGAATATAACGCTTTCATCCTGCCGTATAATTGTCACTGACGGTGGTTAGAAATATTTTGAATCGCTCTTAAGCGCTTCGTGTGATAAATAGGTAGCTACTAATTAAGTAGATGATAGCCAGGCGATAGCTTAATCGGAGTTCGACTTAATATCTAAAGTGGGAACTTGCTACTTTGGTTCAGAATTTGCAAAACTGCTGTTGGATTACCAACTTCTCGTAATAATATGTATATATACCTATGTGCAACACTACCACAATCACATCACCTGCCTAATTTTATACTAAAGATTTGCACTGCTTTTCGCATTCGCAGTAGGCAGAAGAGGTACAAGTATGCAATACGTAACGTAGAGTAGAGGAGCAGTACAAGGCGTGATATTAAAAGAGTTCTTGTGATCACTTTGATAGTTTTTACGACTGCGACTGCCATAACTATTTCTATTGGTGCAGATAGCATCGCAGATCTCTCTTATTGTTAGGCACGCAGTGTGTATGTCCAAATTGAACTGTTTACAACCTTTTACGATTAACGAACTCTGTTAACAGTGATAGGTTCTTGTTTGTTACTCTTAAAATACTCGTTAAATAATAATATGTACATACGTCTTCTGGTCGTCCGTCGTCCCCTTCTGGTATTACATAGTTGGCACAAGTCAATGTCTGAGTTTGGCATGCATACATGCAAAACATTGCAAATCGACCCGACCCCACAAAACCCCTTGCACAACTTAAAGTGATCTTGAAAGTGAAGGGGTTTAGGCAGTTGTTACGCAGTATAAAAGCAACGTGCAGCTTTTAGCAAACCATTGATGAAGTAAACTGTCGGTGCATATTTATATTTATTAATGCATGCATGCAACACCGGCATTTGTGATTGTTTGACACAATGCAATTGACAAAAGCAAAAAATATTGCAAGCAAAAAACTATTGTAGCAGAAAATGAATCAAGATTTCTCTTTATATTTTTAGCCCCGTTATCTCAAATCAATCAAAAATGTAAAGCAATGATAGATGTGAAGTTTTGGGTTGGTCAGTCATTAATTTGTCTCGTTTATTGGTGGCTGTTTAAAAAATAGGTTCATTGATACATACAATTGTACCTTAAAAATTACTTAATATAATATTTACAATACATATATGTACATATTTCTATATTTATTTGGCATGTGTTTAGTACGGCAATGTTAGTTGAATTAATCTTGGTTTATCCATACACAAGTTTGCATATCGTTGCATTTTTTAACAAACTTCATAATTAAATATGTACTAAATACTTAACTGCAGTATCGACTAATTTATGTACATATTTGCTCAATACTTTTCACTAGCTGGGTTTTGGTACATATCCATATTTTAAAAGATCTGAAAGATATCAATTGACATGAGATTATGCTAAAATTTGACAGATATGTGATTTCTTAATTTTTTTATTACCGTCATAATAAGCATCCTTTTTCAAGATCCGCTTAGGTACCGATTTATCCGAATATTCTTCTTCGGACAAAGAACCACCCAAAAACTCTGGAAGCTTGGTCGAGTCGATTCGGACAGAAGACAGAAATGTGTTTATATCATCCCCGTGAAAATTAATCTGTAACGGGTTGTTTTAATATTTTACGAAATCTACTAAAATGATAAGTTGAGATTTGAAAAATTTTGACGTACTCTCTTTTTCATTTTTTCTTTCAAAAACGGTTTCGCCAGAGCATACAGGGTTCCAAAAATTTTTGGATTTCGGACAACATGAAACTCTTTAATTCTCAGGGGGTATGAATCCTACAAATTAAGTAGATTAATAAATTTATGTACATTTGGAGAATTTTTCCCCATTTTTCGTATGAGTTTTACCTGTATGACTTTCACCATTGTGTGTATCCTCCACGGACTAATTTGTTTAGCATGCTCGACCCCCAGAGTTGAAAGGTCAGCGATCAGTATAGCTCCAAATAGCTGTGTGTCCTCAACAGAGCTAATTTCATCCAGCAGGAGAAACATACAGAGGATCGTTACATCAAAATGGATTTCAGATGGAACCCATTTTTCTAGGAATTTTGCAAAAGATGAAATTTCTATACTTGTTTTTTGCGTACATCTGTGTATAATCTACTCTGTAAATCTAATCACTCACCTACACGTACAATAATGACTTGTCTTCCTAGATCATCCCTATGATAAAATAACATGTAAATACTAGTACACAAATTAGCATGCACGTTAATATGCAATTCATTCGTGTTACATAATTACCTTGTTTTTAACGTGGAACAAAAATTCTTGGTTAAAATATCCCTGTAATTGGATGGCTTCAATTTGCCAAGAAAGTCCCCACCCCCACCGGTCCGTAATCGGCAAAATTTCCTATACTATTTCAAAAAATGTGAGTTATTGACTATACATTTACGAACTAATAAAGCAGCATAATTATTAATTAGTACCAAGTTAGCAGCTCTGTCAACATCGTACTTCTTGGCCCGGATACATCGCAAATAAAATTCGTCAAATGTTGATGGGTGAGGAACTAATTCTTTATCTGCGAAAATAAATTTTATTGAGATTAAAATAACTTTTATGGATTTCTCAATTACTTACATACCTTTTTGTAGGATCTTTTTGAGCTGCTTTATCTTTTCTGGGATCACTTCCTCCGTTTCTCCCATCAACCTTTTCGACTCATGTCGCAGTGATTCTAGCGAGTTTTTCTCCGATTTCAGCATTTCCAGTTAAAAACTTTGTAACTTTACTATTTACTAAATATTTTAGTAACAATTAAAAATTTACTTTTTGCGAAATATGTTTGGCACAGAGGATGGACATACTGCAAATAACGGATTTAATCCCACAGATAGAGAAACAAGTCTCCTTTGGGCACCGTATGTACATACATAAAGAAATTATTTTCAATGTGTACGTAGTATAAGTCCTTTGTTAAGGAGATTCTTCTACGGTCCAGTGTATACGTCACCCCACAACCACCACCAGTTCACAGATCAACTTTTTTTTGTGCGTGTTTCAGGAGGCTACTTATTATTGCCATGATTGCAAAACTATGGCTCCAAGTCATTAGTTTTGTGTAGCATCATTTTTCCTTGTGGTTGGTGAGTGAAACTGGCGAGGTGAATGTGGGTGGGTCCGGTTCTACATACAGAATATGAATTACTGGACAAAGGACGTATGTACGTATAGTGTTTTATTTAGTGTGCTTTGTATAAATTACAATTAGAGTGTGGGGTTATGTAGTATGGATGTATGTGCATAGGCACATACAGAGCTATTATTAATTATTTCCTATGAAAATAAGATGGGGTGGCCCCTGTTAAGTATTATGTGGAGATGGTGCATTGTATTGTGTAAAGCAAATTGACACTTTGGTGATAATTGAGCATTCAAGATTCTTTGAATATGAGCTCAATGCTAAGATAAACTATTCTGGAAAATGTTGTGCGTCAAAAAGTTTTGTTGTTTTTATTGAAGTCATCGTATTCTGAGAGTTTAAATTAGTGTTTTGCTGACTCTGGATAACACATCAAACCCGGTTGTGCATATTAATATTATATTCATGTTTCCGTCGGTATAAATATTCGGGCAAAATTTATGCAGAAAAATTTTCTATATTTTACATTGTATGTACATATTATGCAATAATAAAGCATAATGTACTTCTTCCTGGCCTGAATTTGTTACCAGTTTTCTGATAGTACCAAAACCTACATGACATCATTTTTTACGAACATCTAAATTTAAGTTGCTCTGAGAAAATGCAAAATCCCATGTAAACTTTAATTGCCTAAAATGTTCTCACAATGGAGGTTTCCTTACATATGCTCTTCGGCCAAACATTAATAAACCGTTGTAAACGAAATATAGCAAAGGGGTGAAAACACACGGAATTGTCTTTGTGGCACGCCCACAACGTCTTTCTGCACTTTCCCGTTATTGTCTCACATTACCCCACGTCTCATTTTGCCCCGTTTTGACACCCTAACCCGCGTACTTCAAACGCCTTACCTTTCAATAGATACCCCACATGACAAAAGTCATTTTTTCGACATTCGACACCTCCCACACGGTCGCACGTCAAAATGATGGCGATTTCTGAAATCCCCATCCAAAAATACGTCTACAACGGTGCAAACTAAAAATTCGACACGTTTGACCGTTGGCATCATCACCGTGGCGCCGTGACCTTACGACCTACAACACCCATCCTCGAACTCATCCATACTTCAAAAATTAGAAACACGTTGACGAAAACCGCATGCCGAAATACGAAACTATTCTAAAGTTATCGTGGAAACAGACGGACAGACGGACGGACAGACAAGACATTATAAAGGGGTTTTCACCCCTTAATAATGGGTCTTAACGGAAGAATATGCAATTAAATTGGTAAAATTGTTATCTGGAGGGACCCTATGGGGTGACCCATATCGATTTTTAAAAATTGCTTTAAAAACATGAAATCCGGCACGGTGACACTTTATGGCTTCGCATGAAGTATACGAAGATAAAAGTGAGCAAAATGCAACCAGAGTGACCCTGGAGGGTAACCCACACTGATTTTTTTGAATCTTCACATCGTATGGAGGCTAAAGACCACTTGTGGATAGCACATACAGCTTACGATTAAGTCCAGTAGTTAGATGATTGAGGGTGCAACGAGTAGTTAGATTTGTTGGGGGCCCAACATTTGTTGGGGGTCCACAGCACCCCAACATTTGTTGAGGGTCTACAGGACCCCAACATTTGTTGGGGGTCTATCGGACCTGAAACATTTGTTGGGGGTCTATCGGACCCCAACATTTGTTGGGGGTCTACCGGACCCCAACATTTGTTGGGGGTCTACCGGACCCCAACATTTGTTGGGGGTCTACCGGACCCCAACATTTGTTGGGGGTCTATCGGACCTGAAACATTTGTTGGGGGTCTATCGGACCCCAACATTTGTTGGGGGTCTATCGGACCCCAACATTTGTTGGGGGTCTACCGGACCCCAACATTTGTTGGGGGTCTACCCGACCCCAACATTTGTTGGGGGTCTACCGGACCCCAACATTTGTTGGGGGTCTACCGGACCCCAACATTTGTTGGGGGTCTATCGGACCTGAAACATTTGTTGGGGGTCTAGCGGACCCCAACATTTGTTGGGGGTCTATCGGACCCCAACATTTGTTGGGGGTCTAGCGGACCCCAACATTTGTTGGGGGTCTATCGGACCCCAACATTTGTTGGGGGTCTATCGGACCCCAACATTTGTTGGGGGTCTAGCGGACCCCAACATTTGTTGGGGGTCTAGCGGACCCCAACATTTGTTGGGGGTCTATCGGACGCCAACATTTGTTGGTGGTCTATCGGACCCCAACATTTGTTGGGGGTCTATCGGACCCCAACATTTGTTGGGGGTCTATCGGACCCCAACATTTGTTGGGGGTCTATCGGACCCCAACATTTGTTGGGGGTCTATCGGACCCCAACATTTGTTGGGGGTCTACGGACCCCAACATTTGTTGGGGGTCTATCGGACCCCAACATGTTGGGGTCTACGGACCCCAACATTTGTTGGGGGTCTATCGGACCCCAACATTTGTAGAGGATCTACAGGACCCCAACATTTGTTGGGGGTCTACAGGACCCCAACATTTGTTGAGGGGTCTATCGGACCACAACATTTGTTGGGGTCATCGGACCCCAACATTTGTTGGGGGTCTAGCGGACCCAACATTTGTTGGGGGTCTAGCGGACCCCAACATTTGTTGGGGGGTCTAGGACCCACACTTGTTGGGGCTATCGGACCCCAACGACTTGTTGGGGTCTAACGGACCCCAACATTTGTTGGGGGTCCTACCGGACCCCAACATGTTGGGGTCTACCCCAAATTGTTTGGGGTCTATCCGACCCCAAATTTGTTGGGGGTCTATCCGGACTGAAACATTTGTTTGGGGGTCCTATCGGACCCCAACATTTGTTGGGGTGTCTAGCGGACCCAACATTTGTTGGGGGTCTATCGCCAACTGTGGTTATCGGCCCAACCATTTGTTGGGGGTCTAGTCGGACCCCAACATTTGGTTGGGGGTCTAGCGGACCAAATTTGTTGGGGGTCTACGGACCCACATTTGTTGGGTTGGACCCAACATTGTGGCTATCGGACCAACATTTGTTGGGGGTCTAAGCGGACCCCAACATTTGTTGGGGTCTATCGCGACCCAAATTTGTTGGGGTCTATCGGACCCCAACATTTGTTGGGGGTCTATCGGACCAACATTTGTTGGGGATCTACACCGGACCCAAATTTGTTGGGGGTTCTATCGGAACGCTGAAGACATTTGTTGGGGTCTTATGGACCCCAACATTTGTTGGGGGTCTACCGGACGCCAACATTTGTCTGGGGTCTACCGGACCCCAACATTTTGTTGGGGTCCTGTAGACCCCAACATTTGTTGGGGTCATATCGGACCCAACATTTGGTTGGGGGTCTACAGGACACATTTGTTGGGGGTCTATCGGCACGCCAAACATTTGTTGGGGTGTTTACAGGACCCCAACATTTGTAGAGGATCTACAGACCCCAACCTTTGTTGGGGTCTACACGGACCCCAAACATTTGTTTGGGGGCTACAGGACCCAACATTTGTTGGGGTCAATCGGACCCAACATTTGTTGGGGGTTATCGGACCCCAACATTTGTTGGGGGTCTTACCGGACCCAACATTTGTTGGTGGGTCTAATCGGACCTGAAACATTTGTTGTTGAGGGTCTATAGGACCAACATTTGTTGGGGGTCTAGCGGACCCCAACATTTGTTGGGGTCCTGTAGACCCCCAACATTTGTTGGGGGTCTACGGACCCCAACATTTGTTGGGGTCTACAGGACCCCAACATTTGTTGGGGTCTATCGGACACCACATTTTGTTGGGGGTTTACAGGACCCCACATTTGTAGAAGATCTACAGGACCCCACATTTGTGGGGGGTCTACAGGACCCCAACATTTTGGTTTTGAGGGTCTATCGGCACCCCAACATTTTGTTGGGGGTTAACACGGACCCAGCATTTGTTTGGGGGTTTACAGGACCCAACATTTGAGAGGATCTACAGGACCCAACATTTGTTGGGGGTTACAGGACCCCAACATTTGTTGAGGGTCTATCGGACCCAACACCTTTGTTGGGGTCTATCGACCCCAACATTTGTTGGGGGTCTAGCGGACCCCAAACATTTGTTTGGGGGTCTGCGGACCCCAAAACATTTTGTTGGGGGTCTAATCGGACCCCAACATTTGTTGGGGGTCCTATTTCCCGGAAACCGGGAAACATTGTTGGGGGTCTAGAGCGGACACCAATTTGTTGGGGGTCTAGCGGCCCCAAATTTGTTGGGGGTCTAGCGACGCGCAACAATTTGTTGGGGGTCATCGGACCCCAAACATTTGTTGGGGGTCTATCGGACCTGAAACATTTGTTGGGGTCCTAGCGACCCCAACATTTGTTTGAAGGTCTACAGGACCCACATTTGTTGGGGGTCTATCGGACCCCAACATTTGTTGGGGTCTACAGGACCCAACATTTGTTTGGGGGTCATCGGGACCCGCAACATTGTTGGGGTTTACAGGACCCCCAACATTTGTAGGGATCTACATGGACCCACATTTGTTTGGGGGGTCTACAGGACCCCAACGCTTTGTTGAGGGTTATCGGATCCCAACATCTTTTGGGGTCCGACCACATGTGGCAGGACCCCAAACATTTGTTGGGGGTTCTAAGCGGACCCCAATTTGTTGGGGTCTAGCGGGACCCCAACATTTGTTGGGGGTCTAGCCGCCCCAACATTTGTTGGGGGTTAACGCCGACCCCAACAATTTGTGTGGGGGTCTTAGCGGACCCCCATTTGTGGGGGTCTACCGACCCCAACAATTTGTTGGGGGTCTACGGACCCCATGTTGGTTACGACAAATTGTTGGGGGTTATCGGACCTGAAATATTTGTTGGGGGTCTAGCGGACGAACAACATTTGTTTGGGGGTCTATCGGACCCCAACAATTTGTTGGGGGTCTAGCGGACCCAACTTGTGTTGGGGTCTAGGCGGAACCCCAACATCTGTTGGGGGTCTATCGGACCCACTTTGTGGGTCTAACCCAAATTTGTTGGGGTCTATCGACCCCAACATTTGTTGGGGTCCTAATGGACCCAACATTTGTTGGGGGTCTATCGGACCCACAATTTGTTGGGGGTCTATTCG